TAGGATCTCGAATCTCGAATCTCGTCCCGCTGTAGGCTTTGGACCATTCCAACCGCTCAATCGGTCATATAATTTCAATATACCTCAATATAGACATCTCCATGTATCTTAACGCAACATCACACCACCTGTATATATAATATAAATATGCAGTGTTAAGTTGTATGTATGTATACATATACATATATTTACATGTATATATGATGGCATGTTCTAAGTAGAGGATCCTCATATGTTCTAAGTCACTTAGAACATACGTCCCCCTATTCGCCGAAAATGTTCTAAGTAGAGCGCGCGTACCCACCGAAAAATTTCCAAAACGATGTTCTAAGTAGTTGTCCGGCGCTATATATATATATATGGAGTCACAATGGAGGTGATATGATCAAAGATGTATTTAAAAAAAACCAAAAACCACGTTTTTTGGGGGACCTGGTGGCGTTACACTCTCCCCTAAGGCCCTAAGGCAAGGGCTTTCCCCCTTGCTAACTCCAAGTCATTGGATCTAGTATTGAAACAACCCATGGATTTTGGGATAGCCACCATTGTAACAAACCCCATATACCCTCTGGTAATTTAACATGGCTATTGAACATGACCATTTATAATGGATTTTCCCATTAAAAATGGTGATTTTCCATAGCTATGTTAGTTTACCAGAGGGTAATCACTGTATATAACTGGTTGGTGGTTTAAATCATCTTGAAAAATATGAGTCAATGGAAAGGATGATCCCATATATTATATATATTATGGAAAATAAACATGTTTGAAACCACCAACCAGATAATATCTGCTATTGGTTTACAACCCAGTTGCCAAACGGCTTGTTTCTTTCCAGGAGCCAAGCAGGGGAACTTTAGTCATAAATGTGCTTTTTTTGACCCTCACATAGCAATCCGGGGCTTGCCAGTACCTTGAATGCCGTGGTAGAAATTCATAATACATGGGTGTGTCTGAAAATGGTGTATACCCCCAAAATGGTCGTTTGATGCGGAAGGATGAAAAACCATGCGATTTTCTGATACTGTACCCTATTTTCAAACAACCCCATATCTTCAATGCAAGCATCGCCGTATATGAAGGGATTTTAGACATGGTGACAAAGACCATGGAGCTCCCCAAAATGGCAAGGACATCAAATGATATTTTAAGAATTGAAACTTAGAAGATGGAAGGATCTAAGATCTAAGTCAACGTTGAAATCTCAAAAGTCATAAGCATCTTAGCGATGTCCAGTATCCAAAACGGATGGAGCCAGATTCCATCTGTTTCCTCGTGCTGGACTGGGATCATCTAGATGGAACTTTGCTCCCGTTTGCCACTGTCGGTCCTTTCTACTGTCGCTTGGGAGTTGGAACACAGATTCAAGCTGGTGCCCCCACAGTTAGAAATGAGTTATAAAGTTATAATCCCATTAACTATGGATTTATCATGATATATGTAAACCATAGTTATTGGAGTTCCAAACCAACTTAACGAACTATGGGGCACCACCCTGTTCCCAGCCGGGCCTCGTTGGTTACTTTCCTGGCTGGGTCCAACGGATGTAACCAGAAAACCCTGATTCAATGCATGACCTCCAAGAACATCATGGGCTTTTACGATCAAAACCAATCAAAAACAGTTTTTTTCCCATAGACTATAGACTTCCTCTTAAAACAATTCTGGAAAGTGAAGTTGAACGCTGGAATTGGCACCAGTAGACCATAGATATCCGAGAATAGTTTGAACTCATTGGATTGGAAAACCTGGTGCGCATGTTTTTTCCGGGCTGTTTGGGAGATCGGCTTGAGCGACTGTACTTGCGCAACCTGATCGCAATTTTTGTGGGAATCCAAGTCGAATAATGACAGGGTGTGGTGTGGGGCCCTAACTTTCCCACGGCAAGGAAGCAAGACCTTGTTCCACTCAGAAGCTTCGGGTTGAGGCTGCAAACCATGTTTTTTAGGTTTCTTAGTCAGTGCCTGCCTACTTCTGCCATGGTTCATAGACCTCATGCACACATGTATGCACAATCAACAATACATAAAATAAATCAATCAATGCGCATGCGAAGCTCCAAACAAACGTTTTATCTTTGCTTCGGATCTAATCACTGATCTTTGCACTCATGATTTCCAGGATTTCAACTTTTCAATCTATACATTATCCATAGATTCGGGGCTTTCTGAACACATATACACAAACACACACGCATATATATATATAATTATTATATAATGTGTAGATTTCAAGCTCTCTCTCTCTCTCTCTCCCTCTCTCTCTCTCTCTCCATCGCTATCTGCACAGGTTTTTTTGGTGTGTCCAAATCTAGGGTACCCCCATATCAGGTGGTTATTCATCATTTTATGAACACGTCCTTTTCGGCCTATACACCATTTCCATCCATTTCCGAATAACCATCCTCCAGTAGTCAAACGTAGCCATGGGAAATCCCTCAAGCATGGAGGTTTCAGTTGGAAAATCCCCTATAAATGCAGGATTTCCCAGCAAGCCATGTTTGATTACCACGGGGTATGTCCCCATATTACTATCATTTCCTAGCTATGTATCCCTATATAATGGTTGGTTAAATCCCATGATATAAATCCCATTAAATCATCATTAATTAATCAAATAGATATCATTAAATCAGCATTAAATCACCATTACCAGAGGGTCCAGTGATTTTCATAGAACCATCTTGTCAATGGCCCAACCCCCCAGGCGCGGAAAAACATCAATGGCGGCCCAGCGCGGCCTGATCTCGTTGCTGAGCTGCTCCTTGGCCCTGGCGGAGGCCGCAGCGATCTCGCCGTTCAGGGTTTCTTCCTTCTGACACAACTCCTGGAGGTACAAGGCGGTGCCCTGATAAACTATGATATCATGGAGATAAGTGGGGGTAAGTGGGGATATCCTAGGCCTAGAGTAAACCTACAAGATGTGAACAACTTATGGTTCCTGTTCAGAAAATGATCTGCAAATGGTGGGTTCTCCACATCTATGTTGGTTTACAGGAAGGTATGTTTGTTGAGTTCGAAAACCCATCAACTATGGATATCTTTACCGTATCCATAAATCCTAGTTAACCTACTTCAACACACCAACTTAACTATGGGGCACCACCTTGTATGATTGTGTCTTGAAATTAGGTGTGCCCCAAAGATGGCTGCTTTAATGGGACAATCCATGGTACAGTAATGCTGGCTGGAAAACATCTATCTGGATTCTCTTGTTTTGATTCATCTTACAATGTTGCCTCTCGCGTGTCCATCTCCGTTTACTTATACACATTATATATATATACACATTATATATATATAGACACATTATATATATATACATTATATATATACATTATATATATACACATTATATACATATATATATACATTATATATATATGCATATAAATGCACATATATATAATGTATATATATATATAATGTGTATATATATATATATATGTTATGTATATATATATGTTATGTATATATATATGTTATGTATATATATATATATGTTATGTATATATATATGTTATGTATATATATGTTATGTATATATATATGTTATGTATATATATATATATGTTATGTATATATATAATGTATATATATATATATGCACATATCGGTGTATGCACTTATTTCTACAATCAAAAGGGCATGTGCCCTCTGGTAATCTGACCGGGCAATGGGACATGGACTCCTGGAAAGTGAGAGGTGCAGTCCACAAGATAAGACCGTGAAATGTCATGTGGGGACCATATATTGCATAGAAGAAACCAACATGGTGACTATTTGATAGTGTTTTACATTTTCTGGTAAATTTGAGGGCCCCTATTGTGACCGTCACCGTGTGAGACCATCCCACTCTAATTTGCATGCGGATGGAACATAACAATATTTGACACCAGCAGTTGCTTACACAATGCTAAGTTCAGTGGGACATGAAACGAGCCGCTCCATTGAATGATGCAAGCCCATGAGCCAATCAATGTTGCTTATAGAGTCGGGCAGTAGCAGATTCACCGCAAAGATCCGCAAGGGGTCATCAACGACATCTCTGGATTAGCTAACCCAGAGCCATGTAGTTATTAGATCCCCAAATACTAGAAAACCGCATAGTGTTAGGGTCATCAAAAATGAGGGTTCGGACAATCATCCCGAAAGACCTTGGGGCACATAATAGCACAAGTGCTGGCCGAATTTAGTCATTGGGACCCTCTGGTCAAGAGTCCACCAACAAAAATCCCCACAGGATCAATGCCACAAGATGCCACAAGCCATCCTCAATCTCACCAATTCTATCATTTAGATTCATTACGGAGTGCCAAAAACTATATCACAGACATGGCTTTATTCGCTAACAGGGCGAGTTCACCGCAACCAGGCCATATTCATCATCAATCGCTGAATGCCAGGGCATGTCCCACACCGGCATTGACGTCGTTTTTGGGCACAGTTTGACCGAGGAGTCGCGCGGTAGGCGCGGCTCTAGCGGCTCTAGCGCCTGGTGAGCCCGTGCTGAAAATCTCAATGTCGTTCTCTCTCGTCTGATGCATGTTTTAACATATAAGTTATATAAGAACACACACACAGACACATGGTTGAAACATGGTTGAAACATGTTGAAACATGGTCGAAACATGGTTGAAACTAATTGTTGACAATAAATTCAGTATCAAAGTATCATAGCCCACCATCGACCTCTGCCGGAGCAGGCAAGGAAAACAGGACTGTGAGGAGCCCCTTGTTTTGGGGCTCCAGCTTTTGAGTGTTGAGGTGTCGACCCCAAATTCGGGGATTTTGACAGTCAGCTTTTGCTCCTTCAAACCAAAATGCGAAAATGCACAGCACACGAAACTGATGAAGCTGATGACCAACCCCGCCAGACATAGAAAACTCTCAGCCTGCCCTGTGGTGCCGAAGGTTGAAGGAGGCTAACCCCAAGTTGGGTCGACTGTGCATGACTATGTCTACTATTATATACTTTTGTGAACATTTTCGCCCCGCTCAGCATCGTAGATTTTGGATTTCAATCCTTGGCCAGTCTGAACGTCCGCTGTCATCGGCGACCTCTTTTCGCTGTGAGACCTGTTACTATGAACCTATTGCAATGGTAAACCATCTCAGAAACGAAAGTGGTAAACCCAACAAGACCCAATGAACCAGGGTTTTCAAGGTTTATTTGCAAACAAGGGATGAAATTAGACACGCTTCGCCCCCAATGGGTTTGATGATCCCTTCGCACAGCAGCATGGGTTGGTGCGACAGAATATACCTTCTGACAACTGGCAATGAAACAATTTTCGGTTGGAACATCACCTACAAATAGGGAAGTGTCAATTGCCAGGGTCGGTTTCTGATGAAATCCAATACCATAGATGCCATATGATGCCATAAATGGATAATCACCTGCACACACACACATATATATATCATATATATATATATCATATATATATATACATATCATATATATATATATATGTATATAGTGAACAACATAGAACATTATATAGCCTGTATGTATGTGTATATATATATATATATTATATATAGATATGATACATGATAATGTCTATGTACATAGAGTACACACAGGGAAAAATCCATTAGCCTTTGAACTTCCAAAGGTCATCCAAGACACTGTGCACACATCCCAGAGCAATCTTCATTCAGATGCTCACAGGTCAACCGAAAAGTGCCGCTCATGGACTGTCCACTGGCCCCCGGGGACACGAATTCCACCTCTTTCCTTGGTGCGACACGGAAGGCCCCTAAATGGTACTCTAACATGTGATAACATGGGACCCTCCTGTTCAAGTTTACACAGATGTGGAAAAACCACCATTTGTAGATCATTCGTAAGGAAACAAATGGTGGTTTTCCACATCAATAAATCATCGAACTGATGGGGGGTCATTTTTCCTATTTTCCAAAGACAAAAGGGCAGATGACCAGAGGGCAAATGATCTGTAAAGTGTGTGGTTTATGGGATTAAAGGGACATTGATCAAGATATATCAAGATATTGACGGGTTTATGTACGTTTATATGGTCATATGACCAACCATCATATCACATTTGTTCCATGACGTTGTCCAAAAGAATGGGAAGGCGGGAAGCCTTCCTGGAAACCAAGATGGACTTGATAATTCATGATAATATCCCAATTGGGGTATAATAATTGGGGTATGAAGTCCCATTTATTCATGATAATATTCCCAGTATATGATTATCATCCAAGAAATATCCCAATAAATATTCCACATCCAGTAATTGCTCTGATTCGATTCCACCCAAAGGCCCAAAGCCACATGATGAAGTTCGTTGCGAAAAGTCAGGCGGAAAGCTCCGAATTCAGATTTTGGATTTGTAGGACCCCCCCAAATGATGGACTAAACCTACAGCATGTATATATCTATAATATATATATATATATCTTATATTATATATATGTATATGTATCCACACACCTCAAACAATAATGCCGGGGATAGTTACCCCGAGCTGCTAAGCATCATCCAAGGGATTTGCGACCTCTGAGGTCGCAACAACTACATATTCCAGATTATTGCGGAGTCTGATGGGTATGTGGATTTGTTTGAACATAAGGTACCCATAAATCATCATAAATCATCATAAATCATCATAAATCTACTGGCGAATCATCATTTTCCTCATGAAAATCACCATCACTTTTTTTTTTCCCAAGGTACCGGCCAAGTGTCAAGGCCCTCGGATGAGTTCCGTGGAAGGATGAGTTCCTCGGTGCATCCAAGACTTTTCTCTGTCATTCCTTGGCTTCCTTAACATTACATGATATAATTACAGCTATCTATGTGTAACATTGTATGGCAACTTTTTTTTCCGATCATTAATCAACATTATAAGTCAATATTTTTATCATGATCATCTGCTACCACAACGGCATGTCCGAAGCAGCAACTCAAGCGTGACCTTTAAGGCTTCCCGTTGCGTCAAGCGTCACTTCTTCTTCGATCCATTTGGCCATGGCCATCCGCCATCTCGGGTCCAGCCACTCCAAGAGGTTGGGCAAGCGCTTCTGCTTCTCCACGGGCAGATCCGCAAAGTCAAAGGTTACTGACTTGATGATGTATCCTGAACTGGTGCTAAACATATGGAATGTATGGGAATGTGTGAATGGAATGATGGTTAATCTACTTTATCCTGAACTAACTGCTACTAAACATTACTAAACGGTGTAGCAGAGAATATTAGAACAGTGACTACCAACATGCTACCGACTTGTCGTCCTTCGTCATGGCCCTCTTTCGAGTTTGTTGGGGAAAACCCGGTGCCGACTGTCAATCTATTGCTTTGGCATACCAACTCACAATTGCTGTCCTTTTGCGGAAAAATATGGGGTTTGGCATAGCCTGGCTTGATACATCATTGGCTAGCATCTACCTATATTGGTTGTGGCAACTAGGGCTTGCCCAGTCCCTTTTTCATCAAACGAGTGGGAATGATGTGGTCAATCCATAGTCCATTTGCTGAACTTTACCATTTTGAAGCTGTGATTACGATTGATTACGAACGTTACGAAGCATACCTTCAAAGAGTGGATTCTTGTTGGGTTGACTCAATCACAGGGATCCAGGTCGGTTTTCACCAGCAATTGTGAACCACCATCCCAGCTGGGGGTCAGCTGGGGGTCACCGAGGTGACTGGTGAGGTGGCTGGTGAAATCCACATGGATGTTTTAAGATGTCCAATGAGTCCAATATCTCTATATATCATTTAAATACCTGTTAAATGATGTTAAATGTCCATCAAATACCAATTTAACAATCAAATTGTTTTGACACCGCTGAAACGTTTCTTCAGGTGGTCTCATCATTTTGAGCCCTCGAAGATCTTTGCTGCCCTGTCTCCGAGATCCTCCGAAAAGGCATCGATTACAAGACCTCGAGACTCCGAGGGCATGCCAACGGCTGGCGCATAGGGGTCCTCATTCATCATATTTCACAGATTTCAACTGCTTCATCAGCTCATCACAATGGATCATGTTTTATCATAGTTCAAACAAAACACACACACATAAACTTACACACACATGAGTACTTTAATATATATATATATATATTTATTTAATATACATATATTATATTATATATATTTCCCGGAATATATATATATATATACACTGTAATGGACCAGCACTTAGAATATACTTTTGTTTTAAACAACACTTAAAATATGAAATTTACACTTGATTAGTCGTTGCACGTAGAATATAGTTAGAACGTTGCACATCAAATATTTTAAGATAAACACCTTAAAAAAACATCGTAACAAATGGATGTTTGCTGCACTTAAAACATACGTTTACTTGCAGAAACCAAGAAAAGCTAAAGAAAACGATGAAAACACGAATAAAAACAATAAACACTATAACACAAAACTCTTGAAAACACCAATAAAACCAATAAAAAACTATGAAACAACTCATGAAAACACCAGTAAAACCAATAACAACTATGAAACAACTCTGATAAAAACTATGAAACAAACTCATGAAAACACCAACAAAACCAATCAAAACAAAGGAAGAAAAACAAGATGCAGCCCACGAACCCGAATGCTCACACGTATGTTGATGGTACAGATGTCGAAACACATGGATATGCAGTTACGTAGAACACTTTTGTGAATCAGTTTATTTGAACAATCTTGTACATTTTTCCCTGTTAACATACCAGTGCACCGTAGACTGTGGAATATGGAAGAAGGTGGCGTGCTAAATGTGGAGTGTGGAGTGTAGAGTCTGGAGTGTAAAGTATAGAGTGTAAAGTGTGGAGCGTCAAGTGTAAAGTGTGGAGCGCAGAGTGTGGAGTGTAAAGTGCGGAGTGTAAAGTGTAGAGTGTAAAGTGCGGAGTGTAAAGTGTAGAGTGTCAAGTGCGGAGTGTAAAGTGTGGAGTGTAAAGTGTGGAGTGTAAAGTGTAAAGTGTGGAGTGTGAAGTGTGGAGTGTAAAGTGTAAAGTGTGAAGTGTGGAGTGTAAGGTGTAGAGTCTGGAGTTTGGAGTGTGAAGTGTGGAGTGTAGGTGTGGAGTGTTAGGTGTGGAGTGTGGAGTGTGGAGTGTAGAGTGTGGAGTGTAAAGTGTGGAGTGTAAAGTGTGGAGTGTAAAGTGTAGAGTGGAAAGTGTGGAAAGTGTGGAATGTAAAGTGCGGAGTGTAAAGTGTAATGTGTGGAGTGTTTAGTGTAGAGTGTGGAGTGTAGAGTGTGGAGTGTAAAGTGTGGATTGTAAAGTGTGGAATGTAAAGTGTAGTGTGTGGAGTGGGGAGTGTAAAGTGTAAAGTGTGGAGTGTAAAGTGTAGAGTGTGGAATGTGGAGTGAGGAGTGTAAAGTGTAAAGTATTGAGTGTAAAGTGTAAAGTGTGGAGTGCGGAGTGTGGAGTGTAAAGTGTAAAGTGTGGAGTGCGAAGTGTAAAGTGTAGACTGTGGAGTGTAGAGTGTAAAGTGTGGAGTGTAAAGTGTGGAGTGTAAAGTGTAAAGTGTGGAGTGTAGAGTGCTGGGTGTGAAGTGTAAAGTGTAGGGTGTGTAAAGTGTAGAGTACAAAGTGTAGACTGTGGAGTGTAGAGTTTAAAGGTAAAGTGTGGAGTGTGGAGTGTAAAGTGCTGGGTGTGAAGTGTAAAGTGTAGGGTGTAATGTGTAGAGTGTAGAGAGTAAAGTGTAAAGTGTGGAGTGTAAAGTGTGGAGTGTAAAGTGTAAAGTGTAAAGTGTGGAGTGTTGAGTGTAAAGTGTAGAGTGTAGAGTGTAGAGTGTGGAGTGTGGAGTGTACAGTGTAGAGTGTAGAGTGTGGAGTGTGAAGTGCGGAGTGTAAAGTGTAAAGTGCTGAGTGTGAAGTGTAAAGTGTGAAGTGTACAGTGTAAAATGTAAAGTGTGGAGTGTGAAGTGTGGAGTGTGGAGTCTGAAGTATAAAATTTCGAGTGTGGAGTGTGGGGTGTAAAGTGTAGAGTGTGGAGTGTGGAGTGTAGAGTGTAAAGTGTGGAGTGTAAAGTGTGGAGTGTAAAGTGTAAAGTGTGGAGTGTAGGGTGTAAAGTGGGGAGTGTCGTGTGTAGAGTGTGGAGTGTAAAGTGTAGAGTGTGGAGTGTACAGTGAGGAGCGTAGAGTGTGGAGTGCGAGGTGTGGAGTGTAAAGTGTAAAGTGTAGAGTGTAAAGTGTGGAGTGTGGAGTGTAGAGTGTGGAGTGTGGAGTGTAAAGTGTGGAGTGTAAAGTGGGGAGTGTCGTGTGTGTAGAGTGTGGAGTGTAAAGTGTAGAGTGTGGAGTGTACAGTGTGGAGTGTAGAGTGTGGAATGTGAGGTGTGGAGTGTAAAGTGTAAAGTGTTGAGTGTGGAGTGTGAAGTGTAGAGTGTGGAGTGTGTAGTGTGAAGTGTGGAGTGTGGAGTGTAGAGTGTGGAGCGTGGAGTGAAAAGTGTAGTGTAAAGTGTGAAGTGTAAAGTGTGGAGAGTGTAAAGTGTGGAGAGTGTAAAGTGTAAAGTGTAGTGTCAAGTTTGGAATGTAAAGTGCGCAGTGTGAAGTGTAAAGGGTGGAGTGTGGGGTGTAGAGTGTGGAGTGTAGAGCACGCAATGCGACCCGTCTGAATTGCTGCGCCTGCCACGCAAAATGACGACAGAGATCTCCAACATGCTGCGCCTGCCACGAGAACTGCAACTCGTCTTGTGAAAACGACGCAAAAGTACTGCGCCTGCCACACAAAACAACTTTCGACACGGTATAAAACAGGTTGGAATGTCACAAAGTGCCACGCCGGCCACGCAAAACGACATGACAACCTGCTTGAAAACCTTCGAAAAGGAGAGGTTTTGCAGCTTCCCCCATAGACACGGCGAGGCCACAGGAAAACCAGAGACTCGAGACGAGACACGTGGGCGCAGCAAAACGAGCATTTCGTGGGAGACTTCCGCTAATTTTGATACTTTGTAGCTTCAGCGTTTTCCTACGAGTTTTCTTAGGAACCTCTAAATTTGCTACCTCAAAATCGATGTTTCGTGCGAGGCTTCTGTCAATTTTCAGCATATCTCAGAAAATGCCACGCCTGCCACGGAAGCTCTGCCAATGCGATTCGCAAAAAACACGCAACACGACACGTCTAAAGTGCTGCACCTGCCACGCAAAATGACGATGGACACGTCCAAAGTGCTGCGCCTGCCACGAAAACTGCAACGCATCTTCTGAAGACGTCGTAAAAGTATTGCACCTGCCACACAAAACGATTTTCGACACGTTACAAAACACGTCTGAATGTCACGAAGTGCCACGCCTGCCACGCAAAACGAAGCAACACCACATATGAAACCTCCAAAAACGACCCCTTCTGCAGAATTTACCATAGGCATGGCCATATGGCCATCACGCGGACGGTTGCGAACAGTTGCGAACGGTTGCGGACGGTTGCGGACGGTTGCGGACGGTTGAGCAACGTCGAGCGAACACACCCGCAACCCCCAGACCCCCAGAGTGAAACGGGAACCCTTGCTACGCATTCGGGAACTATTCTAAGTGCCGGTCCGTTACTGTAGAAAGATACAGGTACACACCTATATATCATGGACACATCTAGTGTTACATATTCATTATCATTCATTATCCTTTTCTCACTCGTTGTGTTCAGTTTTTAAGTGCAAAAACTACGTTTCCTTTCTCACACAGAAAGGAACATCACAGTGATCACCGAAAACACGAACCAAGATGAACTAAGTAGATCACAACACCGAAAACAGCAGAGGATCAGGTTTCTGTCTCTTTCAATGGGTGGCTACCTGAAATAACCTCTTCTCCAGACGTAAGATCTCGATAAATGTCGGCCATGCCTCAAAAAGTGCCGCCTGCTTCAACGGGTTGGTTTAAGGGCAAACAAGATGCAGCCCACGAACCCGAACGCTCACACGTATGCTAATGGTACAGATGTCGGAACACATGGATATGCAGTTACGTAGAACACTCTTGTGAATCAGTTTGTTTGAACAATCTTGTACATTTTTCCCCTGTTACCAAACCAGTGCACGGTAGACTGTGTAATATGGAAGAAGGTGGCGTGCAAAGTGTGGAGTGTGGAGTGTAGAGTCTGGAGTGTCAAGTATAGAGTGTAATGTGTGGAGCGTCAAGTGTAAAGTGTAAAGTGTGGAGCGCAGAGTGTGGAGTGTAAAGTGCGGAGTGTAAAGTGTAGAGTGTCAAGTGCGGAGTGTAAAGTGTGGAGTGTAAAGTGTGGAGTGTAAAGTGTAAAGTGTGGAGTGTGAAGTGTGGAGTGTAAAGTGTAAAGTGTGAAGTGTGGAGTGTAAGGTGTAGAGTCTGGAGTTTGGAGTGTGAAGTGTGGAGTGTAGGTGTGGAGCGTGAAGTGTGGAGTGTAGAGTGTGGAGCGTAAAGTGTAGAGTGTAAAGTGTAGTGGAAAGTGTGGAATGTAAAGTGCGGAGTGTAAAGTGTAAAGTGTGGAGTGTTTAGTGTAGAGTGTGGAGTGTAGAGTGTGGAGTGTAGAGTGTGGAGTGTGGAGTGTAAAGTGTGGAGTGTAAAGTGTAAAGTGTAGAGTGTGGAGTGTAAAGTGTAGAGTGTAAAGTGTAGAGTGTGGAGTGTGGAGTGTACAGTGTAGAGTGTAGAGTGTGGAGTGTGAAGTGCGGAGTGTAAAGTGTAAAGTGTAGAGTGTGGAGTGTGGAGTGTAAAGTGTAGAGTGTAAAGTGTAGAGTGTGGAGTGTGGAGTGTACAGTGTAGAGTGTAGAGTGTGGAGTATGAAGTGCGGAGTGTAAAGTGTACAGTGCTGAGTGTGAAGTGTAAAGTGTGGAGTGTGGAGTGTGGAGTGTAAAGTGTAAAGTGTGGAGTGTACAGTGTAAAGTGTGGAGTGTAAAGTGTAGAGTGTGGAGTCTGAAGTGTAAAATTTCGAGTGGCGAGTGTGGAGTGTAAAGTGTAGCGTGTAAAGTGTGGAGTGTGGAGTGTAGAGTGTGGAGTGTGGAGTGTAAAGTGTGGAGTGTAAAGTGTAGAGTGTGGAGTGAAGTGTAAAGTGGGGAGTGTCGTGTGTAGAGTTTGGAGTGTGGAGTGTAAAGTGTAGAGTGTGGAGTGTACAGTGTGGAGCGTAGAGTTTGAGGTGTGGAGTGTAAAGTGTAAAGTGTTGAGTGTGAAGTGTATAGTGTAGAGTGTGGAGTGTGCAGTGTGAAGTGTGGAGTGTGGAGTGTAGAGTGTGGAGTGTAGAGTGTGGAGTGTGGAGTGTAAAGTGTAGAGTGTGGAGTGTACAGTGTGGAGTGTAGAGTGTGGAATGTAAGGTGCGGAGTGTAAAGTGTAAAGTGTTGAGTGTGGAGTGTAAAGTGTAGAGCGTGGAGTGTGCAGTGTGAAGTGTGGAGTGTGGAGTGCAGAGTGTGGAGTGAAAAGTGTAGTGTGTAAAGTGTGGAGTGTAAAGTGTGGAGTGTAAAGTGTGGAGTGTAAAGTGTAGAGTGTTAAGTGTGGAATGTAAAGTGTGGAGTGTGGAGTGTGGAGTGTAGAGCACGCAATGCGACACGTCTGAAGTGCTCCGCCTGCCACGCAAAATGACGACAGAGATCTCCAACATGTTGCGCCTGCCACGAGAACTGCAACTCGTCTTGTGAAAACGACGCAAAAGTACTGCGCTTGCCACACAAAACAACTTTCGACACGGTATAGTATAAAACAGGTTGGAATGTCACAAAGTGCCACGCCGGCCACGCAAAACGACATGACAACCTGCTTGAAAACCTTCGAAAAGGAGAGGTTCTGCAGCTTCTCTCATAGACACGGCGACGCCACAGGAAAACCAGAGACTCGAGACGAGACACCTGGGCGCAGCAAAACGAGCATTTCGTGGTAGACTTCTTTCGCTAATTTTGACACTTTGTAGCTTCAAAATCGACGTTTTCCTGCGAGTTTTCTTGGGAACCTCTAAAACCTCTAAATTTGCTACCTCAAAATCGATGTTTCGTGCGAGCGAGGCTTTTCCGTCAATTTTCAGCATATCTCACAAAATGCCGCGCCTGCCACGGAATCTGCACCTTGTCGCCACTTGACGCAGCCCTGCCAATGCGATTCGCAAAAGCACGCAACACGACACGTCTAAAGTGCTGCGCCTGCCACGCAAAATGACGATGGACACGTCCAAAGTGCTGCGCCTGCCACGAAAACTGCAACGCATCTTCTGAAGACGTCGTAAAAGTATTGCGCCTGCCACACAAAAACATTTTCGACACGTTACAAAACACGTCTGAATGTCACGAAGTGCCACGCCTGCCACGCGAAACGAAGCAACACCACATATGAAACCTCCAAAAACGACCCCTTCTGCAGAATTTACCATAGGCACGGCCATATGGCCATCACGCGGACGGTTGCGGACGGTTGCGAACGGTTGCGGACGGTTACGAACGGTTGAGCAATGTCGAGCGAACACACCCTCAACCCCCAAACCCGAAACGCGAACCCTTGCTACACAAGGAAACCATTGATTTACCAAAAGTAGGGGGGTTCCATGGGTTTCCTGCCAATTTTCCATTCCAATCCCAGGATCGTTGAGTTTTGTTGAGTCCCCCGCGGAAAAGGACACCACCCCGCCCAGCCGTCAAGGCCAGCGTCTAATCTTGGTCACTTCTTCCATCTCCTGCCCTTGGGGCACCGCCATCTTCGCCGGCTCGTAGTAGAGGATCTCATTCGAGGCCCCGACGCCTCGAAAACTGGCGCACCGGTGGAATCTGGGCCATGGGCTGCCTTTTTATAGATAGTTCCGATATGTTCAGACAGCGGATGATACTGGAGAGGTAAACATGAACCACTGTTCACTGCATGTCTGAACATTAAAAGCGGATGTATTTATTTTTTGAGAATTCTGTAGGTATATATGCCATGCCTTTCGCATCTGCGCAATTTTTCTTTTGGCATCTTTTGGCACTATAACCTTCAACCCTTCAACCAATTGTGGTTCTCTCGCCGAAAGGATTGGAACAGCCGCCGAGAGGCTCTCCCCATCCGGGTGGTCGGTGGGCTCCAGAAATTTGCCGCCAATATTGCCCAGCAAAACCTGCATGTCGGTGCCACCATCAGGAGGCTCGGATCCCTCCTGGCCACTTTTTTCGACATTTTCACTGGGTCTCACTGGGTTCAGAGGAAAATCCACCAGAAGCCTGGTATTTACCATGAAATACATTGAAATACGGCATGTTCCTATATTTTCCTTCAACATTTCCCTTCAACTTGGGCCCTGTCTCAAGGGTTGTGGGGTGACTTGGGCGGATCTCTTCCTGCTGTTCCAAGTAACCTATTGCCATCATGGAAACATGCAATCACGAATTCAGCATATGAGATGTACAACTCCTATTACTCGTAAGTTGTTGGATAAATTCATATTTATATTCATATATTTATGCAACATATTGACTCTTGGGTTACCACATGAACGTAGAGTAAATAACATATTGACCGGGATGATCGGGATGCACATCCACCTTGGAGATTCCAAGGAAATAACCCGCTCGACCGCTGAGCTGCACCAAGAACACCTTCGCTGGAAAACTGTCCTCGGCACGTCTACGCTGCGAGGCTGGACATGGGAAAGACCTGGGTGGCACATCCATCCATCTACAAAGGATTATCCAAGAAAAAAAAGACCATATAGAAACATGCAGTTTTCCTGGCCAGCCATGTTTAAGTGCCTGGCCGGGTACCAGGAAAACATTGCTGGTGAACACATGGGAGCAAGATTTGATATACCGCAAGCGATGACAGTGACACAACTGGTTGCCTACCGTTGTTATCACCCAACCAGCAAGCGAAAACTCCAGAAAATCAAAAACCCAACTCAACATGGCAACACGGGACCGTCACCCTTCACCCTCAGTTGAAATACCCCCTGGCAATGATGATTTTCCCATGATTTTCCCAATGGTTTTCCCCATGAAAACCATCCTTTTAGTTCGGGGATTTCCCAGCTAGCCATGATTGAAACCCAAGCAACTCTTATAAATTCCATTCATTCCCACTTTCTCAGTTAACCTCTATATTCGATATGTACCACCATATTTTGCTGGTGAAGTCCCATAGTTTTGCTGGTTAAGGCCTTTTAAGGCCTGTTAAGGCCATGACATCCTCATGTCTAGCTTCTTGCTTGCCATCTAGCAGGTGTACCACACCACTGCTGGGCGTTTTGCTGGAGAAACTCACGATGGACTGAAAGTGCTCCTGTACGTTGTGCTGTTGTGTATGTCTGGGAAATGTCTCCCGTTCTCACAGTAAACATGGATGGGGCTTCAACATGATTTCACCGTCCTGACATTGGCAATGTAGTAATGTATGCATATTATCCGTACGTACATATAATCATATAGCCAGTATTCAAGACCCCCACTACAGTACTGCACCATTTTTTGGGGAGGTATTGGGTGTGGGATGTGTTGAGTGAAGCATTTCCTTATGTTCAAATCTGGGCTCATTTTGGAACAGTTCCCCGCACCCGTTATTGACAATCATTTGTGGTGAGGTTGTTGTAAGGTCGTTACAGGTTGCCCGCATGTATATGCATATGTTTCGCTGCCCCCCAGAGAATCTAGCTAAGTAATTTCTTGCTGGTATTTGCGGATATGCCTGGACGCAAAAGACCTGCAAGAATAGAATTTTGACCTAGAATAATGAAGGTTACGTGCCGGTAAAACTCTATCTAAATTAATTATACTGTTTCACTGTGAAATAAGGCTACTGATCTTCTCTTTGGCCAGCCTCCTCCCCGCAAGCAAGAAAGGACCGGTTACCTGAAATAAGGATATTTTGGGATGGTTCCCCTTACTAATCATCATTCCAGTGAGGTCACCGTGAGGTCGTTAGGGTATAACTGTATAACGAATATATATATATTTATATATATATATTTATATTTATATATTTATATATATATATTTATATATATATATATAAATATATTTATATATATTTATATATTTATATATATTTATATATTTATATATATATATATTTATATATACAGGTGGACGTTGAAAGCAGGACCGATGGTGCTAGAATATGTGTTCCTGCATGGAACGCCGTGGTCACAGCTAAGTCAGCAAAGGCAGGACCTGGACTATGAAACCCAATGGAAACGCTTTAACGCTTATGGTTGGTAGACGTGAAAACACTCACTTCCAAAAGCCTCTTTCCAATGGAACGCCGGTACCCAAACTACTATATAAACATATTTGGTTGATCACTCACCGTTCCCACGGAACGCTGGCTTTTACTGATGCTTCAGACCTGCCCGGCCCAAACCATTTGAGCAAATCCCCATGTGAACTCCGCTTCTCAAGACTACTCCCGCCAGAATCTCATGCGCAGTGTGTTTTAATTCAGACTGGAACTCCGGATTCACAAGTCAGGTTTGGACAGAAGGGTTGCATATCAAAAACTGTGGTGGAAAAAGGATGCATTTATACGAGGTCCGCTACGAGGTCTATACGAGGTCAGTCTATATGGTTTGTCCAGGAGCTCGCCATGAGCTGCTCCTGAAGCGGGATTGCTCCACTTGAGCTGGCACTTGTTGTGAAAACAATGAGCAGCTAAAACATGAGAATATCTCAGCTACTGATTCTTTCTCCCAACGGAACTCCGGCTAGGCAGACCTTTTGGGAATTGAACAGGCACACCTTTCACCACCTACTGTACTTGCATTATTTTCCATTCATTCGCATTGCTTTTGTTCATTTAGCATTTATTTCCTTCATTTTGCATTCATGTTCTTGCTGCTTGTATTCATGTCCTTTCATTTTAATTGCATGTCTTTCCATTTTGATGATCCAAGGTCCGGCATGTATAATCCAGTGTCTGTGAAACGCATACTAAACGCTAAAGGTACCGCCTTCACCGCACTGCTTTTTACAAGGGAACGGCTCTATTTTATACCACCGGTACCGTCTTCAACATCTGCCTGTATCACGTGTAAGTATCAATCAAAACGGGAGCAGGATCCGAACCGAGAAGTCTTTACCAGTGGATTTCATCAGAGAAAACCACAGTCTCCTGATCCTCTGGCGTCACAAATTCACTGAAGGGCTTCTGCAAAATGTCGGCTGGTTCCTTGGCAGCGGACAACCCCGCGTTTCTGCACTGAATCCGTTGCCTGAGACCGAAAGAACAGTTGAACGAAGGTGCGAACTCAAACCTTTGTTTATTCTTAATTATTTCATATTATTTCAGATTATGTTTACTTATTTCAGGTTGCAGCTGGATTGACATTTATTACAAATTCAGTATTTTCTTTCTTTTCGGTTTTCAAAGGCATGCTAGTTGTTTTTTTCCCGTCGTTGGGGGAAGGCCTTTGTTTGATGGTCAGAAACTGTTACATGGGAGCATGGGAAATCCGCACGGGAATCTTGTTGAGCGAAGGGTTCTTCTAATAATTACTAATAATTCTAATAGTGGAGCGTCTGCCATACATCTTCATATGTTCACATCCCCATCGGCCCCATCACAGCTTCTCATCTTCCCATCTTCCCATCTTCTCATCTTCTCATCTTCTCATCTTCTCATTTTCACATCTCTCTCTCTCTCTCTCTCTCTTGCTCTCTCTTGCTCTCTCTTGCGCTCTCTTGCGCTCTCTTGCTCTCTTGCTCTCTTGCCCTCTTGCTCTCTTGCTCTCTTGCTCTCTTGCTCTCTTGCTCTCTTGCTCTCTTGCTCTCTTGCTCTCTCTCTCTCTCTTGCTCTCTCTCTCTCTCTTGCTCTCTCTCTCTCTTCTCTCTTCTCTCTTCTCTCTTCTCTCTTCTCTCTTCTCTCTTCTCTCTTCTCTCTCACTCTCTCTCGCTCTCTCTCTCTCTCTTTCTCTCTCTCTCTCTCTTGTTCTTGCTCTTGCTCTGGTTCTCTCTCTCTCTTGCTCTCTTGCTCTCTCTCTCTCTCTCTTGCTCTCTCTCTCTCTGTCTCTCTGTCTCTCTGTCTCTCTCTTGCTCTCTCTTGCTCTCTCTTGCTCTCTGTTGCTCTCTCTTGCTCTCTCTTGCTCTCTCTTGCTCTCTCTTGGTCTCTCTTGCTCTCTCTTGCTCTCTCTTGCTCTCTCTTGGTCTCTCTTGGTCTCTCTTGGTCTCTCTTGCTCTCTCTTGCTCTCTCTTGGTCTCTCTTGCTCTCTCTTGCTCTCTCTTGCTCTCTCTCTCTCTCTCTTGCTCTCTCTCTCTCTCTCTCTCTCTCTCTCTCTCTCTCTCTCTCTCTCTCTCTCTCTCTCTCTCTCTCTCTCTCTCTCTCTTGCTCTCTCTCTCTCTCTTGCTCTCTCTCTCTGTTGCTCTCTCTCTCTCTCTCTGTTGCTCTCTTTCTCTCTCTCTCTTGCTCTGTCTCACTCTCGCGGTATCTCTCTCTTGCAATCTCTCTCTCTCTCTCTTGCAATCTCTCTCTCTCTCTCTCTCTTGCTCTCTCTTTCTCTCTCTCTCTCTTGCTCTCTCTCTCTCTCTCTCCCTGTCCTCTGTCACGGTCTCTCTCCTTCTTTTTCTCTTCTCTCTTTAGGCCGCGGGCAGTGCGGACGAGGCGCCACGAAATGGCCACCCTTTCGCACGAAATGAGGTTCGGTCGTCAAAAACTGCGGTAAAATTGCGCTTTAACATCTTCCGCGGCAACCCTGTTGCACGAAATGAGGTTCGATCGTCAAAAACTGAGGTAAAATTGTGATTTAACATTCTCGGTGGTAACCCTTTCGCACGAAATGAGGTTCGATCGTCAAAAACTGCGGGTTTTTTTGCGACTTTGGTTGGTCCGGCCCGGCGGCAACCCTTTCGCACGAAATGAGGTTGGAGTGTCAAACTGCGGCAAAATTGCGATTTAACATCCTCCGCGGCAACCCTTTCGCACGAAATGAGGTTCGATCGTCAAAAACTGCAGGGTTTTTTGCGACTTTGGTAGGTCCGGCCCGGCGGCAACCCTTTCGCACGAAATGAGGTTGGAGTGTCAAACTGCGGTAAAAAAGCGATTTAACATCGTCCGCGGCAACCCTTTCGCACGAAATGAGGTTCGAGTGTGAAAAACTGAGGGTTTTTCATGGTTTTTCCCCATCTTTGTGTGGGGTTCTTGTTTTTGATTCTGTATCCCGCTCCGGCCCCGCCGCCTCCGCCGACTTTGTCATCACACACTCTCTTTCACACAACTTTGTCACACACCATCTTTCATACACAACTTTGTCATACACTCTCTTTCACACACAAATACTCAGCACACACACACAACTTTGTCACACACCATCCATCTTTCACACCTGGCGACATCTACCGTCGTCTTGCCTGGCAGGCGTGGCACTTGGCGACATCGACCTTCGTTTCGCGTGGCAGGCGTGGCACTTATGGCACTGGGCTGGCTCTGGTGGCACGCTTGGGGCCCCTTGGTCGCGCGGTGACGCCGCGGCACTTTGGGTGGCAGGCATGGCGCTTGCGCGCATGAACTTTCGTTTTGCGTGGCATGCGCGGCGCTTGGCGACATCGACCTTCGTTTCGCATGGCAAGCGTGGCAGTTATGGCACTGGGCTGGCTCTGGTGGCGCGCTTGGGGCCCCTTGGTCGCACGGTGACGCCGCAGCACTTTGCGTGGCAGGCGTGGCACTTGGCGACATCTACCGTTGTCTTGCCTGGCAGGCGTAGCACTTGGCGACATCGACTTTCGTTTTGCGTGGCAGGCGTGGCACTTATGGTATGACACTGGGCTGGCTCTGGTGGCGCGCTTGGGGCCCCTTGGTCGCGCGGTGACGCCGCGGAACTGTGCGTAGCAGGCGTGGCACTTGGCGACATCTACCGTCGTTTTGCCTGGCAGGCGTGTGGCACTTGGTGACATCGACGTTTCATTTGCATGGCAGGCATGGGACTTGGTCACATCGACCATCGTTGTGCCTGGCATGTCTGACTTGTTGACATGTTTGATGGAAACTTTGGCCAAACATTCTGGCATGTTTACAGAGACGCTTGGTGTGAGCCATGCTTAGCTATGTGCTATTACAAGCCATGTTTGATCCATGTCTTGCAGCACCAGCCATTCTGGATCCATACTTTTTTACCATTACAATGCGATTTGCATCCACTCTTTGCAGAACACAGAGGAGAAACCGATTGACCTCGAAACGATCCAAACCGCACCCGCCGCACACAGGAGGTACCCTTCATCGCCGGCTGCAGCCACTTTACACGGAAAAACATACGGTTTCGTGCTCCGGCTTCCTCCCCAAAACCAGCCCCATGCAACATTCATGCAGCCATTAATTACAATTAATGCGTTTTGCAGCACCACGTACACACCCATGCAGCCATTACAATGCGATTTGCATCCACTCGTTGCAGAACACAGAGGAGGAACCGATTGACCTCGCAACGATCCAAACCGCACCCGCCGCACACAGGAGGTACCCTTCATCGCCGGCTGCAGCGACTTTACACGGAAAAACGCTCGGTTTCGTGCTCCGGCTTCCTCACCAAAGCATCCCAAAACCAGCCCCATGCAACAACCTTTCATTGAGTGTATTGTTATGTGATGTCAAGTCTCACACCACCCTTCATCGAGTGTATTGCTATGTGATGTCAAGTCTCACACCACCTTTCATTGAGTGTATTGTTATGTGATGTCAAGTCTCACACCACCCCTCATTGAGTGTATTGTTACGTGATGTCAAGTCTCACACACCCTTCATTGAGTGTATTGTTATGTGATGTAAATAAAGTCTCACACCACCCTTCATTGAGTGTATTGTTATGTGATGTCAAGTCTCACACCACCCTTCATTGAGTGTATTGTTATGTGATGTCCAGTCTCACACCACCCTTCATCAGGTAAAAGTCATCCGTAACTCGGAAGATTGCTTCCCAACTTCCTTTGATAACCCTAAGGCAACTTCCGCCCCGTCTCGTGCGGGTACTAAGTACTTACTACTGGTATAAAAAGAAATCTAGGCCGTTTTGAGCCTTGTTGAGGTCGTCTTGAGGCCAACTTGGGGTGTTGGGCCATCTGACAAACCTCTGAACATTCCGAAGCTTCGCCAAGCATCCACCTTGAGCAAATCGAGCAAACTCACTGAAGGCTGAGAAACCTGCCCAACTGGCGGATCTGCCAAGGTCAAGGTCCATTTGGATGCCCATGGATGACCTACCATGACCTACCCATCTGCCAAGGGACAATCTTCCAGTTGCAACTGATGGGTTTTCCATGGTTTTCCCCTTATCTTCCCATGAAAGGTGGCCATGTGGCCACGTTAGCGCTTGCTGCCATGCTTGAGTTCGGAGCTGGATCGCCTGAAGATCATAGGACAAAGCTGAGCAAGCATCGCATGTAACACTCAGCAGTTGCCGAACCGCCTCGCAAAAGCCTCGGTGGGTCGTTCCAGTGGCCGATCCTGACAGCCCATCGGCCCATCGAGATGGACTTGCACGTGAGATATCGTGAGATAAATGTGAGATATATCTCAGCACCAGGGCATATCTCATTCTATTTTAGCGGTTTGCTCTTGTTGCCTTAGCTTCTTAGCCCTTTAGGCAGTTACAAACCATTGATTCGGTGCATAAACCCATGGGGAGCCAGCAAAAGTGAGTTTGACATGGACAAAAAACAAGGACAATCATTGAAACTTGCCTGATTGATGAAGTGCGTCAAATTAGTAGATGAAGATAAATGAGAGTGCCCAAACTCTTTAAGACATACACACACGCACAAGGATGCACTGTATTCAAAAACCTTGGCATGCACTGACACATGGACCAATTAAAAACATATTTCAGGTTCCAAAGCTGCAGAACTAGCAACTTTTGGCTTCTGCAGCACTCTCTTCTGCAAACATCGTGGCTATCACCTGTCACGACCCATTCCTAGAGCGGCAAATTCATCTGCCGCATCTTCCCATGAGTGAACATGTGAAATTTCTGTTAAAACATATGTTGTAGACTTGTAGATCACGCAGGAATAGATCTGGGCAAATTGCTATCAAATCGGAACTATGGAAATCCTGGGGTTGATTGACTTTTATGGGCCATAGAATTTAATAAATCAAAAATAATGTAAAATAAGTTAAATAGTTAATTAAGTTAAATCCCAATAATTTCCATATAATCAGTTGTGAAATAAACATTTTTTTGGGAGAATCCTCCACTCATCTATGGCTGCAGGTCAATGCTCACCTGCTTGGAGAGCGTCCATTCGTTTCTGCTGTGTGCCAGAAAAAGACCCAACACTCCTGGCCGAGGAACGATATGGAACCCACGGGCCACGGCTCGGACGTCAGGAAAAATGCTGAAATATTGGCCATGTTATCTTTTCTTAAATGACTGTAACTGTGATCTTTTTTTTTAAAAATGACTGTAACTGTGATCTTTATTTTTTAAAAATGACTGTAACTGTGATCTTATTTTTTAAAAATGACTGTAACTGTGATCTTATTTTTAAAAAATGACTGTAACTGTGATCTTATTTTTTGAAATGACTGTAACTGTGATCTTATTTTTAAAAATGACTGTAACTGTGATCTTATTTTTTTAAAAATGACTGTAACTGTGATCTTATTTTTTAAAAATGACTGTAACTGTGATCTTATTTTTTAAAAATGACTGTAACTGTGATCTTATTTTTTAAAAATGACTGTAACTGTGATCTTATTTTTTTAAAAATGACTGTAACTGTGATCTTTTTTTTTTTAATGACTGTAACTGTGATCTTATTTTTTTAAAAAAATGACTGTAACTGTGATCTTATTTTTTAAAAATGACTGTAACTGTGATCTTATTTTTTGGAAATGACTGTAACTGTGATCTTATTTTTAAAAATGACTGTAACTGTGATCTTATTTTTTTAAAAATGACTGTAACTGTGATCTTATTTTTTAAAAATGACTGTAACTGTGATCTTATTTTTTAAAAATGACTGTAACTGTGATCTTTAAAAAAATGACTGTAACTGTGATCTTTTTTTTTAAAAAAATGACTGTAACTGTGATCTTATTTTTAAAAATGACTGTAACTGTGATCTTATTTTTTTTAAAAAATGACTGTAACTGTGATCTTATTTTTCAAAAATGACTGTAACTGTGATCTTATTCTTTAAAAATGACTGTAACTGTGATCTTATTTTTTAAAAATGACTGTAACTGTGATCTGATTTTTTTTAAATGATTGTAACTGTGATCTTATTTTTTAAAAATGACTGTAACTGTGATCTTATTTTTTAAAAATGACTGTAACTGTGATCTTATTTTTTTTTTAAAATGACTGTAACTGTGATCTTTTTTTTAAAAATGACTGTAACTGTGATCTTATTTTTTTAAAAAAATGACTGTAACTGTGATCTTATTTTTTAAAAATGACTGTAACTGTGATCTTATTTTTTGGAAATGACTGTAACTGTGATCTTATTTTTAAAAATGACTGTAACTGTGATCTTATTTTTTTAAAAATGACTGTAACTGTGATCTTATTTTTTGGAAATGACTGTAACTGTGATCTTATTTTTTAAAAATGACTGTAACTGTGATCTTATTTTTTGGAAATGACTGTAACTGTGATCTTATTTTTAAAAATGACTGTAACTGTGATCTTATTTTTTTAAAAATGACTGTAACTGTGATCTTATTTTTTAAAAAATGACTGTAACTATGTGTGTATATGTATTTATATATAGCTATAGTATCCATCTAATCATAATTGTAATAGCCAAAAAACCGTAACATACTGTAACCATGCATTTTTGAGCCATGCACACATATCCTCATGGAGTTTTAAAGAGAGATTCCCGATGCCATTGCTCAACGTTTGGTTCTGGTGGTTCTGTTCGTGCCAGAAATATCCATAAATCCATGCACTTGGATCACTTGGACAGTGGGCTGGCCCATATTCATCCTTTTCTGGTTGGTGGTTGAGCCACCCCTCTGAAAAATATGAAAGTCAGTTGGGATGATTATTCCCAATATATGGAAAAATAAAATTCATGTTCCAAACCACCAACCAGTTATATAATCACAAGCTACAGGCTGGGGAGACTTGTTCTCCAGCAAAATGTCAAATGGGATGGGACGGTTGAAGACCCCAAGGCTTTGTGAACCAGCCCATTGAAAGATATAATTAAACCAGATGGTTTTGCCTGCAAATGAGGCACCCCCGAATCCACTGGTTAATCATCAATTTTCTCATTCAACCATTTTGGGAAATTTCCAATTTCTGAAGAAACCGCACAGCTGCCCATGCCCGGTTTTCAATATATTTTTTGAAGGACATAATTACAGACCATAGTGTTTTCATCATGAAACATATGAGGGGTTCCGGTCAAATTTACAAGCAACCAAATGTTTACATTCACGCATTGGACATCAATTGGCCTAATATTTGATCCTTCCACGTCCTTCAGCCAACCTTTATCCCCCCCTCTGAAACTCTGAAACAAAAAAGACAAGTCTGGATAAATTATACCAATCCACCAGACTGAAATAGGTCCAATAATATCATTAGTTCACCCAAGCCTAACGATCATTCTAGTGACGTCGCGTTGGGTTTGGTCCCGATCTACTTATCTACTTCATCCAGGGATAGACGTCGTCTTAAATCCCAAAAAACGGTTTGATATAATGATTATTAAATGTGATTAATCCATATTATATATCATATTACATATAATGATTATATAATCCATATTATTATAATGATTATTAAATGTGATCAACCCATATTATATATCATATTATATATAATGATTATATAATCCATATTATTATAATGATTATTAAATGTGATTAATCCATATTATATATCATATTATATATAATGATTATATAATCCATATTATTATAATGATTATTAAATGTGATTAATCCATATTATAATTATATATATATAATTCCCTCATTCACCCTCTGGTAATTCACATAGCTATGGCCAATGGTCATAGCTATGGTCCATTTGGTTCGATGATTTACCGATGAAGAAATTTTGGTTTTACAATATTTTAGACAATATATTTGGAACCAACGGAATCCAAAAGGTACATCCATTTTTTATCATTTTTCCCCATTAAACTCATTAAACTCTCACTTGTTGATGTTTAACCATCATTTTTCCCATTCACCTCCCATCAATGTAGAGCTTTCCATATTTCCCATATCGCTTCCCCTTTGCGATCATGGCCCAAGGCAGCTTTGGGGCCCAGGGTCCAATGCATTCATTGAACATCAAGCACATGAAATCCATGTCCATCGAATCCATTGGTGGCTTCAGCCACCACTGAAGAATTGCCGTCCTGAGGAAAGAAGTCGTGGCAGCCATGATTTATATATATATATATAATATGTCTGTGTACATATAATATACATGTATACCTGTATACATATATATATATTGTGTATATGTACATGTATACTGTATACCTGTATGCATGTAAATTCCCCTCAGGTAGCGGGTCATGATGTTTTCTTCTTGTGATAATCCCATCTTCTGAGTTCTAGTTTAATTTACTCCATATGGGCCCTAAAATGAATCGATTCCATACTGAACAAGGACTTCTAGGCGGGAGTTTAAGATAAAAACTGGGCCCATGCTCAACCTTATATCCTCAAGGGTTTAAGTCTTTAGTTTCGGCTTTAGTTCCTTTCTGTTTTAAGTTTTCCCCCCCATATATACATTCCCAAACATCCCCCAATATTGTTTCTGGATAAATTGGAATAATCCACTCGTCTTAAAAGTTCGGCCTTCTCTGGGAAAGAAGGCCAACCCCCAATGCAATTCCCATGGTTCCAGGTGACGTCGGGCTTCTGTGATATGATTTCTGTGGCAATCAATTCGCGATGATAGATGACTAACTCATACCAGTACTATGTCATTGCCATTTTTTAATATCCATATGAATTTATATTCTTCATATCCATGACATATCCAAATTGTTAGAATTATTAATAACTTTTAATACTAACTCTAATATCCATGATGATTAGACTAAATAACTCATCCATATGAATCCATATGAATCCCTCACGAATCCCTCATTGACCCTCTGGTCATTTCACATGACCGGATCGTGGCTACAACCGAGCTGCAACGGGGTTGTTGCCAGCTGCAAGCGAAAGTACAAGGAGGGTTCTGGGACTATCTGGCCGTGGAGGTGACTTGGTGGCATTTTGCATCATTTTTCATGGCGAAGATTCACGGTATCAACGATTTCCATGGTCCAAAAAAGGCCATATGATGTTGAAATATGTTAAAATATGTTCCAGCGATGGTTCCTGATGGTTATTAACACAGACACACACACACACACGCACATATATATATATATATATCATGCTTATATGCGTGTTTTTAGTGGAAGCTAAGCAGCATTACGCAGAAGTTTATGGGACGTATTACCACCATAGGATCAAGCCGTCACCAACTAACAGTTTGACTGTGGGTCTATGTTAGTTGAAGGGACCAGGAAGTGATTTATGGAGCCTATGGCATTAGAAACTCGCCTCCATGTTCAATGAAGACTAGAGTTTTCTTACAGGTACTGATCACATCTCAAAGTCCAACAAACATGTACCAGCTACCCCACAAACTTACTTCGCAAGTCGGGCTTCTGCTGGACTGCAGGGCCGTGTGGGTTGCGTGGTGTCGGGGGTGGGGGCTGGGGCTGTGCGGGTCAATATGCACGAGCCAGAAAACTATGAATCTGGCCCAGCAAATGGCATTGATCAGGCTGGGATCACCTCTAAAAAACATATGCCGGCGCAGCAATGCAAGGAAGGCATCACTGATCCTTGTATTCCGGATGATTATATATTGTCTCAATCTGTCTCAATGGCTAGGTTTTGAGACAGAGGCTCCAGGATACCATGAATCAAAGTAGACCCGTGGTTGTTCTAAATATAATCATAATTACATATTATAGATGGTCACAATGAGGTTTTTCTAGCCGCTTTGTTGCAGATTTCTAGTGCCAAAACCATGATTGATAGTTTTTGGTACGCAGCATTCTTGCTTTTTGATGTTTTCACATAGGCAGTCATGGTGGGTATGTTCGAAACATTGTAAATTTTCCATGACATGCACATCATACTTGACTGCGCATCCGAGTCAGTAAATGCATGGCTAATATCCGAAGGTCCCCTTTCTGAAGGATTGGAATGCAATGGCAAAGCTGTGTAATTTTAATATTTTTTTCAACGGGCTTACCACATTTATCATGTGCATCCATTTGCGGGATTACAACGAACTATAGCCGCTATAGCCTACTAAACACCTGCTTCTTAGCATTTCTCCCCACTTAAAAGCCCTTTACGAGTCAGCATCAAACTCATCACCCATCCGGCCTCCAAAATGACTGCCTTCCCCAGCATGCCCAGAGGTTGCATCTGCACCGGGGCAGATAAAATCGCCCCGGAGACCATGAAGAAAATCAGTGCCGTGTCGCGCGTGGTGCTGTGCTGCCCGCCCGTGTCCATCACATAGCCTGGTTTCAAATTTCAAACCCCAAAAAATATCAAAAAATGCCACTTCTGCGGAGAACCCATGATCAATGGATTGGTTTAAGGGAAAATTTTCAGGAAAAAAACCCTTTTTTTCATGGGAAAATCTATGGTTTCCGATTAAGTTTCCCTCAAGCCACTCCATTGACATGAGGAAAACCACGATGGGAGTCCGAAAAAAACCATGATCCACTTGTAGGAGATGGGCAATGATGGACCCAGTGATCTGATGGTCTTGTGACCTCCTGGCGGTGACTCTGAAGCCCACGAACTTTTGAGGCGGCAAAATCGAGAAACCGATGTGCAAATCAACTCGGCTGGTTTGAGAATGTTTGAGAATACATACATATATATATATATTAATATAATTATATAAGTATATATATATAATTATATAAGTATATTCATATACACTAATATACTACACTGCCGTAAATAAACCACCTTTCATTAGCGCAGTCACTGGCATGACCTAATGAGCTACCAACCCCTATCCATCAACATGCATCGACCCATCAAACTGCCAACTGCCATCATCATCCAATCTTTGAACCACTGAACTCCAGCGGATTCGTTGGCCGCTCCCTCTGAACTCAAAAGACATCCAAAAAGGAACCCATACGTTTATGGCATTTTTATGGCCATGTCCAAGTTCATAAAATCATCACCCAAAGTTGGGTCCCCCGTTTTCTTAACCTGTCGATTCTGCTACAAAGTGACGCAGTGTCATCCCGAACAGCGGCACGCTCGCACAAAAGGTCATGGCCATTGCTTGCTTCAGCTGCAGTAAGGAGAAAATGTTGATGAAAATCAGAAAGATCGTTGTGAAGTCGTTGCACAAAATCCACAATGGCAGGGTCTTCTTGAAGCCTGAGATTTGAACGAGCAAGTATGACGTCATATGGGATGTATATCCATGATCATGTACATTGTGTGTGTGTGTCTTGTATTGTATTTGTATTTGTATTTGTATTTGTATTGATTGTATGTATTGTATGTATTGTATGTATTGTTTTGTATTGTATTGCATTGCATTGCATTGTATTGTTTTGTATTGCATTGTATCTATTGTAGTGTATTGTATTTTTATTTCTATGTCTATTGGTAGTGTATTACATTTTTATTTTTATTTCTATTTGTATTGTACTGTATATATATATACACCATATGATATGGCAAACATAAAAGTAAACAATGTTGGTGGCGGTAAAAAAAACAAGTCTGCAAGTCCCATGATCCGACAACATAGGGATTCGCTGGCAAAAACAACAAGAGGTCAAACATTGTCAATATTCATATGTAATATATATATATATACACACGTGTAATACATATATATATATATATACATATATAAGTTGTAATACATATATATATATATATACTTGTAATTTTTTTTTTGCACAAGCCCACTGATCCATTTCGGTGCGGCTAGCAGTCTAATTCCCATCAGCCCGCCACTATTGGGCATAGTCCCGGCCGATGGTGTGGCTATATTCCTTTGAATCCATAGCCATGCATTTCTGCACAAAAGGATCGCTGAGCTGAACCGATGCATCGAAGTGACAGGCCTCAAGCGATCTGCAAAATTGTACAGCAAGAGCTCTACTCATTGCTGGTGGATACTCTTTGAGCACCCCTGTACGCCAGCATCCATCATCATCTTTACCGATCGCCACACGGCGTGGCAAGTCTGTGCACAAATGATGCTTGCGTAGTTCGCGCATGAGCTCCGGCATGTTGAGGACAAGCAACCTGGTTGGTTTGGGTGTGGGAGCTCCAAGCAAGCCCTGGCAAAATCCAAATGATTGCACACCCGGCATTTGCAAAAGCCATTGCATGACTCCCAATCGCCATATCGATGGCATCACCTCCTCATCCGGCATCTCAGGATGCTCGAGGACTCCAAACCCACCGACGATCGCCAAGCGAAAGAGCATTTCCAGTGAGAAGCATAGTAAGTGGTTGCCCACACTCACTTGCTCCACCTCGCGCAAACTCAATGACCCGAGGCCCCATAGCTCCTCCGCAGAGCGAACTGGTCTCGGTCCCCTTCCTTGCGCGGTCTTGTTCGCAAAGCGCGCTCTGCTCCAAGTTTCACATGGGGGCCCACAAAGAAATGCTGCAACCTCGCCCGAAGATGCATGCTCAAACCAAAACTGCTGCGTCGCCTCAACCGTGACGTCCCCCATGATGCGGTCCATGATGATGTCAAGGGAGACAACCGTGAGGTGGACGCCCTCAGCAAACCTGTTATAGAGCTGTTCCATATAGAATTGCAGGTCTCCCTTCCTGCGTCGCCCACTGAAGGCGTGCAGCACGATCTGGTGTCTCCCGCAAGGACGATGGATATTGATCTCGGACGCCTGAGGCCTGCAAAGCGGATCGACCTGGCAATCTCTTTCTAGATCTTCCAAAACCGGAGAGGCAGAAGCCTTTGCCTCTCTGGATAATGCAAGAAATGGCCATGTCTCAACCTGTGTCAACGTAAGGATGATTTGCACAACCTTCTCTTTGGACAGGAGCTCCCATCCCTGTTGCTCCTCCTGAACGGTCTGCATGAGTTCCCATAGGGTCGCTTTGCAGTGCGTCCAAGCAATCTCTTGCTGCAGAATGATTTGCTTCATCCTTTCGAGGAGATTCTCATCCACTAATTGCTGCTGTTCATCCAGGATCGCAAGTGCAAGCGCGTCATGTAAGTCCCAGTCAATCTGTGAAAGATCTTGTCCTCCTCGACCAGGCTTGAGCGGGCCGCATGCTTGTAAGGGTGGCAGCCTGCCATCATGTCTGAGCTGCCGTTCCGCGTCTTCCTTGGAACCAATGCCCGGAAGGGCCGGTCCTCGAAGGCGATGATGAAGCAGATAAGCCCGGCAAGCGCTGCTCCGAAGAAGGTGCGACTGGACTTGCGCCACTGTGTGATATTCCCGGAGGCATGCCGAGCACTGCGTGCCTGAGATGTAGTAGCGAATGGGATTGATCTTACCATGAGTACGACAAAGGTGTGCACCCTCACCTCCCTTGGATTTCAACCGTATCTGGCAGCTCATGCATCCAAAACGAGGTGAATCTGCAGAAGGATGTACTGTTGGTGCTTCCTGTTGCCAGAAGCCATGCTCGCTCAGAAGCCGTCTGATCTTCATGTGAAACTGTGTGCACGCAAAGCGGAGAGCATGTTGTTGAACAGCATGTCTTTCAGTGCGTCGAAGAAGACCTTTCCAATAACTTCTGTGCCAAGTCATGATCTCCAACCAGCGATTCATGTGCTGCGTAGGGTCGCCAAGAGTGCATGTATTGGAGAGGTTGCGCCATACCCATCGAAGGTCATCTTCAATCAGGCGGATCCATGTGTTGTCCTCATTGACAAGTCCCCAACACGCAGGTTCGCCAATGCTGCACAAGCACCCCAAATAGCGCAAACGCGAGAGTCGGAGAAGATCAGTCGGGGATGGCATGCTCAATCTGAATAGGACCTCCTCGTCCGACATGGTGTCATCATGGCTGCATCCCAAAAGACGTCTATATAGCTTCATGATGGCAACATGAGCACGGTGCTTGGTCAGGATGTCCTTGAGCACCCAGGAGTCCGCACCATACAAAAGGCGACTCAGAATCAGGCTCCTGAAGATCTCGGTTCGTTTGCGAATGGATAGAGCTCCGTTCTGATAAATAAGCTTTCGATGTTTGCTGAAAGCCTGGTGAGCAAGTGCAACCCGACGACTCAACTCCATGCGAACTTCACCAGAGTGATGTAGAACACCTCCAAGATGCACATAATATTTGGTCACAAGATGAATGTGATACATGCCATACTCTCCCATCGCCGGGTAGCTGCCCGTAGCCAAAGGACCAAATAGCTCTTTGCGCCATTCTCTTGTGCCCCTTCCTCTCGGACTGATCATAAGCTCAGTTTTTCCCGGTCGAAGGTTGGGAGTCATAGCATGCTCACGGAAGACATCCAAAAGAAGGCTGGCAGCCACACCAATCTTCCGTCGAAGGCCTTCATTGGTGTCACTCCAAAGGCATAATGCCATGTCGTCCATCCAAACTGGCCCTAGGAAACGTTGGGCGGATGGCTCTTGTGTTGTGTTCACATCAAAGAATGCTGGACCCGCTTGCACAGGTACTTCTGAAAGAACATCAGCCAGAGCAAGCTTTTGTTCAAATTCACGTAGAACACGAGCTAAAAGAAAACCAAACACCACATCAGCGTACGCGTCACCCGGGCGTGTGCCCATTGTAGTGGCCACAAAATCATCTTGAGTCGGCAGCTGAAAGTGTGTGTTTGAATGTAGGGCCTGAATGACCCTCTGAGCTGAGCGAGGCAATCCAGCAAGGACCAAAGAGTGTGGTTCCTGGAGGTGATTCCAGAGGTCGTGTAAAACATCTTTATCAAGGCCAAGTCGAATCGCCAGCTGTGCCAGTTCTTGATCGCTAAAATCTCCGGGCATCGCCAGCTGGCGAAGAACTCGGTAGAAGGCTTCCTGTAAGTCCACGAACAAAACTGCCGTTGGATGGCCTTGATCGCGATGCCATCGTAGAAACGCTCTGGTCAAATGGGCTCCCAAGGTCACAGGTACCTTTTGGCGGCCTCCCAGTTGTTGGGCATGAAGGAAGGCTTCATAAAAGCTTCTTTGATGGACTCTGAGCGTACGATGGATCACTTTACCAAGGTTGGAAGAAAGAAGGATCGACCTGAATGCTTCACAGGTGTCTTTGGCCAACTTTCCCTTCCAAATTGGCATGACAAGTCCACCTTTATGAAGGAGTGGTTCATGGCCATGGGTAACCAACTTCAGCAATAGCCCGTATAGCATCTTGGCAACCTCTTTGGGGTAATACTTGCAGAGTTCAGAGGGCACTCGGTCGGGGCCATCTGCCTTTCCAGCCTTGACCCTGCGACACGCAGCCTCCAGTTGACAAAGACTCGGAATCTCCGAGATCTCCATACTGCATTGAGCATCACTGAGACTTGCTATTGATAGCACCCAATCTCTGTGAAGTTCTTGAGGTGAGACTCTCCTTGCTCCTTCCATCTCTGCGAAAAACTGGATCCACCTGTTCAAGGCCTCGGGGGCAGAATTGCATGGTGCACCATCAGCATTTCGAACTGCAGGAAGTGGGGCAAGTCCCTGTCGGAGTTTGTTGGAGCTCCCCATGAAGCCCTTCATCTTGTGCTGAATTTCTGAGGCCGCTGTCGATGCATCAATGGTGCCCAAAACCTCAGACACCTGTCTCGCCTTGTCGCTCGCAAGGTGTCTCTTCAATCCCCAAGAAGTGGCACGAAAACTCACATAGTGTTTGAAGAGGCAACATCGCAGAGTCGTGCCGTAGGCAAAAGACTGAGCTCCTCCTAATGGGTCTGCTCCTTTCCATGCCTTGAAGACTCTCGCTATCGCTTCACGCGCCAAAAGAGCCCTGGTTGTTTTCAGCTGTTTGCGATGAAAGAGCTTTTGTCTTCTGAGTTCCCATGCCACCTTGGAGACATACTCTTTCTTAGGTTGCTTGCGATCTTTTTTGCAGTGCTTTTGCAAGGTTGCATGAATGTGAGTGGTCAGAGCATCATTCTGTGTTTCAACATCAGTGTTCCACGCCGCCACCTGGAAGTTGCTCAAGGTGGTGCCCAGGTTGTGCTTGTCAATCTGATTCCTGTCAAAGCTACAATGTCCTTCCTGCTTGGGGACAGGGTTGCGACGCTTGGTAGTCCACCATGACAACTCAATACCCGTGGCAGTGTGATCAGCTGTGTGATTTGCCAAGTCCAGGTGTTCCAGCAATTGTGAATGGACACATGCACTGAGTTGACCCGCAGGAAGCATGACAAAGTCAATGAGGTGAGAGCTTTTGCCGTCAGGATGATCCCATGTGTGACGTGGCCCAACATGCACAGCACTAGTGACTGGGAGGCACAAATCAAACATGGTCAGGAAGTGGCGCAGAAAAGGTGTGGAACTCGACGTAGAGAACCCATCCTGCAGTATATGTCTGCCATCAGAAGGTCCAGGCGCCGCATTTGCATCAGCACATACATAGAGTTCATCTTCCTGTACTTGATGATCAATCAGCAGCTGTTGCGTGTGTTCCCACCAATGTTCTCTCTGCTGAAGAGGTTGTCCACTTTGCGGTGCATGAAAGACTAAGACCCAGAATTGTTTCCAGCAGGCGTCAATCTTGGTGAGCAGGCGCGTGTCATCATGGAACACCACTGTAAAGTCACTCTTGTTGAGGTATTGTGGTCGCCCTTTGACATACCCATAAGGCTGCTTCAGATTGCACCATAGTTCAATGCCATGTTGACCATCCTTGCTGCCAGAACAGAGTCTGTAAACATTGTGAACAATGGATGCACCCGAGGGACTCCTCGTTTCCTGCAATCCCAGGAAGTTGAGTCCATGACTGATGAACTGTTCTCGAATGTAGTTGACTTTGCCTGCGTGTCCTTCTGGGCGTTGGCTGAGTGAAAGAACATTGGCAGCTGCAAAGCTCATTGTGAAATGAATTGCCACATTTTCTGTAGGCGCTGCTTCATTTTCCTGTGTCTTCTGCATTGGCAGGGAAGGTGAATGAACATCAAAACCTTGGTCACAGTGATCAGGCATTCCGAATTGTTGTCCAAAGATCATCCACATGTATGGCAAGACCGATCGCCAGAAACTGATGTCCAATGATCCACGAGGCAGCAGGAAACCAGCCCTAGCTTCGCTCTTGGCAAGATGGTCCACCATGTCATTCCAAGGGTCAGCATTGTGTCCATAGACATGTTCAACTCGAAGACAATCTTGCGGTAAGGCTGTTTCCAAAATCTGATGACATCCGCGGAGCAGTTCAAAGGAGTCATCAAAGTGCTGGGTGCCCAAGCTTCCATTTGACTGTCCAATAGTCATGGCAGAGTCTGAGCGAAAAATGGTCGGGATGCAGCTGTTCAGTCCAAGCCGCCAAATGAAGGCCCATGTCAGCGCTTCTCGTTCTGCAACCCATGGTCCAACACTGCGGGAGCCGATGTGCCAGGGATGATCAGGGGCGCATCTCACTTGGTGGGCTTGCCACCCAATCATGGTGATCTTGGATCCCTCCTCTCCATATTGCTCGCCCAAGACCAGGAAGGCCCATGCGTCAGGGACCCCCGTTTCCTCAATGAGCTCCGGAGCCAAGTGGAGTCTTGCGGAATGCGATGACCCATCAGTGTAAATGATCAAGCGGTCAAATTGTGTCAGAGACTGGCCTGGTTCGAATGGCTGCAAAAGTTTGATAGCCTCCAGGGTAGTCTCCGGAAGTTCTATACCCTCCGTGATCGTGCATAGCTCCAACTGACATGAGTGTTCAAAGAAGGCCTGTAATTGCTCACTGTTGGCACCAAGTGACAAGAGACAATCAGGTCGACCTTGTTTCTGGAAGGTCGGATCATACATCTTTCGATGGGGCATGGATGGTTGGCGTGAGGGCCAAAAGGATGGTCGCTTCGCCAAAGCTGGTGACTTTTCCATGCTCCCTTCTGAAACGAGAAACTGGATCTCAATAAGCTTGTCATAGTGCCGTATTGTGTCAGTGATGACAGCTTTCTCATGCCCCAAGTGATGTAGGAAACGCATCATTCCAATGTGATCCTCAATGGTCATCAAGGGATCAGAGTGCAAGTAAAACTGTGGGTCAAAGGAGCTCATGACGTTGATGAAAACAAAGTGGGTGATTCTTTCTTCTTGGGCTTGGTGCGGCCAGTCATGAGGGAAGCAAATCGCAGCTGCGCCCTCTCCAATGGTCCAAGCTTTGCAGTTGTGTCCAAAGCATCGCAACTCACATTGAACTGCCTCATTTGTCACTGGAACTGCAACTTCAATGAATGTAGGCAGTGGTGCAATGTCGTCATGTCCTCTGATGAGTCGAACAGGCACATGGGGAGCCGTTCTTCCGGTGGGTGGCAGGAGATCCTCAAGCAAGAGCTGCTGTACTGAGGGTGGCCCAGGGGTGTGAGCCACCTGCCCCTGTGTTAGGCGCTCACCATCAGTATGCGTGTCGGCAGCCTTGTTTGGCGAAATTATGGATGAAACTTGTATGAAGTTCACCCCTGCAGCTGGAGGTCTAGTGCGGAGATGCACATTGACCGTGATGCCATATCCACTGCGTCCAGGGATGGCATGCTGTAGACGCAATCGCTCATCAAAGTACCATGCTCTGCAGACCATCGGCGAGTCTTCCGGAATGCACGCCTGAGCATACCCCACAACCTCCAAAACGGTGTCCAGAAGGATGTGCTCATGTGTGGTGACCGCCATTCTCTGACATCGACCGTGTTGATGTCGACGCGTGTTATCAATCACTGAGATAAGGCTGGTCACGTGCTCTTCATCAGCGTGCTGAATGACAATGATGTGGCCTGCTACTTGTTCTTGAGGATAAGGTGGCGTCGGACGCACCAGGTGAAATTCCAGGTCAGGGTCGCCCACAATCTCGTCGATCCATACCTGTCTGATTTGCGCTTCCCATGTGGCAAAACGTGGACCCAATCTCACATTGCGGGGTCTCGTGCAATGGCGAAAAGCCCCTGAGTGATCAACCATCCATGTCGTGAAAAGGCATGATGGCGTCTCACCCTCCCAGCTAAATGATTCCTCCAGCCAGAGGGAGTGAAGGTCCTGGACAAATTCATTCATGCCTTCGATCGGGATGTGACCAGGAACGAAGGTTGGTGCCAATGGGTTGAGCGTTGAGGCGGCAGGTTGGCCTCCAGCAATCTGTGGCGGGCAGGATGTTGACGATGACATTGTCTCAGCATTGGTTCTGATTGGCGTGCTCCTGCTTCTTTGCATGAAGACAACATCATCAAAATGTGATTGCTCTGATCCTGGTCGCACAGGATACTGTGAGGCCGTTTCAACTCTGATGCAAGCATTGAAGCCATTGAATAGCTCAGAGAGCTCAATCAGGTGGACCGGGCGGCCACTCACGGTGATGGAGCATCGTCTGGCATCGCATTGTGGCTGAAGTTGCATTTCCTCAATCATATGCGGCTTGTTGATGAGATCAGGAACAGAAGCAGCTACCTGCGATATGGCATCTCTATCAAGTCCTTCAAAGAGGGTAGTGACTACACCAGCAGCAAAATGTGGTCTGGGTGCCTGTACCAAAATGACATGACACGCGAAAGACTGCCATCGCATCTGCGGTGGTCGCGGCTTGACAATGTGGATTGCAAAAGGGATACTGCGATCCAGAACATCGTGCCAGGCATGCCGTAGCTCTTCAATCCAGCCAATAATCGCCCCATCCAAACGAACTGCCCTGGGATGTGGACAGCGTCGGAGTCGTTGATGGTGGATAAACCAAGACTGAACATAGAGAAGTGGGCTGCCTTCCACAGTCTCTGCCTCAGCTTCCTGTCGAAAAATGTGCACAAGCTCATCCAGCCAATCGAAGACACCATTATGATGTGGGCGAGGACCACGTAGGCGATTGCCCGGAGGAAGCATCATTGGGATGTCAATGTCCTCAGCAATGTCCTGGTCTTCATTGGTTTTGCAGGTAACGAGCCTGGCACCCTCCACCGGGCCTCCACCAAAATCTCTGCGGTTGTCATCAATATTGCCATCTAAAATTGAAGTTGCAAGAACAGCCGCCTCCGGAAAGTCAAGGATGTTGCCCGTCTCCTGTATGACCCGAACAGCTTGTCCGATGTCCCATTCAGGTCGTAGGGGAGGTGGTAGTTGGATTTGGAAGAAAGCTCCATGATCAACTTGATGTAAACGTGGGTCATCACTCCTCCAGGTCAGGTCGTTGTGCTGGACAATGCACTGTTCGCTTCGCCAGGTGCAGTATGCATCAACGTGTGCGAGCGTCAAAAGATGACTTCTGGCAAGGAGGTGAGGGAGCTTGTAAACTTCCCGGACAGTGGTTGGGCTCACAGGAATCCCGCTTGACAGTGAATTGGTGTGATAGACAATGTCAACAATCACCAGTTTCTCCAAGGATCCAACCGCGATGTCATCAATGTGTTGTAGAATAATCGCTTCTTCACCTTCATGATGCCCGGTGGGTCGGGCCTGTAGGTAGTGAAAACCCACACATTGATGCCGTGTGATGCGTGAGATCTGGATTGCATCTCTCAGGGCGGTGTTATACGTTCGCCAATCAAGATGACCAAAAATTGCCAGGTGCCCGAGCCTGTAGATATGTACAGCTTGGGTCTGATCTCCAAAGGAAGAATGCGACATGCTTCCCTCCGAGTCGTCAAAATGATTTCTTGAGTCATTCTCATTGGCGGCCTCTTCCTCATAGTCCAACTGTGCCTGCTGAACTTGGAGCAGCGCGTCATGTTGAGAGGCAGCATGACTCCTCAATGGCTCAATGAGGAATGAGTCTCCATTGGTCACGTCATGGACAGGGTCGAATGTAAAAGGCAACACATGACGACCCTGTCGAATATTGCAACCTCGTATCGTAGATGACATTGTTGGACTTGATTTGCAAGTGCAGCAATATGTTGTCCACTCACAAACCTTGGCATGGACGCAGCAAGCGCATAGTCCGCTCTGGCAGCAGCGGTGTCATCAGCTCTGATGACTGTGATCAGACCCGCCCTCGCCGGGAAGTCCGTGCCCTGCACCAGAATCAAATCGAAATAAATCTCATAGTCCCCCATGACACGAGGAGGATCAGGATGGCAGGTGAAGAAAACAAGGTCTTCATCTTCTCTGACCTGGTCTCTCCATCCCTCCGCGATATCTCTGGCCCAGTGACTCCAATGTCCATCCAGTTCCAGAATTCTAGGAGTGTGCCAAATTCTGTGGTGAACATGATGTAGGTACCAAGATCGTACATGGATCGACTCCGAAAGTCTAGGGCCGTCAACAAGTCCTTCATTGAGGAAAGTGTTGTACAAATCCTGAATGGTGTCAGGAGCTTCATGCAAGAAGAAAGGATGATCTCCGGGTTCTTGCTCTGGTGTGGTTCCTGCAGGAGTGGCCCATGTCGAAGGTACATCATGCCAAGCATCACTGATTCTGGTTTGTGAGATGGCTGGTGGGTCAGTACTTGTGCTTGTCTCATGAGGATCAAGGCATGTAGAGACTGTCCAAGTCTTGCGGAAATAATCAAAATTGACATCAAATGCTGTCGATTGGAGTGCTTCTTGAAGAAGAAGTGCAGAATCTCTAGCTTCCCAAACGCTATGAAAGTCTGGCTCCTCCAAAACAGAATGATGAAAAGGAAATGGATATTGGATTCGTTCACAGTGTAAATCATCTGAGCTCGACCAGAAGTTGCAGTACTCAATGGAGTCGACGTTGACCTCACCCTCAAAGTCAATGGTCGGCCAAAATGAGACTTTGCAAAATCTGTCCTTCTTCCGCCCCTTGTCCCTTCTCCCCGATGTGGTACACTCTGGAGAGACCTCATCAAATGACGCTTGGAGACATGGGGCTAAGTGGAATCCCGCACCTTCTTGTCGGCCGGTTCCACAATCTCGACTTCTGGGGTATCCATGGCTCCCTCTCCGGTCCTTGCTCGTGACCTGGAGCGTTCCCTCTTTTTGATCTTCTCCTCGATGGTGCTGCGAACTTGTTGCACGACACCGTTGAGGTTCTCCTTGATCTGAGCGAAGCTTGTTTGCACACCTGCAGCATCGTTCTCGTCGACAGTCATGGTGGCATCCAAGGCCTCCTGAGCTGTTTCGATTTCGGTGGACTCGAGCACATCCTGGCCCATGGTGCGCTGATGTGCATCGTGAAGTGCCTCCCTTGTAGTCTGCAGGTTGCGTAAAGCTTCTCCGCGACGTTCTGCAAAGCGAAGCTCCCCTTGCTCGAACTCCTCGACGTGAGACATCCACATCTGGGTTGCCTTGTCCAGGTAGTCCGCCCATTGTTGACGGTATGCTTCCCATTGCTCGTCTATTTCTGACAGCTTTTTCCTCGTGTTGTTCAATTGGGACACGAGCTGGCTGTGTGTCTTTGCATCTACCTTCCTGACAGTTGCCTCTGTCGCCATGACAACCTTCTTGATGTCCTCCGGAAGGTTTGGTTTGTTTTTGATCTCTTTGTACATGTGCCTCAAAGAATGCAGTTCCTGATCGTCCTTGTGCCCCGAGGGCTTGGGAAAAGGCTGCATCGATGGCATCATCGCAGACGCTGAAGGCACACCCAATGGGGCCGCATCCAAATACGGTGGCGCCATAGACGCTGGCAAGGATGGCGGAGTGAGCCACTGCGTAGAAGGTGGTCCGGCAAATCCCTTGCTGTCTTTGTTGTGACCTTTGCCTTTGCCCTTCTGTTCTTCCCCTTTGAAATGCTGAGCAGTCTGTTTGGTTGTTCTCTGACGTGGACTTTGGGTCCTCCTCCTCGGTGATTTCGGCCTTCCCGATGTCCAAGGTCCCTTGTCCTGCCATTGATAGTCTTGCCAACCTCCAGTGTAAGCACCTCCATGGGGTTGGTGATGTTGGCGCGGTTGCTGATGTACATAATGGGCGTCGTGACACTGCGCCCAATGTCTCCAACAGCCGCCACATTGGCCTGATTTCCCTTTCACAAGTCTCATACAGAACCTGCATCTCCACGGGTCTGGTTTCGTCTCCATTGCCTTGCTCAGATGGGCAAGGAATGAAGGATCTCTGGAGTGATGCTTCTGAAGGACCTTGTGAATCACACGTAGTCGTTGTTGCGGTAAACGACAAAAACCTCTTCGATGGAGATGCCAGGCAAGACGCGCCTGTGCCCGCTGTCTCCTCAATCGACGGCGCTGTGAAGGAGTAATTCTGAACGAAGCACAAATGGGCAAACGCCAGAAATAGTCGTAGGAACATAAATTGCCAAAAAATACCACGAAGATCTGTATACCCGCCCCAGCAAGCAGTGACTGATCGAACACTCAATGGTAAAATTTGGAAATGTAAATGCACAAAAATACCGGTTTGTGGCAGTGAACCAGTAGAACCCGTCCCCGTGATACACGAGGGATGAAAAAGCCAATGGGGTGCAGGTGGACGAACAGATCAGTCCACAAAGCAGGGCCAAAGGCAATGTTCAGGTAGCCCAGAAGGTCCAAGATGAAGAACCGAGCTGGGGGTCCACAAGGAGCAAAGGCGTTACCAGCCTGCGCAGGACTGGTAGAGCGCAAGAGGCACCAGCGCAATGCCCGCGGCCAGCTCCCCTATGGCCGCTAAGGTTTGGTTGCTGAGCGGAGCGGGGTGAATCGCCCTTGCTGCAGCCGAAACCTTATACTTGTAATATATATATACGTGATATATATATATATATACATATATATACACTTGTAATATATATATATTTGTAATATTCATATGTAATATATATATATACATATATACACACGTGTAATACATATATATATATACTTGTAATACATATATATATATACTTGTAATATATATATATATACGTGATATATATATATACATATATATACACTTGTAATATATATATATATATTGTCAAACTCTCCTGAGTTGCAGCTGGATTGAGCCTTTTGGTCTCGTCGACCGTCCTCGACCGTGACCCTTTTTCCGCTTCACAGAGGTGGGTGGGCAGTGGAGTCACATGGCTCGGCATTGGTGAAGGAAAACAGCATAGCAGGGCTTTGCTTAGGGTCAGGGAACCCCCCAAAACTCCAGGGTGAGATTCACATTGGTAGCGGAGCCCCAAATTAGGGGCATAGGCAATTTCTTTGGGGAATTTAATTGCTGGGGGTAGAAACTGGGTTCCTCTCAGCTTAGTGCATTTCATTTGAAAGTGGAATTACAACATCACTCCAGCTTTCGTTTCTGCATCTGTCTTCTCTAGTCTCAATACGAGATAGAGGAACCCTTTTGCCGAAAGCCATGTCTGCAGCTGCTGAGAGTGGCGCAGGACAGCCTGAGGATAGGACCAGCACCATTTGGTCCATCCTCCCTTCGTTTGATCCATCTACGGATGACCCTCGGGAGTACGTGGACAAGGTCAAATTCTTGCATTCCATATGTCCACCAAAGGACAAAAGTATGTTGGCACCTCGTCTTGCCATGTTGATGAAGGGCACGGCTTGGGCACAGATCAAGTCTGCCGACACGGCCAAGCTCGCTGATCCTGACCAAGGGATCCAAGTTTTGTTGTCAGCAGTCGCCACTTGGGAAGAGGCGGCTGAGTTGCAGACTTACGACAAGTTTGAGAAGGCGCTCTACAGAATCATCCAAAAGGCCGATGAAACCAACATGAGCTTTGTGAACCGGTTGAACGTTGCTTTCATGGAACTTGGTGAAGTCAATCTGAAGGATATGAAAGCCTTCATACTTCTTCGGCAAAGCTCCTTGACTGCCGATGACAAGCGGAAGGTCATTGTGATGACCAATGGAAAATTGGAGGCCGAGAAGATCGAAGCAGCTATGAGGACGTTGTACACCAAGGTGTTGGGCAGCAATTCAACTGGTGACTCGAAACGCAAAGTTTACCCGGTGAACTACATGGATGATGAGCCCGAAGAGGTACATCATGTGGCAGAGGAGGAGCACTTCGACGAAGACTGGATCCTCCAAGCATTGGTCGATCAAGGTGACGAAGATGCTCAGGTGGTTGCCGATTTTGAAGACCAACTGGTGGAGGTCTGTCAAGAATCTCCTGAGCTGAGCCTGTGCTTCTCGGCGTACTCTGAAGCCAGGGGACGCATCAGGGACAAGATCAAGTCTCGAGGCTTTTGGCCACCGAAGGGAAAAGGAAAGGGGCTGCGCAAAGGCTTCGGTGGAAAAGGGGGCGGCAAGAGACGTCAAAGTCTTGCTGACCGCATTGCGGCCTCACACTGTCGAGTTTGCGGCCAAAAGGGCCATTGGAAGTGGGAATGCCCCAAAAGGGGAGGATCTTCGACTACGGCATCAAATGCGGATGTCAACATGGCCTTGGAGGTGAAGAGTAGCAGCGTGGCCGAGGAGGTCATTCATGACTTGCCGTCGTCTTCGAGTCCTTTGGAACTTCATGATCTTCTGTTTGGTCACCAGGACTGCCAAAAGAAGTGTTTGAATAGCCACCCATCTCTTGAGTTTTCAGGGTCTCAAATTGAGGATTCCTGTGTTAATGAAGAATTCATTTTTATGACGGAGTTCAAAAGTGGAACCATCAACAATTTTGAAGTTGTCCGATCACTGAATCTTGCAAATCTTGAGAGTCGGTTGAAGGGGGTTGTTGGTATCTCGTCATCCAGGAAGAGTTGTGCTGATGAAACTGTTTTGAGTGTGGAGGTAGGATGCCCAGGTATTATAGACACTGGGGCCAGCAAATCGGTGATTGGACAGCGCAAAGTAAAAAGGCTGATCGAGAGTCTTCCCATTTCCGTGCGATCAAAGGTTCAATGGGGAAAGTCGGATACGGTGTTTCGCTTTGGAAACAATGGAACTTTGTCAAGTGTTGGAGCTTTGTATTTGCCAATTGGTTGTCGTTGGATGCGTTTAGAAGTTGTGGCAGGCGAAACACCATTCCTGCTTTCAAATGCTTTTCTGAAATCCACCTCGGCTGATGTTCTGTCTGGCAGCAATGAATTGTACTTTTGGGGTGTTGATAGACGTGTGCCTTTGAGTGTTAATCATAAGGGTTTGTTTACGGTAGATTTGTCAAGGGTTCTGGAAGTGTTTGCAACATCAACAAGCCAGAAGAAACGAGTTTTGAGCAGTTGTGAAGTCGTGACATTTGCTTGTGAAAAATCCTTAGAAAGCCCACATGAGCACACAGCAGCAGCCAGTGGAAAAACACCAGCAGCATGCCCAGCAGCTGACGCGGCTCTTTCTCGCCCCTCGACAAGTTCGCTGACTCTTTCAACAGCTTCGACTCATGGCGGATGTGAAGGGCAACCAAGCGGCAAGGGTGGGATCCAACAAGAATCCTCCGGAGCTGCCGTTCCCGGAAGATTCCAGTCTGAACTATGCCTGTCCGACCAAGACACCTATCCGTCGTCCTCAAGGAGTGAAAACAATGGAAGAGTGGGGTTCTCAGATCTTTCCCGAGGGCAAGCACTCGGGCGAGACCTTCAAGACGGTCCACGACCAGGATCCCAAGTACCGCTCCTTCATGATGAACCATCCAAACCTGACCAACCCCTGGGCACTGAGCTTCCAGAACTATGTCAGGGCAATGAGCCTGACCTGTCCACAACAGATGCCATGCAAGCCTCTGACACGAGGGGAGAGTTCCTCGAAGGCAACAACGGGAACTGTGTCGAATCCGACACCTCCTTGGCATCACGAAGTCTCAGGTCTGGAGTGGGATTTGATGACGGAAGGGGTGGAATTGTCTCCACCTCCGAAGCGAAGTTTGAGTCCAGAAGTGGCCGAGGCATCGGAGATGGCCTTGGTGAAGGACACGGAGAAAGAGCAGCGCCTCATCACCAACATCGCGATCCTTCAGAGGGAGCTCGATCTGATGCGCAAGAACACAGATATCTGAGTGGTCCCAACTCAGTGACTCCAGCATCCGTGCAAGATGAGCCAGGCAAGTTGATGTCCACTCCGACAAATTCTCAAGAATGTGGTCCGGAGTTAGAACGACTTTCCATGGTGATTCAAAAGGAGTTGGACGCAATGCTGGCACTGACTTGGGAGGTCAATGCACCAAGTGATAAGTCTTTGTCCCGTAAGATACAGCCCAATGAGAAGTGTAAACTGGACTTGCTGGAAGTCTATTGCGAAGAGAACTCACAGTTGACAGAAACAGCCCTTAAGATGGGCCTCAAGGCCAAGAGATTTACCAAAGCTGACGGAGACTTATCTACACCTCAGGGTCAAGAAGCACTCTGGGAAGTACTTCTCAAGGAGAACCCGCGGGATGTTTGGATGTCGCCAGAGTGCAAGCTTTGGGGTAACTTCAGTCGGTTGAACATGTGCCGCAGCCAAGCCACCAGAGAACGAATCGAACATGGTCGCCTTGCAGAACAAACACATCTAGCACTGTGCAACGATGTTTATGAGTATCAGGTGGTTAATGGTAGGCATTTTCACATGGAGCAGCCCCAGGGTTCAGAAGTTTTTGATCAGGAGGTTCTGGAACAGATAGTTCAGGGGACACTTCGTGCTGTTTTTGATATGTGTGAAGTTGGCAGGTTAAGGGTACCAAAAGGGAACAACTATCTTAGAAAAAGAAGTGTTGTTCGCACGACTTCACGAGAGCTTCATGAAACTTTGGACTCTCGATACTGCAAAAAGCGTCACAATCATCAGCCGATTGAAGGAACCATTCGGTATCTTGGGAGAAGAATCAATCTCTCGGAATATGCAGCTCGATACTCCAATGGTTTTGCAAAGAACATTTGTTGGTACTTGTTGAGAAGTCGTGTTTCTCGTGAACTTCCATTGGAAATTGCAGAGCTTTGCATAGAACCAAGGGTCTCCCAGGAACAACTGGTCTTCGCAGGCGAGCTGAAAGCACGTCGCTGTTCGAGCCACCGGAAAGCTCTGACAAGTTCCAGCGTCACACAAGAACTTTCCCATAAGAAACCCAGAAAGGAGTTTTTGGAGGATGTGTTTCGAAGGGTTGAGCTTAGGGCTCCTAGGGCAGGAACTGTTGTGGTTCATGAAGGGGAAGTGATTTTTGAAGACGCAAAGAAACTTTGCACGAATTTTCAAGTCAGAGCGGTGGAGCTCTGCCGAGGGACGGATCGTTTCCGTCTGCCCAAGGGCGAATATGAGGAATCGGATATTCCACTTCGCCAGACTTTCATTCTACATCGAGTTTCAGGAGAGGTGGAACAACTTGGGGAACCCGAAAAGTGGCTTGAGCTTCCAAAAACCAAAAGGGCTTCTAAGGCCAGGCCAGCCAAGTTAAGTATCACAGTCTTTGGGAGACCTCTTGGTGTGTCAAGTGCTTCGAGGGTAGAGACTTCTCCTGAAACGGGGGTGTGTCCGAGTGCAAGTCTTGATGTTCCAATGTCCCAAAAACGTGAGGGAGAACCGCTTCCTGCAGCTGTGCCGAAACGTCCATGTGTTGGTGAACCTCAAACAGAAAACCCCCAACCGGAAAAACCAGAGGAGAGTAGTGGGGAGATAAGTGGGGATTTGGGGTATGAACAGGGATATCCTCCAAGGGGTGTAGCAAAGCATGGGCCTCGGTTTTTGGAGCTTAGTGGGGAAGAGAAAGAATGGCTTAAGAGGGTTCACCACAGAATGGGCCATCCTGATCCGAATCGATTGGCGCAGTTTCTGAAAAGCACTCACGTCGACCCGCATCTTGTGGCGGCAGCCTTGGAGTATCAGTGCGACGCATGCAGTGAATCCCGACAGGGGTACTCCTCGGCACGTCCTGCAGCCATCCACAAACATTTGAATTTTAATGAAGTTGTTGGTATTGACAAAGCCTATTGGACAAATGATAATGGGGTTACGTTTGGTTTTATTCATGTTTTGGATGAGGGTACCTTGTTTCATTTGGGAAAAGCATGTGGAGATGATGCGGCGTCTCAAATCCGGTGTTTTGATGACATGTGGCTGTCTTGGGCCGGTCCCCCCAAAGAGGTATATTTGGATCCTGCAAAGGAATATACGGGAGGGGAATGGCTTAGTAAGATGCAGAGTGAAGATGTTTCTCTCAAGATGACGGCCACGGATTCCCACTGGCAATTGGGACGGGTAGAATCTCATGGACATGTTGTCAAAAGAATGTTAGATCGTATGAATGCTGAATCACCCATTTTGGATTTGGAAAGTTTCCGACAAAATTTGAGACAAGTGTTCACAGCAAAGAATACTATGTCGAGGGTTCATGGTTACACCCCAGAGCAAGCTGTGTTGGGATTTGCTCGGAGACTTCCAGCATCCATTACATCTGGGGAGGGTACAGCAAGTCATGTGTTGGCAGCCGATGAGGGCACAGACAGCGATCAGTTCCGGCGTGCTTTGGAATTGAGAAGCCGAGCACGCAAAGCGTTTGTCGAGGCCGACAATTGTAGCAGCCTTCGCAGGGCTTTGTTGCGCAGGAGCCGACCTCTCCGAGACCCTTTTGAGATTGGTGATTGGGTTCTTTATTGGAGGAAAGTTGGGGGAAACATGAGGAGAGAGAGAGGAAAATGGTTTGGTCCTGCAAGGGTTGCTATGGTTGAAGGCAATAAGGTCATTTGGCTGTCACATGCGAACCGTTTGATTCGTGCAAGTCCTGAGCAGCTGCGTCCGGCGTCTTTCAGGGAATGGAAGACTGTGCAGAAAAGTGAGGAATCCAAGCATACAACATCTGAGTGGTTGAAGAGGGCCCAACTTCAGGACTTTTTCGATCTTGGGGCGGATGTTCCTGGTGAAGGTGATTTGGTGGAAGGGTCGTCACCAATTGATGACAGTTGCAGTCTTCCGGAACCTGAGCAAGCGCCCAGCAATTCATCGGAATCAGGACTGGAACCGATGGCAAGCGACGAAAATTCAAAGGATGCTACCCCTCCAGCTGACATGAACCGCTCTGCAGATCCATTGTTGGTTCCAATCCCTGAAGCTAACCCTGGGGAATTAACGGAAGAGGAAAGTGCCATGTTTGGGGATACACTGGAGTGTGAGGGGAGTTTGGGATGTAAGGTTTGGGAAGTGGATGTAACCCCTGAATCAGTGGAACCACAAAACATTTGGGATTTGCATGACAAACAGGGGTCAGCTGAAGACTTTGTTTTTCTCGCATCAGAGTTGCGAAAGAAACGAGTAGAAGTAAAATTAAAGGAACTAGGGGAGCATGACCAACGTTTGTTTGCTGCAGCAAAACATAAGGAGATAGGAGCATGGTTGCATCACAAAACAGTAAGGAAAGTTTCTGGTGGTAGGATCCCTGAGCATGCTTTGATGAGGTGTAGGTGGATTCTGAACTGGAAGAGTGCAACCGGCACCGAAGCTCCTGAGGAATTGTCTTCCAAGGGTGAGCGTGCAAAGGCACGTCTAGTCATCATTGGTTTCGAAGATCCTGGACTGGACACAGTGGTCAATGATGCCCCCACCCTGTCAAAGGATGGCCGACAGGCTGTTCTGCAATCCGTTGCATCCCATGGGTGGGAGTTGCTGTCATTTGACGTCAGCACGGCGTTTTTGCATGGAAAAGGGAATGGAAGAGAATTGGGTATACACCCTCCACCTGAACTTAGGGAAGCTTTGGGGATGACTGGAAGTGATCAGTGCGCATTAGATGGGGGTGCTTACGGTCGTATTGACGCTCCTTATTTGTGGTACTGTGAGTTTCGGGATGAGCTGCTTCGACAAGGGTGCACCCAATGTCCTCTTGATCCATGCGTTTTTGGAATGTATACAAAAAATCACCACGGGAAAATCCAGTGTCATGGAACACTGGGAATCCATGTTGATGATGGAATTGCAGGTGGTGATGAAAAGTTTTTGGCAATGCTCAAACGTGTTGAAAGTCGTTTCAAGTTTGGATCTTTCGAGAAGCGCTCTTTTAAATATACAGGCATCGATTTCCGACAATGGGATGACTGCAGCATTGAATATGATCAGATAGCATACATTGAGAAGATTGCCCCTATTTCTGTGACCAAAGGAAGGAGAAGTCAACCCAATGCGGAATTGAATGATGCAGAGCGAAGTGAACTTCGAAGTCTGGTCGGGGCTCTGCAGTACGCTGCAGTCCATACTAGACCTGACATTTCGGCGAAGGTAGGTGAGTTGCAGTCAGCTGTATGCAGAGCCACGGTGAATGAGCTTTTAACTGCAAACAAGGTTTTAGCTGAAGCTAAACAGAATCCGGTGTCCCTCATGGTGCTGCCAATTGCTCCTGGCGATGTAACATACTGTGCTTTCTCGGATGCCTCATTCCTTTCAAACAAACAGAATTGTGCTCATCAGGGAACTCTGATTTTTGCTACTACTCCTGCTTTGTTGGATAATCAGCGATCTGTTGTTGCCCCTGTTGCTTGGACTAGCAAAAGGATTCCGAGAGTAGTGCGAAGCACACTTGGAGCAGAGGCGGCTGCACTGTGCAATTCGGTGGACAGGCTCATGTGGATTAGAGTTTTGTGGGCCTGGGTTCGCAATCCTGAATGCAACTGGAGGCAACCCGAAAAACTTCTCTTGGAAGAACGTACTTCTGCTCTTGTCACGGATTGTAAGGGAGCCTTTGATTTGTTGACAAGGACGGCACTTCCCCAGTGCTCAGAGCATAGGACCACCATTGAGTGTCTTTTGATTCGAGAGAGGTTGCGGGAAAATTGTGTTGCACGATGGGTTTCATCGCAGGCAATGCTGTCTGACTGCCTTACAAAATCAATGGACTCACAAGTCCTCAGAGAGTGTCTCAAGTCAGGTTTTTACAGCCTTCGGGATGAAGAGAATGTTCTTAGGGAGCGTTTGGATCGTAGGCAGCGTATCAGTTGGGTCAAGAGTCAAAAGAAGGAAACTGAGACCTCCGAGGGGCTTTTGTCCGAAAGCGTCAATTTTGTGAACGAGATGAAATCTTCGTCTTTGCATGACTATTGGACGTGGGGATCCAAGACTGAATTGATTCGAGTACATCAAAAACCCAGAACTGTGAGGTTTACACCTATTGGGATTGCTAATTGCCCTGTGGATATCAGAAGACTTAGTGCTCGTAGGGTTACTAGGTTTGGGGATAATAGAGTGGAAAGTGACTACTGGGTTGGAACTCGAGCTTTTCAGAAACAGGATCGTCCTTGGACCGGTTCAACCAGTTTCTTCTTGATTTGATATCTCTAACTAAGTTTTGATGGAGTTTTGGAAATGAGAAGGTGTGTCAAACTCTCCTGAGTTGCAGCTGGATTGAGCCTTTTGGTCTCGTCGACCGTCCTCGACCGTGACCCTTTTTCCGCTTCACAGAGGTGGGTGGGCAGTGGAGTCACATGGCTCGGCATTGGTGAAGGAAAACAGCATAGCAGGGCTTTGCTTAGGGTCAGGGAACCCCCCAAAACTCCAGGGTGAGATTCACAATATATATATATATATTTGTAATATTCATATGTAATATATATATATACACACACTTGTATGACTATCTTTTCATACTTGGGAACTCCAAAAATGCCCGCCAAGGATGCGTAAACACCCTGCTGGAAGAGGTCCTCAAAAGTAGCGATAACTCATATCAAATTCCAATCATACAGGTTACTCCCAAAAAGGATTGGCTGTTGACTAATCCTCGACACTAAAGGAGATTTCATCAGGACCCCACTCGACGGGCGACCTTGGTACTGCACTTCACGTTTCTGTCGTTGGTGCTCAGCATCCTCTGTGCGAGCCAGCCAATCACGAAATAATCCTGCCCGGGAGCCATGAAAAGACTGCTTTGTTATTTCTTTGGAACATGGTGCCCCATTGGCTTCAGCTGCTCAAACATCGTGAACTGGTGGTGAATTCTTGGTTGAATCAACTCCTCAAAGTTGAACTTTGGAGCGGCGGGAGCCTCTCTTTGATTGGAATCCCTGAACAAAAAAAGTTCGGCAATCTCCAGGATGCTAATGTAGTGCTAATTTGAACGAAAATCCGCCAAGAATCCTTTTCGCCAAAATTCCTGAAAAGCTTGGTCACGCACAAGGAACATACCTTGGGCTTGACTGCGGGTGATACCCTCCGGTAATCAAGCATAGGGTGCTGGAAAATCACCCATTTAGTTCGATGAATTTCCCCTCAAAGAGCTCCATTATTGCCGTGTTTAATTACCAAAGGGCATAATTGCAAAGAAACCTATATTACTCTGTTTGGGGTTGATTTACAACTTTTCAAGAGCATGAGACCGACGAGCTTGCAAACCTGCTTCCCTTGACCTTTTGGGATGGTGAAAATCTGGTTCGAAACTGTGGCGTTAACGCATGTTGACACATCAGTAGAAACTGGATCGTAACCTCTTACAATAAGCCCCTAAACCATCCTAAACCCTTAACATCCCTCGGCCATGCCTGGTTTTGCCAACAATTTCAAACACCGGACAAATTGGAGCTGATTGAGTTTGACCACACCAAGGTCAACCCTAACCCCGAAAAAATCTGGAAAGTCACTGTGGATGGGCTGACCACAGCCATTTAGATATCACCCAAGGTATGAAAATCAAAAAGGGTTAGTACCCACTTCCTGAGCATTTGAAAAAAAGGGATCTGTGCCATTGTATAGAAACATCTGCAAACTATGCTTGATTTTAGAACCACGTTCTTGTTGCTTAAATTCAAATTTCTGAAGACCCACATGTCCCTCGACTTCATCCCATGTGAATTGGTCCCGATTTTTTTTTCGATCGAAATTATCCCATCACAATCTGCATTTTGCTCTAATCCACCATTCATGTCCTATTTGCAGTACCCATAGGATCCATGGTGCTGGTATATATGCTAACATGACTGGGGTATATGGATGGTAAATGTTACTATATATAGCATACATGGATCCTATGGGGTATGGGGATCTATATTGCCTTGTATGCTTTTAGTGCAGCTTAACCAAAAAAACACATCTCCCCATCTATATTCCATTTCTTGGTCAACACCGCTAGATCCCGTTACAAGTATATCCCCATCCCCATTGTTGATGCCAAACCCTTATTATTTCCATTAGACTTCCAACTATGTTTGGTAGTTATACTAATACTACACTTCAATTTTTCCTGGGAATCTCAATATCTATCCATGAACAAAGTTTTCAAATATAATATCATAGGTAAAACAAATATTAAACGCTACTATATACCATCCAGTAGTCATTAATCAAATATGGCAGGTCAGGAAATTCCAGCAATTTTTGCTCACCGGAGGGTATCCCCATCCTATATCCTAAATATATCTAAATATGCCCTAAGAATCCAGAAGATTGGTTACAAGGTCCCCACCAAGTTCTGAGCTGATGTTCAATATACTGTCTCCATCAAAAATATCCAATAATATCCATAGATCCTAGTTAACCTATGATGACCCCCATTCGCAACAGCTTTTCACCCAGTGACTTAGGGTGACCTGGCCGAGTGCCAGGGTCCCCAGCATCACCAGCCCGCCGGTCAGGGGCTGCTCCATTGGGACGGCACGGCCGGGAGATGAACCGGAGCAGCGCTGGACGTCGGAAGCGCTGGGCGCTAAAGCTTGGAGCGAACGGCCACCGGGCGATTATCATGGGGGTCAACCATCAAACATAGGTGGCGGGTTTATTATGGCTTTACTCACATTGTTGATGATGGTTAATGATGGTTAATGATGGTTAATGATGGTTAATGATGGTTAATGTGATGAGGATGAGGATGATAATGAGGATGATGATGATGATGATGATGATGAGGATGATGATGAGGATGATGATGAGGATGAGGAGGACGACTAGGACGATGGTTACGGTCACTGCTGACTGTGTTGCTATCATTCTCACTCTTGTGGCTTCCATCATTTTGTGGGATCGGAATCACTTAGGGATCATCATCCCATTTTCCTAGAACCACCAAGCACCATGAGGCTATTGTTTGAGGTGTCTGCCTCCCCAGGACGAGCGGGACCCAGCCAAACATAACATGAAGCAAACCTATTACGCTTCGGAACCTGTAACATATTTACCCTGCAAGAATGATATGTAGTGACCCTGATAGCTTCAATTTATGCATCTCTCTCTCTCTCTCCCTCTCTCTCTCTCTCTCGCCATCCCAATACATGTATTTCTAGATTGTGTTTCCGGCTGGGACGGGTGAGATTGACACATTTGAAATTAGCAAACTATCTCGTCTGACTGCAACTGATTACACCAAGACAAAAAGCTACCCGTGAAGACTCGATAAGATTTCCTCTCTCTTGCTTTCTCTACAAGATCTAGTCAAAAGAAACTACACACCACTGCATAAGTTGTCGGCCAACAGACACCATTCATAGAACAGGTCCAATCAAAATAGCAGCTAGCATCTCGCAGAAGTTTGTGTTGGTGTACTTTCAATATCTGCATCCCTAAAATCTATCATGAAAACTGCATTGGAACTTGGTTTTGTCTGTAAATTGCCAGTAACCTTAGGACATGTGGCAAAGACTGAACCCTGAAACTGCTCTTCACCTTGTGATTTTCTGCCCTAGAACATGGAGCTCGTTGACATTTGGGTGCATTTCCATGCATTTCCCATACCATTCTATTCAACTACTTTGAAACTACCCTCCGGAAAATCGACATGGATATGGAAAACCAACCGCTTCATACCATTTCTAGATCATTTATTTCCTCGAGAAAAGATTTTCCATGCCGTATCGAATGTTGGTTTGCTGGAGGGTATCTGGTATCCACTATACAGACTATACTTGGTATACTTCAAATCTTCATTCCATCACCATTTTTTTCAGGTTAAATCCCATCTTATCCATTGAATCTTCAATTTCCGCGCATCTTTTTCCAGCTTGAGTCGCCCATCCGACCATCTTCCGACCATCTTCCAGGTGAAAAAGATGCCCCCAAGGGATCCCACCAGAACTTCCCATCCCGCTGAAAGGTCACCGTCCTTTCGTACATTGGCCACCTCCAGCTGAAAGGTCAAGGTGAGGTCCTTGGCTCTCAAAGAGACTCACCGGCACCACAGTAGGATATGATGCTTGTGTCATGGTGATGAAGGGTCCCTAGATGTACATATATATATATATACACTATATGTATGTATATATGTATATATATATATATATGTATTTCTCTCTCTCTCTCTGTATAAGTATGCATGTGAGAAAAGGTTGGGAATAGGGATATGGAAGACTGATTTGAAGTGATGGTTGGTGGTTTCAGCGGCCCGGCAATGTATTCGTCATATTAATTAGTCAGTTGGGATTATCATTTCAAATAGGTTTGAACGTAAAGGGTTTGAAACCACCAATCAAATTATATGATCTGAAGGTACCCTACCTGAAACACCGATGGTTCACCTTCGAATCGCTGGTCTCCACAGAACCTGCCCTGAAACCGTCCAGGAACCAGCAAAAACATACGACGCTAAACACTCAAAACAATCCAAGACAGAACTTCCAATCCCATGTTTTCGGTTTTTAAACATTGCGACCGTAAGTTTGCATAGCGGATAGTGATAGCGCACCCAAAGGACACACATGATATCATATGTTCATATGTTCCTTCATAAATTTAATCGTCCTTAGTATGGTTATTGACTGGCAACGAATTTACCTACCCTTCAATCAACAAACCTGGCTGGTTGGAAGTTCCCCCCTTTCACAAATGATTTTTCCATACATCCCAAGTTAGATGGCCCCCTGAGCACATTTCCCAAAATCCGTTGCCCTCCATGGGTTTTCTCGCCAAGTTAGATTCCAAATGGTTAAAAAAACCTCTATAGTCTCTATAGAATCTATCTCAACCATTTTAGTTCCATATATCTCAACCATTGGAACCCAACCCAAGTCTTTTTTTGACCAATCGATACCACTCATCTCCACTCCGCCTCCGAGGCTCCATTTTTTCAGTTTTCTGTCGCCTAAAAAATGGTATCAAAATGTATCAATATGTCAATAGCTGGGTTTCAAGAAAAAACCTATCTATTGACCCAATTATTAACTAATCAAGGACATGACATAACTCCATAATACCTGGGTAAATTACCTATTTACCCTATTAGTCATTATTAAGCAATGAAATAACTCCATGGCCCATGGCACCAGGTTGGCCCTCTGGGTCCTTTCGGAGCTCCTGGGCCACACTGCGCGTCTTCTCCACTTCCTACGAGGACTTAGCATGGAACCATCTGTTTTGATGTGTGTGTATCTATTTAATCTATTTAATCTATTTCCACTTGTGCATATTGAATGTGTATATATATATATATATCACTCTATCACTCTATCACTCTATCACTCTATCTGCTTCTGTATCTATACGCATATATAGATCTTTGGGGACAATCATCTTGACCAGCCACAGCCGAAATGGACGGCCGGATTTTGGCGATCGGTACTCCTGTCGTACTTCCGTAGTCTGATGGCTTTGGGTCTTCACCAAGTCCTCCGCAAATCTGGGGGAAGTTCACCAAATCAGTGCTGGGAAATCCGATTGGGGATGGCCATGATGATTTTGGATGATTTTGGCACTGCTGGTAGATTCTTTTGGCACTGCCCGGTTGTCAATTCTCCCTTTCACGTCTTGGAAATACTTGTGGCAAACGACTCCAAAGTCTAGGTAGCTGTAGTCATTGGTCAGTTGCGCCCCCCAGTCACCCTCTACTTAATAGGCAACATTTTCGCAAGTTAATCCCCATGTTTAACCGTTTGATGGGTCAAACCATCCAAACATATTTTTTCAATATTTTTTCCAGCTCTGCACACGCACCAACTCACATAAATGATCATAAATGAGGCTGTCTGAAGGCACCACTAAATCCAATGGTTTATAATAACTTGCCCTTTTCCCATAGCGATTTGAGGTTAATCCACCATTTTCAGACCGACCAACATCTACAAATCCATGCAAATGCAATTTTTAGTGGTTAATTTACCATTTTCACAGGCACTTTGGATGTTTTTGGTGCTTGTTTCCCTCTTTTCAACCACATTCGATATTCGTTAAAAAAACACATTGTGCCATGGGAAATCAACTGCCAACAAATATCAAAAGTGTCTCCGAGAATGGGGAAACACAATGATTTTCCTATGTTTTTTCTATGATTTTCCTATGCTATCTGACAATTCAAACAAAATCCACACATTGTCTACCGATCTGCGTGCTCTGCGTGCCCCCGCCCTCCGCAGCTCACTGGTACTGTTCCGAGCTTCCAGGATCGCCTGTGGACAGCTTCTCAGGGGGTGCTGCATATTTAAACATACAAAAGCTGTCAATAGATTGGTTTAAGGCAACATTTACAGGAAAACACCATATTTAATGGGCAAATCTATGGTTTCCTGTTGACTTTTCCTTAAACCAATCCATTGAAACTGGTTTAAGAATGGATATCCAATTACTGCTATCCGGCTTTAATGTTTTGTAAAATTAGATAAAGTTGGTACCCCCAATAAAAAAAGTTCCCCATGAATAAAACTGGGTTAACACTACTGAGACTTGCTGGTTGGTGATTAAGGCACTCATCCCACCTGTATACATATATATATATATACATATCTGCGTGCGTGTGTGGGTTCCCATGACTGTACTCCCATATTTGACTTGGGTCGGGGCATCATTGCCCGAAGTTTCTGAAAGAAGATTGTGCTCTTGAAACCAAGATCCCCTTTCGTTGCAGGACAATTTCACCCAGCATCCTGGTAGCATTCAGTAGCTGATCCTTCTGGCCATGTCAGGTTTCACTCTGTACCGATGTCTAGTTTACATCCTTTATAGGGCCACAAATTGACATCAATGAAGGACTAACTCAACGAATATATACATCTACACACACATATATATATGTTCACATACATGTGTGTGTATATACACCTGTTTGCGCGCGCACACACACACGCACACGTATGTATATTATATATATACAGTATATGAGTCGGTAGACTTGTTCATCGCAAGTGCCCCAGCAAGGCCTTTTTCAAGTCCCCCAGGTGCGTCTGTGCGTCTGAGGCTTCCTGAACCGGAGGAAGCCAAATGGATGGATAGTTGGAAACCTGGAGGTCAGAAGGTAAATAAACAATCACACGATTCACAACTATCATATCTATCTGTATATAAATAATATCTATCTGTCGGTCTGTCTGTCTACCTACCTACCTACCTATATATCTATCTATCTGTCTATCTATCTATCTATCTGTCTGTCTGTCTGTCTATCTATATATCTATCTATCTATCTATCTATCCATCTATCTATCTATCTAATCTACCTTGTCTATCTATCTCTTCTATCTTATCTATCTCATCTATCTTGTCTATCTTATCATATCATATCATATCATACCATAATCTAATCTAAGCTAATCTATCTATCTATCTAATTATCTATCTACAATATCCTTGAATCAACTTGTGTGTCGTGTAGTTTGCCGGGTCCTGACGGGATATACCCATAGAATCCCATAGATATATAGATTGTTTGTCAGATGGGATTGCCCCATTTCTTAGCAGCACCAAAGGACTCTGTGGCTGGGCTTCCTCAGTGATGACCATGATCATCATGATCTCGGGAAAATCAGAGCCAGTTTGGCGTCCCATTTAGGGAGCCAGGTCGGCAGTGGGATGGGACAATTCTGCACCCGCCTTCCGCAAGTCAGAGATGTGTGTCTGGCTCTGAGATGCTCCCTGGCAGTGAAACATGGGTCGAAATGGGACGTGGATTACCCATTGACCATTCGACAATGAAAGATGCTAATCCTGCAATTCGCGGATCCAGTGCAGTGTGTGACCAGTTGATCAAGGTTTTACAACCGAACCATAGCCAGGAATCAGGAGATCAACTATTGTGTTTCAGTCCGTGTTTCAGTGTTTCGCGAGAACCTGCAGCGGTTTAACCGGCTTGCGCCGCAGTGAACGTCTCGAAAACTGAAAACAAGATAAGCAACGGCTATTTTCCGGTGATTCGAGACAACTGAGACAACACAAGGCCATGGAAATGCCTTACTCATATGAAGCTGTGGGATGAAACAAGGAAACAAGCCGCTTGCAGCGCCTGAGTTCCCCCTTACTGCAGCGAACTGCATCCTATTGGCCCTGAACAATACATCCATTCCGGATGGGAACATGCCGAAGCACAGCAACTAACTAACACACGTTTTCACGACTATTCGGCATGATGGTTGGACGTCTTTCTCCCTAGTGTCATGAGTTTCTGCTGCCATGAAATTCACGTCCGACTGGTCCAACGTTGAACTGGGATTTGACAGAACCGGCAGGTTTAACAAAAAACCTGCAACATCTATTTGTTGTATACATATGCCTATATGTATAGATATACCTGGATCTTCGAAAGGATACAAATAAGTGTCCGTTTCCAAGATTTCTGCCCTTAGGGCGGATTTCTTGTGAAGGTGCTGGAAATGGTCACTTTTTGATTATTGTGGTAATTTTTGGATTTCGTGCCTTTTGGGCTGATCTTACTCTACTTTGCGTAAAAATGTGTCGATTTTCTTGGGCGGAAATTCCCGGGAAAAAGGCGGAAATACCCGCGAAAAGGGCGGAAATACCCGGGCAGATTCATCATGACTCAAAAATGAAAACATGAAGTGGCATGTTTTTTCTTGAAATGGTCATGTTTATTTTGAAATGGGTAAATCTCCAAAAAATGGTCAGAAATCAAACCAAAATCTGCCCTGGAAAGAAATTTGTAACCAATGAATATCCAGGTATGTGTATATATAATCAGTGCCAATCTTTGATTCCTTGCAAAAAAACACTTAGCTGGTTAGTAGATAATCCCATTGATGCCAAAAGGCTAAAGAATTAAAGTACCCATCTAAGATTGAGCTAGTAATCATGTTTCAATCATGCTTTCATCATGTGCTCATCAGACTTTAGTGATATATTATACACATTTCATCCACTCAACTTCCATGGTTTACACAGCTTACACTTCTTTTTGGACAGCCATGAGCTTCCCCTGGCCCTTTCCGCCCTTTCCCCACCTTCTGCAGCTCCCGAACTGTCCCTTGCAACTCCTCCAAGGCCTCAGAGTTGCATCAAAACCCACGCGGTTGTTTGTTGATCTCACCCTCGGTATATACATATATATACAGTATATATGTACATATATAATTATATATATATATTACAAATTATATATACACATGGGAACATGACATGACTATAACCGATTTATATTGGATTTATATTGTTTTGAGAGATATAGAGATACATCTAACAGTCTAAGAGGTATAATTCCATCCCTCAAATATTCAACAGATCCCCAGAAACCATGGTTCTAGGGGATTTACACACGGCACCGGTGGCACCGCCACATGACCTTCGCGCCTGCCGCAGTCCAGCAGTGACGCTTTTCGTCTCGCTGGTTTCCTGGGGGTCGTCTTCAACACCCATTTCTTGATGGAGGGAACATGGTTACCATCAATGGATCATGGTGTTTAAACACCATCTGATGATAATTGATGATATCTGATGAGCTTTCCGGCGAAGACTTTCTCCATGACTTTTCCATCCAAATCTGGGACTCTGGGGAGGTTTCATGACAAACTTGCCCTGATCAGCACCAGCTCCTGCTGCAAGGTGTTCACGCGCCCTTGCATGGCAAGCGCATCCTGCGGCGTCAAGGCCTAGGACATGGCCTGGAGCATCCTTAGAGTTGGAGTCGCGATCTTTCGCAAGGGAATGAAGGACATTTTAGACATTTGGAATATGGGTTAATTATCCTGAATCTATATAGATATAGATTTCCAACTAGAATCATAGCTTTGACCCAGGGTCCCAACACATCCTTAAGTTGGAATGTTAGTCAGCTATGATTGGTGGTAAGACACACCTGGCAATGAAAAAAGATAGTCAAGCATGGCTGGCTGGGAAATACCTTGGGACATACCAACTTTATTCTAGAGAGTTCATGATCATACATAATCTAGATCTGATTCAGGGATTTTCCAAAAGGTAGATGACTTTTCTGTTGAACATTGAAAAATTGTGGGTGCCGGTTCCCACACCTTCTCCAACTCTTTGGCGAAGCTTTGCGCTTTCAAGGCCTCCTGTGGTCCCCCTCCAAAGGAAGTGCTTTATAGGATGGAATCTAAGGTCAAGGGATTCTAGTGGAGGAAGCAACCCTTGCTTACAAAAGGCAAAAACACCGGAAACATCCCCAACTTCTATGTTTCCAGATGTTTATCTCACCCCATCACACATTGTGCAATCCACCCTTTCAATAGCGACACAGAATGATTTTTCGTGGAATATGGTTTATCTACTGAATATATGTAGGTATATATACATAATATATATATAATTATATATGTATGATGTGTAATGATAGCACTGATAGGTATACTGCATGTGCAAATGCATACATATGTATGTATGTATGTATATATATATATACATATGTACACATTCACATTCTTGTCACCCCTTTTGCCCCAGACTCTGATCCAAACTCCCACTCACTTACCATTCACCGGTGGAGAAGCGTCCTGGCGCATCTCCCCAGTAGTACTCTGAAGGCTCAGGGTGTCCTTTCGGCACTTTATCCGAGGATTTTCACCGCTTTCATCGAGACAAATAGGATTTTTCAATAGCTTTCTACTGAGAAAAATGATGGTCTAACCAATGATTTAACCAGCAACATGACATAATCAGCCTCGGCTTGTGACAAGAACTGGTGAAACCTACCTTGGTTAGTTTTTATTCCTACCGGTACCGCCTGCAGCAGAACCTAACAAGAAGAAAAGGCATTCAACCTGTGATTAACTGGGATACTTGCAAGCAACTTCCATGTGATCTTGATGATTCTGGCAACAAAGACCATATACACCCTCTGGTAAAGTAACACATTTATGGCAAATCAGCATTTTCAATAACTTAAGGTCATCAACTAGCGGCTGAAAGGAAGGGCATTTGCGTACAACAATATATATATATAGTATATATATATAATTTGTATTTATTTGTGCCACACATGTGTGTGTTCTATATAAGTTTTAAATATATGTTATATATATATAAGTTGTAAATAAATCAATATATATATATATATATATTGTATATATATAAGTTGTATAATATATATATAAGTTGTATCAGTATATATATATAAATTGTATATATATATATTTAAGTTGCATACAAAAAAGAATCTGTATAATTGTTATATGTATATATATATTGCCAACATATGCCAAATTGACAAAACAGCTCTGCCCATGGACCAACTATTCAGCAATATTCAGCAATCGTTTGGTACAGCATCTGCCAGCCTTCTGGAGGCCACTGATGGCACCGGAGAGGTTGCAAGAGACCTCCTGGCAGCTCGAAGGTCTGTCACGTTGCTGTGCCATGGTGCCATGGTGCCATGGTGGCTATGGTCATTGGACCAACACACCCCTTGGAAAAATCACATGATTTTACTGTGTCGGGAATGGCGGGAAATTCCATTTGCACATGTTGTGGTGTTGTGGAACATGATGATTGGCACCCAACTAAATACATCTTACCCTCTGGTAAATAAACAGTTGGACCCTGAAAATCACAAATTTTTAATGGAAACATTCATCTTCCAACCCCATTTTTAGCCAGGATCTATGTTAATTTACCGGAGGGTACCCTCTGGTAATTTAACATAGCTATTGAAAATGACCATTAATAGTGGAATTTCCCATTAAAAATGGTGATTTTCAATAGCTATGTTAAATTACCGGAGGGTAGATAGGCAATGCTCCACATCTATCCACACCTTGCGATGTCACAGCCCCGATGCTTCACTCTCCACCCAAAACGCGGAACGGCTGGCGCCTGTTGCAGGAGCGTCAACTGACCCTGGGTGGTGCTTGCGTCCTTCCGATGCGGGGTGAAACATGAGATGTGAGAAATGGAGGTTTCCTGAAATGGGGGTACCCCCAAATGGATGGTTTATAGTGGAAAAGCCATGAAAAACTGGATGATTTGGAGGTACCCCCATTTCAGGAAACCCCTAAATATCTGGGTTAAGGTTGCATTCCACTCCATGCCAATCAAGATTAAACATTGACATCTTCTTTTTGAACAATTCTACGACTGGAGTGTCTGAAACCAAAACATAGACATACTCTCCAGCAATCAAATATGGCAATTGAACATCCACCATTTGTAGATGATTTTCCCGTCAACACCTCCATCTACAAGTTTCCAGGCAGCCACGTTTGATGACCAAAGGGTAACACGAAAATCATACTGCGAACCTTCTTTGATTGACACCTTTTACATGTACACCAATCCATCAATAATCAGCTGAACATGAAAACCATCATGATCCCGTCTCCCTAATACTAAACGAGGCCTAGTTTTCGTTATTTAGGGGAGGTTTACTGTCGTAAAGCGAAGAGGGGATTCTTCCCATGGCTATATAATCTTAGATACCTATTATATTTACAAAAACTTGAATTTCAGCGGCGACCCTCTCTACCTCCAAAATAGGGTTGGATTACCTTCTTCTCATGAAAATTGCCCAGAAAATAACCCATTCTGCCATCCCATGCGTTAGCCACTTGCCAGCAAAATTGCTAATCCACCAACCTACTCCAGCTCATTTCAGGTGAAATGAATGGATTACCTTAGCTTGATGGATTACCTGGGAGAACTGGGAAAACTCTGTAATCCAATCATCCAAATCAATTCAAAAATCACTGGATTCAAGGGAACATCTGACCACCGGAAACCATGGGGTGAAAACCCCTTTTCCCCATTGAAATTGCTTGGGGTTTCCGCTTTAGAAAAAAAACGTAAACCAATCCATTGATTGGGATATGAAAATCAACAACCAACCAGATGTCAAAGGATGAAGATACAATAAGATACACCTGGGAAAAATGTGCAATGCGTTCATCCAAAGGTTTTACCATGTTTTACCCAGTTCCTCTCTACATCCCTCTCCTTTTGGACCGCCGTCACACTTCTTTGCGTGGCAGCAAGCTCCTGGCCAGGCTGAGGGAGCTGGGAAGGCTCCACAAGAAAGAGAAAACACAATAGGTCACACATGGATAATATGGTTAATATGGATTATATGGTTAACATGGATAATCATATATAATAATAGGGTTAATATGGAATAATTGTAGATAATAGCTCATAACAACTGATTGTTCCCGTGTTTTTTTTCCATTGTTTTGGGTGTCTTTTCTTGTAGTAAAACCCAAAGACGTTTTTATCAATTGGGCACACCAAAACCGGGCCTGGCGCGTATCGCCCAGTTGCTGCTTCGTCTCTGCAAGACCCTGGGGCGGCTTGCTATGGGATATGGAGAACATGAAGAACCCAGACTTTGATCCAACATAAACATATACAAACATATATATATATATACACACATATATATATAATTATATATATCTGGCTAAATTGTAATATTTCACTAACCTGAATGGTTCGGCCATTTGGGGATGATTTCCCTCACTATTCCAGTGAGGTCGCAGTGAGGCAGTCGGGCCCCCGTGCCCTGGCATGGTCACCGCTTTGGATGCGCGTCTCTGAAAGATCCTGAGGCAGGGTTCCTGGTGGTTAACCTATAACTGAAATCACCAAACAAAGCCAACTTTTTGGATATATTATATAAATGGATTATAAATGGGTTCAGTTTCACTCGTTCTCGGTGAGTTCACGAGGGTGCTTGGAAACTGTTGGGGCGAGGGTGTTTTTGGCAACGGATTAGACAACTATCACTTCGAGGAGTGTGACCACGGTTTCCACACCAAGCTGTCCTTAAGGATTGAAGCAGCAAAAATGATGCTTCGATGGGATTTGACCAAGAAAGAGTCGATTTCATGGAATTGGATCAACATAGGGAATGGAACCAACCATATAATGATATTTCATTGGGAAATCATCAGGTTTAAGTTAGCTCAGTTGGTTGACATAAGTAGGTCATGGATGATTATGATGATATGACAATTCCAGCCCCAAATCTTGATATTCCACCAGAAAAAACCTTATCCCCCCCTTTTCTGGCCTTGCAGGCTCTGCAACTTGAAAAAGTGGAACGCATAAAAAACTCATGCCGTAGACATCCTCCTAGAGTTCGGGAAGCTTATCTTGCATTGCAGAGCTGTCACTACCCGGGTGGCCCCATGTAACCACAGATCCATCTGCTAGGATCGCAGCAAATGCACCACTTGTGCTATGGACCTCCTGCACATTCCTGAGCTGATCTTGCACTGCAGAGCTGTCACCACCTCTAGCCGGGTGGCCCCATGCAACCACAGATCCGTCTGCTAGGATCGCAGCAAATGCAGCAGCAAAGGCACCACTTGTGCCATGGACCTCCTGCACATTCCTGAGCTGATCTTGCACTGCAGAGCTGTCACCACCAAAATCCGGGTTGCCCCATGTAACCACAGATCCGTCTGCTAGGATCGCAGCAAATGCACCACTTGAGCGCTGGACCTGCTGCACATTCCTGAGCTGATCTTGCACTGCAGAGCTGTCACCACCAAAACCCGGGTGGCCCCATGTAACCACAGATCCGTTTGCTAGGATCGCAGCAAATGCAGCAGCAATTGCACCACTTGTGTCATGGACCTCTTGCACATTCCTGAGCTGATCTTGCACTGCAGAGCCGTCACCACCAAAATCCGGGTGGCCCCATGTAACCACAGATCCGTCTGCTAGGATCGCAGCAAATGCACCACTTGTGCCCTGGACCTGCTGCACATTCCTGAGCTGATCTTGCACTGCAGAGCTGTCACCACCAAAATCCGGGTGGCCCCATGTAACCACAGATCCGTCTGCTAGGATCGCAGCAAATGCACCACTTGTGCCCTGGACCTGCTGCACATTCCTGAGCTGATCTTGCACTGCAGAGGTGTCACCACCAAAACCCGGGTGGCCCCATGTAACCACAGATCCGTCTGCTAGGATCGCAGCAAATGCACCACTTGTGCCCTGGACCTGCTGCACATTCCTGAGCTGATCTTGCACTGCAGAGGTGTCACTACCAAAATCCGGGTGGCCCCATGCAACCACAGATCCATCTGCTAGGATCGCAGCAAATGCGGCGTGTGCGCCCTGGACCTCCTGCACATTCCTGAGCTGATCTTGCACTGCAGAGCTGTTACCACCTCTAGCCGGGTGGCCCCATGCAACCACAGATCCGTCTGCTAGGATCGCAGCAAATGCACCACTTGTGCTATGGACCTGCTGCACATTCCTGAGCTGATCTTGCACTGCAGAGCTGTCACCACCATTACGCGGGTGGCCCCATGTGAGTATCCTGCTGCCACCACAGCACCACAGTGCGAAGGCTTGAGACCCACCGACATCGATTTTTGTTGTTGCCACCGTTGCTTGTAGTGCAACAGCAGTGAGGCAGTCCTTGTCTTCAACCTGTGCATCCACCAGCGATTGAGAAGGGTCGCCCAAAATGCGCCCGTCCGCGGTGACAAGCCTCAGGAGTCCTTGTTGAAACGATTTCTGGGCCAAAATCTTCAAGTCCCCTACTTTGGAGGACCGAGGAAGTGAAATGCTCTCACTGCGACCGCTTGGCGAAACTAAAGTCACTTGAAACATCAATAAAAAGCACAAAAGTTGCTCAACACGACAATACGAGGCGCAAAAGGAACGTTGAGCCAAATTGACTTTTTGGGAAATAGCTGGAGACAAATAAAGCATGCATGCGTGATGTGGACATCCAACCGAAAATCTTGACCTTCCACCAGAAGTTGTTCTTCGTTTACATCCAAACCTGTGAGCAGAACTGAATACAAAAAAATAGAGGAATGTCTTATCATCAAAAAAAGAAGTTCCTCAACTCACTCCGGCACATGAATGGGTTCATTCTAGGAATCCGATTCGGAGAGTTCCTCCACGTGTTGAGGGCAGGAAACGCCTGAAAACACTGGGTGTTGATGAAGTTCATGGGGCATCCCCAGTCGTCACCATAGGTTTTTATTGCCATGGCTTGGATGATGCTTGGATGGGCCCATGACGAAACCTTCCCATCTCTGGGGTCCGATGGCCCACTGAGCTTGATGCGTATTACTGGTTGGTGGTTGAGCCCTACCCCCTCTAAAAAATGATGGAGTTAGCTCGTCAGATGGGATGATGACATTCCCAACATATGGACAAATAATCCAAATGTTCCAAACCACCAAGCAGTTTTTTACCTATTTGAAATAAAGTGATCATATTCGACTTTCTGACTATATCTGACTATCTACAACCACCATCAGAGCGTGATGTCCTATGTTTCCTCAGAGCAGGAGGTATACCTAACCCAGTCAAACTAACATTGTTCACAGTCAAAACCTCTTCCCCAAGATTGCCCAACATCCAAATGAGCCATTCACCGGTATAATCCCATGCAGCACATCCCATGAAATACGGGCAAATACGTATCCAGTAGAATGTGGCCTATAATGGTCTATAATGATAACAATAGTTAAATAGTATAACCCACTAATTATTTAACAGCCAATGTATCAAACAATCTAATTTTTATAAAGTGACACTGCATTACAATGACCCACGGTGTCACCCATTATAGTTACCCATAGTTACCCATCATAAAAAAATATCTATCTTATCACTAAAAAATATTGAAAAATAATATTCACATTTCCCAGGACAAAAGTTTGTTGCTGTCCACTGTTTCAGAATAAAGCAATGTATATCTCTCTGCGGGTCAACGTTATGATTTTAAGGGCAATTTTGGGTGGCCTGCGTGGTGCATCGAATTTACTAGTCGTTTTGAATTAACATTATGTTAAAGGTTACGAATCTGATCCGTTGTCCACGACCCAGGTAGAAACTTCCTTACTAGAAAGTTCTTTGGTAGGAGTCTATGAGGAAACGGTGTTGGAAAGCCCAAGAGGATTAATTTCTGTCCTGGCGTTGCGTTATTTTTAGGGAGGGGCCTTGTGCCCAGAAGAATTTAATCATTGCAGAATGCACACAGTTGCCTATCATTGCCAAAAAATAAAGCACTGAAAAATAATCAACCCCTACAAAAAAAATGGAACATTCATTAAAAATGCTCTGTATATCATGTAATGTGGTTAAAACAAAAATAAACCTTCCCCAAAATCACCATTTTTATGGGTGGTATGAACCATTTCCAGTCATGGATGGTTTATGGCATTGTTTTAACCACATTATAGTCAATAGGACTGTTAATACAAAATCATATATACAGTGATGGCCCAACTAAGTCTTATGTTTATGGGATTCTAATGATATATAGCCTCAGTTATAGGAGTTATTTCATCCCATTTATAACTGTTAAGGGCCATAACTGTTTAAGTCTTATGTTTATGGGATTCTTATATGTATAACTTACTGTACAACCTTCAAGAAATGGAAAGATAAGGGGCCTAGGATCTGTGCGTCACAAGGCTGCCGTCACAATTGCTGTTTTGGTTCTCTCATCCTCGAATTTTTAAATACCCCAGGGCCCCAGGGACCCCAAGTGAAGAGATCCAACACGACATCAGGAGTTTATTTTGGTGGTAATTATTTGATATTAGGGGGGATTAGTTTGTTCCTTGAATGTTTTCGGAAGGTAGCTGATGTCTAATTTGTTTGAAGTCAATATGTAAGAAGCAGCTTCCCCCTGTTACTAACCCCTCCAAAAAATATAAAAACTAGGGTCCGCCTCCAATTTTGGAAAATTTGAGCTTGGCCAATTTGATTTTTAATTGATCCCTTTTAGACAACAATTTAAAAATGAAGCTACCATTTCAGGGTTTCATCCCCTAATAATAAAAACTAGTCAACACCCGGGGTGTTTTTATTAGGGTCCGTCTTTTAAGTCGAAAAACAACGTATTTTATATTAAGGTTTGAAATTTAATACAATATTAGGGGAAAGCATCCAATTTTTGGCAATATTTTAATTACCGTAGATTTTAAAAGGAAATCTAATCGGTTTTGAAATAGAAAAAATAGTTTTTTATATTAGAAGAATAAATTTAGTATTAGGGGGAAGCTTCGCACCCTAATAATAAATACCACCTAATAATAAAAACTAACTGAGGTGTTTATTATTTGGGGTGGTTAGTATTAGGGGGAAGGGATTACTGCAAACCATGTAATCTCTTTCTCTCCTTTGATCATAGTTGCACATGATTGAGAATTATTGACCTATTTTTTTTTGTTTTTTTTTGTCCTACACATGGCACATGTTGATACACTTTGTTCCTTTGGTGCCCCTCGTTGTTGAGCCGCCCGATCAGTCCAGTCCTTCTGCAGATCGGCCAGCTCTTTGTTCGCCTGAGGGGTGTTCCAGATCTTCGTGGATCATCATGTCAAATAACAGGGGGAATTAGACAACATTTGAAACCCTAAGCCAAATAAAGTAGCTGTTACCTGCACTAGATTCATTTATCGATTATATATATATATGTATATATATATATATATATGTATCTATATATATATATGTATATATATGTATATATATATATATGTGCGTGTGTATTATATTAATTGTATAATTGTTGTTGGCATCACGGCACAGCCCAAAATGTTGTTTCCATTCACCTCCAAGGAAATCAAACGGAAATAGTGGGGAGATCGCCAATGTCAATGACTACTTGGAGGATTCTCCCGCCAGGAATATATATATTTCGGAATCATGAGCGCATCCCCTATGCACGATTTAACATCATTTAACTACAGCATACTACAGCGCAAAAAATTCATGCTGACAGTTCTACCAAAGGGCAAACTTTCTCTGTTCCCAAGCCCATTGTTGGCGTTTCATCAGAAGTGAGGACTTTTCGGTTTCGAACACCTTGAATCCTTGAAGCTTCATATCAGCTTTGCATAAGCTGGGCAAACATATAAACCTCAAGCAAAATCATGAACCGTATATGTAATATGCGTCATATTGCATATTCTGGAGTTAGCACTGGGTGGACCAGGACCATGTTAGACCCGCACGATGTTTTTTGGTCGTGATCACTGCAGGCATTTCTTCAAACAACAAAATGCCGCTGCCGCCCGTCCCGGCTCCTTAGTAAAGCTGACCTCGACATCACCTGGAACAATCATGGCATGCCACAGCTTGGCAAGTAATTACTGTAGTTCAAAACCACTGAGACATATCTCTCATCCTTGCGCAATGCAGCCTGGAAAATAATCAAACCACAAACAAGATGCACATCTGGAATCTTTGGCAGGTCCGGTGGTTCTGGTCAGTGGCACTACAAACAAGCGCTTTCTCTTAGTGACGCCAACAAAAAGCAACTCCAAAAAACCCGTCCCTATTGAAATCATAACATGGGACATTAGCTATAACTTGGTAACTCTTATTTCAGACACATCCATACTCAGGTAGTTTCATATATTTGATCAATTATATAACTAATTTAAAAGTGATACAGGTGATACAGGTGATATTCCATGGATCCGATTTATTTCACATCTGGTGAAGCACCTTTCAACGCGGCGGCCACCGCTTTCCGCACCTTTCAACGCCCAGAGCTCTTTCTGCAGCGCCTCAAGATCCTTGCGCTGCATTGAGAGCTCCGCGTCGTGACTTTCGCTGCGGGACCTTACGGTGAAACCCTGGGGAAACCCGGGGGGATGCTTTGAATCCTACCCATTTCTGAGGTAAGTCGTTGGGAAAGGAAGTTTGGGGCAGGGTTTACGTATGTTTACATGGGTTTCCACATGACCTGTTTCGTACTTCCAATCTCAACTGTTTGTTGTTTTTTCCATGGTTTTCTCCTTATTTCAATCACCAAGTTTGGAGATGTTTTGTGCAAAACATCTTCAATCTGCAGGTCACATCGTCTTTTTCACGGTAAACTCTCCATTTTCCATTTGGGTATCCCTAATTTGAATTAATTTCTATCGTTTATCATCATGTCCCTATATTTCAGCAGGCATTTTAGGGGGTAATACGGAAAAAAACCAATTTTCAGGATATGTTCTGGAAGTTCAACACCAGCACAACCAAAGTTTCTGGGCGAAAATCTCTCCCGCCCCAGCCCCCAGTCATCCCAAGAATCTGCAGCGCCATCAGCGGAGGTCTTAGGGCCTCGAGATCGCTGCGACAGCTGCTGAGAGAAGCGCTGAAGGAGGACAGGTCGCTGCGACCTTGAAGCGTCCCAACTTTTGCTGGGAGAATGGGATGATTTCTAGCTATCGTGAAAAAACTATCATGGGATTTATATAGCCAGCCATATTATGTGTGATTGTTATTGAGTATGTACATATTGATTGATACAATCATGATATATATATATAAGAATAGTAAAATAAAATAAAATATAATAATATAATATAATATAATATAATATATTATAACATAAAAATATAATATAATATAACATAATATCATAAAATATAACATCACACAATATAATACTATATAATTAAATATAATTGTATATTAGTTATATAATTATATATAGCCTTAAAAAACAACTGGCAAAAACTTCAGTTTGCGCATGGATTATAAATGGATTATTGGTTGATGGCTTTTGTTTCACCCCTGATTTTTTTTAATCAAGTGGGATTATTATCATACGAAATACGGTTAACTAAAACAATATACAATGATCATATGATATAAGCATATAGTATGATGTGACTTGTGTTTACCACAATATATACAATGGTCGTGAATGCAATTATTTTAGACATAAATGTATGGTACATGGATTATAATTTGATTATAGCTGGGAACCTCTTACGGACTGACAGGGTTTAGCATTAGCAGGTAAGTAACTATCTCTCTCTCTATATATATATACATACACATTTCTATACAGTATATACATCAGTACGATATCATTGTGCCAACAATAACAGTGGTTGAATACTATGGGCACAAAGATTCTGTGATTCTTGTTGGTTATATCATTGGCTATTTATGGTCATATTTTGATGATAAGCTTATATAGAATAATCTTGATAGATCATGTGGTGATACATGGTGATATCAGTGATATCATCTATCTATCTACAGTACTCTGCATCCATCTACTCAATCTCAAGGAGAGGATCCATGGGGAAGTTGTCCGAAAGTGATGAGAACTGCAGCAACCGCGGTGAACAAGTAGGTGCTCCGCAGCAACCCTCTCGAAGTTTCCACACCGCTATGGAAAACCACCAGTTTTAGTAGGTGGATATCTGCCAAAGTGCAATTTTCCATAGCAATCTCAAAATACCACCAGTTATCAAATTACAGCGCTTGGATTGAAATTAGTATCTCAAATTTGGACAATCCCCGTTTTTTCCCGTTTGTACACACACAAATTGCCAAAACACGAATTTGAAGTTTCAACCAAGAGCCGAAAGTCACTGCCAGGGCTGCACAACCCTAATTGTTCATAAATGTTCCGTGGCAGCCTGAAGAAATGTCATCAGCCAAGTGGCAGGCTGCCAAGTCCGATCTGCAGACGGCCAGCTCGGATTTGGTGGAATGGAAGTCGCCTGCGACAGTTTTGTTTTTGGCTGCGGCAGCCACAAAAACCCGAGAACACCGAACTGTTTGAACCACGCGTGGTCACAATGAACACATAATGACACATATATGAAATGGGTATCGACATAAGCCGGCTGCAGCCCAATTTCGCAATTTCAATTCAATTCATTTTATGATCTGTTTAAGCTTGGAAATCCTGGCATGTGCAAACTACCCATCTTTTATGTTCTGATACGTCCTGGGTAAAGTATGGCTGAAGCGTTCATTTGACAGTATGGTGCAGTTTATTGAAACTATATACCCAATGATTTTGGCTGTACTGTCTTTGCTTGCTCTGGATTTAGAACCAAACAGTACAAATATGTCACTGTTTTGACTAAAACACATACTTTGGATTCTGTGTCCTTTCCTCTTTCAACTGGGTCAATTTCTTTAGCGCTCGGCTAGTCCTAAATATCATGCACAAAAGGAGTTTGATTGTCTTGGCGCAATGCACATCTACCCACTTACATAGCAAAGCATGGAGCTTCAACCTAGCCTTTACCAGTTGTTTTACCCAGAAAGGTTCCCATCTTTACCGGTTTCAATCAGGTCCTAATCTTTACTAGTTTCAATCACACATGTAATGACTGTAATCAATGATAATCACATATCCAATCCCCATTTTCTGTCTTGATATCCAACATTTTCCCCGGTTTTGACTGTTCTTTTCTCTGCCTCAATGGTTGGTTTACCACGATTTACCCAGCGCCTTTGAACACCTCCAGTGACGCCAGATGCTTCTCTTGCTCCGTCTTCAAGGCTCCTTCGAAGGGGGCGGGGGCGGCTTCAGGAAAAAAAAACACCAAGTGTTTGTGAAATCTATCCATCCATCCATCCATCCATCCATCCATCTTTCTATTTAATCTAAACTAAAATCTAATTTCATGCAATCTAATCTATGTAATCCAGTGCGCAAAATGAACACACAGAGTAAATCTTACCCTTATATACAAGTATTGAGAAGAGATAGGGACGTACTGTACGATATAATTATGTACGGTATCTATTTACGTCTACACAACTAGTCATTCATACAGGCGCGTGGACATGACGTATATGCTTGGATCTCACACGACGTCCGATTTGGTTGGCAAACCCATGGGTCAGTCTCAAACGGGACATTCTTTGACAAGCCTAGATCATCCCAAGTGGTTGGAACATTTGGAAACTCGATGAAACTCTTAGTAGCTGGCCCCCCATTGAGCAATATAGCTGGATACCCCATAGCTGCCACAGCTCGGAAACGCCTGAAACGGGCGCGCAACGCGAAACCCCACCGAAGCTGGGAGCTTCCCCACCTAGGTTGGCGTCTTGCGATTCCAGGTCTTTCCGTGCACTGCCGAGTTCGGATCCTGGGCGAAAGCCAACAGTTCAGAAGGTGCCTCCTTGGTGCCTCTGATGTTTTTGACGAACCCCAAAATGCAAAAAAAAAATCTTCAGGAGTCGGCCATGAAACCATTCCTCAGAATTCTTCAGACTTATCTTGAAGGGTTCTGGGTCCACATGTTTTTGTTCTATTGCACGCATCTCGGATGAATGGATTGCCAACGTTGTTTGACATCGCTGTTTCTGTTTGCAAAGCTGACCACCCAAGCAGCACCAGGATGAGAATTCCCCGAGTCCCCAGGTTACCTCATTTACGTAACTGGCATCACATGATTGTAAAGAAAAAGGTAAATCATGGCTATATAATTACTATCCAACCAGAATTGGATGCCAAATAATCCAAATAATCCAAATAGGGGAAAATATGAATATAATTATATATTAATGCTTGGAAGACTCCGTTCCTCTAGTGGCTCAAAGCTCATGGTCCAAACTGATACTGAGGTGAACCTCCAGGGCCCCAAGCCTTCACTGTCCCAGCCAAGTCATATCATCACTGTCCATAGGTCAGCAACAAACATTAAGCTAATCATAGTCCAATATGTCCACATAGCAATTCGAATGATAGACAAGACTAATTCATTAATAGTTCGTCCCCCATATTAGATCATATGATAGATAACGACTATCAATAGTCACTTGGCATATGGGCCACGGTCAATATCTATTGCTCCAAGTCATCACAATTTGAAGAGCGTACTATTTTTTTTTGGTACAGAATAGAACTACTACCCTCTGGTGAACTAACATAGCAATGGAAAATGGCCATTTATAGTGGATTTTCCCATGAAAAATGGTGATTTTACATTGCTATGTTGGTTCACCAGAGGGTATCCAGTTGCCATCCATAAGTCACCACCGAACCATCCTTGGATTTGCTCCGAAGTCACGAAGACTCTGCAGCTCTGCTTTGGCCCGTTCCAAGTCCGAGCCTGTGGGACTGAGGTGATTTTTCTGATGTCGAGGATCCAAAAGAAGGCCATTTTTTTGGGGAAAATGAAGCATTGTTTAAACATGCTCCAACCATCCTGACATATGTTTAATATAATTTTATATAATCAGATAAAACCACATTCAAAATGAAAGGCCCCAATGTGCCTAAAATGAAGAGCAATCCAAGGCCAAACCAGGGTCTCGTTTGGGGGGTATTGGGCTAGTAAAGTTGTGTACCCCTCTGCTAATTTTATACGGCAGAATATATGGGGGAGTCGTCAACAAACCGGTGATTTTCCATGGACAAGTTGAGTCACTGGAGGGTAGCTGCTGATAGAATTTCTAGATTCTAGAAAACGATGCAGGGATGGCTCAAAACTTTTGTTCTCAAAAAATGTGGAAGGTGACACTGAAAATTGATCTCATTCACCCAATTTGCCGTGGTCAAAGCATCAGGGACCCAAACTAATATAACTCATACTTGATTGGTTCTTCATCCATATCATCCATCCTATTCCAAGTTTGATGGTAAAAACCTCATATTCCATGGCTAAATCATGCGATGCTTGAGTCCAGCTTGAGTCCACATAGTTTTTTTTTTCCCGGGGCTTCTCAGAGGGATTGCCCCAACAGCCCAGCATCCATGGTAAAAACCTCATATTCCATGGCTAAATCATGCGATGCTTGAGTCCAGCTTGAGTCCACATACAGAGGGATTGCCCCAACAGCCCAGCATCCAGGCTGAATAATCCCCGATAACTTGATGGCGAAATCGCCAGCCGACTTGGCTGGCCATATTTGATGCTTTAAAAAGGAAACCCATGGAACACTTTGCTAGTTACATCCCCAATTTCCTCATTTTTTTTAATATTTTATTTTATTTTATTTTAATGTTTGACGGTTGAAAGATGTTGAAAGCCTCATATTTTGCTGGCTAAATCCTTGCAGTATACTTGATGGTGGCACCCCCACATCCCATTGAATCCTCACCAACACCTCCTGTAATCAAACACATCAAAGATCGAACATGGACCATTCCCTTCGATGTTTTCCCGTTAAGACCTCCACAGGGAATTTACCCCACCATGTTTGAATCCCAATGTTCGATTCCCATTTTGTTTGATAGTTGACCCTTGTTTCATGATAATTTTCGACTATGTTCGATAGGTAACACCATTTCTTGCCGATGAAGTCCACACCGTTTTTGATAGTTTGTTTTAGCACCCGTACTTGATAGTTGCACACCAACTTACCATATTTGATGGTAAATCCAAAGTTTTTGATACCCCCATATTCTGTACATACCAACATATTTCGCTAAATTCCTTTCATTGCCCATATATCCTACATACATCCCGTAGAATAAATCCCATAGGACATCCCACAAATATATACAATATGTGTATGGGTACACATATGTATATATATATATATACTTATATACACCATCCCATCGCTTCGCCAAGCTGCGGTTGGCTGTCAGCTCTGATCTACAGGAACTGAGGGACGCCTCCAGCCCTGCACGGGCCGACTGGAGGTCGCTTCGTGTAGCATAGGCCTCGGGCCAGCCGGTTGGGGGTATGACTAAGCAAAAACAGGAACTTACAGGAAGGCTTCACCAAATGTTTGGACTCAACATGACTTAACCATGAAATCATGAAAGTATGGAGACTTTACCAGCAAAATAAAATTTGTTAGTGACTAGTGAGTGGTTCATAACCATATATAACCATGGCTAATAAGCCATGGAATTGATGTGATATCCCCAGTTCAAAGTGGACTCCAAGCATCGACCCCCAAGAAATTTCTAGGACCGTATCCAAATGTGAGACATGATCACCGGAGAGACTTTCCAAGCAAATAGTAGCCACGATGAAAGTATATGTGTGACCATAAGGAGGGAAAAAAACAGTGCCCATCGTTTTCTGCATTTTTTTGCGCCTATGAGGCTTGTCAATTGATACTGGGAGCAGTAGTCCACGTATTTTCTGTTGATCTGTTGTGGCCTTTTGGTCAACCATGTCTACCAGTGGAAAATCCGATGCTTAAGATTTTCTCCTGGTCATGATTGGTTTCTGTCCTGTCCCAGCCGTGTTGCTCTGGAGACCTCTTCTCGTAACGTCCTGTGCGACTTGGATCGACTTGGCATCTGGGATGCCGCGCATAACTGCAGAAAACCATCAAACATAAGCACGGGTTCTTTTCCAGAAAACATACTTTTGTTTTGGTAAGATGCTTTTTCAACGCACCGTGTATGTATGTACAATATGTATGCATGAATCAATGAATGAATTATCATAGGGCGTGTCATACGATTTGCTGGGATGAACAGTAGATACGATTGAAACCACCAACGATCACCTGGATTGTGATCGTCATCAGTTTGGCATGGCAGCCGTGCCTACAGAAATTTGATGCTTCTCATTCAGAATGGATTGGGTCGTGGTTGTTTAAGCAATGGTGTGGGTCAATATCTAAGACTTGTAAAAATATTACCGTAGGTTTTGGTCGGTTTTTAGTATGAATATGTATGAATCCATACCAACCATCCAACTTTGGGATTTGAATCATACCCAATTCTGATCCATCTGGGTATGGGTCCAAATTCAAGATCCGTGTATTCACAATCCCATTTAGCGGGTACGATCCATTGCGACCCATACCCATATATGTCATCATCAAGTTTGAAACCCATCTATAATTCCCTGTAAGTCATTACATATATATATACATATAAATCATTAAATTTTCATTATATAAATTCTAAACCCATTTTATATACCCATTAAATATCCCTAGCTATTGTAATCTATCCTCTCTCGGTCATTTTGGTGCTGAACAAATGCCACTGGTGCTCCTGGTTTCCATCTGCAAATGTTCCCGGAGCTTGGCCATCTCGGTGGTAGATTGCTCTCGCCTTGCACACACACACATATATATATATATACACATGTGTATATATATATAATTTATTATAATTTATGTATATTTGTGTGTGTTCTGTCTGTCTGCATGCATGTATGTATGCTTATACATATATCTGCTCCGGTTTAAAAACACTTTCCCCCTTTTTCTAAATGAATTTCTCAATTGGGTGGTTTTATCAGTGTCATGTGCAAAAGCCTGCTGGCACTCTGGTGTTCACACCTCGAAAATGTTGCCAGAACGGTCGTCGGGTTACGAATGACCAGGCAATGTTTGGGGCTCTTGGTGTTTACCAATTAGCAGGTGCGCTTAAACTTTGGAGATAACATCCCAAGATGCAGCAAATGGCGAGGAAAGTGGTATGAAACATGGCTCCAATACCGTCCCAACTATAGACATACCAGAAACATGTGCCAAAATGTACAATATGCATCAATATGCATGTTCATTCGCTTTCCACCTAAACTTCCAAAACCAAAACAACAAACAATCATGCACATAACCATCACTCCATCTTTCTGTTCTCTTCCACTTTCCCAGTTCCAGGTCTATCTTGAAACGTCATCCAAGTACTTCAGCAACGTCAACTGCTGCCAAACCCAAGCCACAGTCTCCAACAGGCTGAATCGCACATCTCCCGCCTTGATCTGAGCTGGGGGCTTACTAGGGAAACAACAACAACAACAACAACAACACCAACGACAACGACAACGACAACGACAACAACAACAACAAAAACTCGTTGAACATCATGAAATCTCACTTCAACTACACAAATCGGGGTCAAGGTCTCAAAGTGAGCAGATGATTTCGGTCATCAATGACCGCCGTGAAAAGGCCTCTAAGGGCGCTCTTTGAGGCGTCATTTTAGGAAACCTCCATACACACACATATATATATATATATACACAGTATATATGTAGATAATATATCATCAGCAACCATCAACAATCATGATATCACCCGTGTTCACCATTGACCATAAATCACTATCAACCATTATTATCCATTATCAATCTTTAATTTACATTTAGATATGTCCCAGGATATTTGGATATATTCAGAAAACATTTCGGGCCTCGAGCCCAGACAACGGATCCCCTGCGCCCAGCTACAGCTTGGCCGTGTCCGAAGCCTGTGTCTCTCGAAGCGCCTGACCAGGTGGCGGCAAGGATCTCTGGATCTCTGAGTTCCGGCGGCTTCCTGATGTTTTTCCTTCCCTACAGAAACATCCAACTTTGATGGGTGAAATATGTCAAAATAACTACTTAACCAACAATAATGTGAATCATTTTATGCCCCCCCCATTGGTCTTGTGTCTGAATTGTTGACATACTTGGAGATGGATGGATATGGTTCAGATGTCGGATACCCCAGTAGGTCCACCGATTGTACACATCCAATGACTTGGGTGAGCGGAGGGGATGAGTTACCTTCCGGTAACCAAACATTGCAATGGAACATCCACCATGTACAGATGATTTTCCCATTGAAACTTCCATTTAGTTTGGGAATTTCCCATGGCTGGGGTTGATTACCGGAGGACCGGAGGGTACTGACAGTTTCCAAAGACCAAAGACAAACGGTTTGTCTGAACATAGAGGACCCCAAAATCCCCATACTGTTGGTTGCATATCCCAATTACATCCCAATTATTGTTGGTTCTATGCCCATATAATACCATTAATCCATATTAATCACATTATATAATATGTATATAAACATCCATCAACACTCATGTATATCCAGTTATATCCACCAATCTCTCTCTCTCTCTCTCTCTCTCCCCATCGCAAATCATACTTGGATTTTCGCGGATTTTCTAGTGTATTTTGCTAAGATACATATTTTGAAATGTATTCTATGGTTGCTGTATACTTGGAGGAGTATCCCACTTAGGAAGTGGTTAATAACCCTGGTTAGTATAAGTCCCCGATTCGTGGGTTATCTCATCTATAAATGGATGAACTATACTATGGCAACTACCCAGTCAAATACCATTAAATCACCATTAGGAAATCCCAGTCCGATCACCGTTTATACCGATGATTTCATTCCAAAAAATACCATAGTTGCCATAGATGATGAAAATCCCAATTCGGAATCCTAGGTCCTAATCATCTAGTTAGATGATTAAAATCCAAGAGGAATCCCTAGTAAAATTCCATAAATCACCATTTATATCACTTTTTCCTTCGCTGATATCCTCGAACTCCAGGCTCTCAGCGCCTGCACTTCATGCGTCAGGCTCTCGCGCATCGCCTGCATTTCCGCACTGAGCTGGGCCACCTGGCATGGGGCCACCGTAAGGGGGCCTGTGCGCATATAAGCCACATACATACATATACACATGTATACATACATGAATATATATATATACACATATTGCTACATATATATATATATTCATTTATATAAGTATGATATAGTAGCTATAAATGCTATCAATATCTATGTTTTATTTTTGCTCCGCATATTTACTACAGGGAGATGTATACTATCAATTACTATCATATATTGTGTGCATCAATGACATTTTTTGCTGGGAGCTCTTTGGTGCAAACACGCCGCGGCTTGGCACACATGAATTCAAAACATCTGTAAGTGTGTATATATATATATATGTATAATTATTTATATGACATATATACAGTATATATATATATATACATATATATACATACAGTATATAGATATGGCGTTGTATATGAATACAATTAGATATATGCAGATGGATGTGCATTGACAATGATCCCCAAAAAGGAACAAAAAGGTGGAAACTTGTAGGTGTGGTTCAAGCCAATTCCAAACCACCTGATTACAGGAAATCATTGTTTTCCACTCAACAAGTTGGACGTGTCCGGCACGGGTTCCATCTAGTCACCCAATAGGTTTGTCTGAAACTTTAGGGGGAACACCCAGAAACCCATATCTGGTGGGTGGTTTCAACCCCTCTGAAAAATATTAGACACTTGGGATGATATTCCCAATATATGGAAAAATAAAAAATGTTCCAAACCACCAGCCAGACATCATTTATGTTTTTCATCACTATCAGACTATCCCTAATTAACAATGGCAGCGGATTCCCATAGGTTGGGATCACAAACCACTGTTCAAATACCAGTATTCTGACCATGTTGAAGTGGACAAATCACCCCCGCATCAGGACCCATTTCTGTTGAGGTCATAACTGGTGGCTTATCCCACTTAGTAAGTAGCAACTACTGTAATAACCCTTGTTACAATTGGATAACAAAAACTAGGATGTAACCGACTTTGGATCTGTCGGAGCTGAATTCTCGCCTCCTCTTGAATCTGCTGTTGCGCAGCATTGGCGCATTCCTGGGGGGTGGCTGAGCCATGCATGGCCACTGGGCAAAACCGGCAAACTTGGGATATGAAAATCAACAAACAATTATAGTCAAATGATGTCAATGTCCAAGGATGAAGATACACCTATACAACCATCAGTTGTTCAGAATAATCTGGATCCTGTGGTTTGTGGCATCCTGGCCGAAAGAAACTGGAAGTATCATCCAAAGGCGACCACACTTCTCATGTTCGACTCCTCATGTCTGGCTGTGTGGCTTTTTCATGGATTGAATGAAGGACAATGAAGGGATCCCTCCATGTCAGCCTCCTACAGTCCCTTGCTTTGGCCCCCTTGGGAATCACGAATGTGGTGCCCTTCCACAGGACACGTCCCAGCCTGAAGGCTCACGCGAAGCTTCTTGATATCCAAACCTGTCTCGGTTGAGGAAACTTTGTCCAAAACTGGGGTATACCACTAGGCCATCCTTCATCATATACTCTTCATCTTCATTAAATTGCTATTCTGAGAATATGGCCACATATATACATATATACATATATAGAGAGAGAGAGAGAGATAGGAAATCCCTCTCTCAAAGCATCCAAATATCAATCCTGTTTAGAGAGATTCTCAAGAGACGAGCTTCTTCCACCAAGCGGCCCAATTCGTTGGCTTCTTCGGCACGTTGCCTGGCAGTTTCAGAGGCTGAGGAGCTTCTAATCATCAACTGTTTCTATGGCTGAAAAATTTGGGCATCAACGGGCTCACCAAAATTGATGCTATCTAACCATCCATTTTTGCGGGAATGCCGAATCATTCCTGAGCGGAAGTGGCAGGTCATTCTGAAACATCTGCTAGGTTGTCAAAGGACAATGAGGGAGATACACAAAACACGCATACAAGCATACAAATATATGGATATGCCCCCAAATAATGAAACATGGCAATGGGAAATCAATTTTGAATTGGCATTTATATTATATATAATGGAAAAACCACACACACACATATATATATATATTATAAACACATAGTAAATGTAATTATATATACGTATGTGTGTATAAATGCAGGAGTTTCCATTCCAAATGTTCTCTTACCAAAGGGCATATGATTATCAATTATATACCCTCTGGTAATTTAACATAGCTATTGAAAATGACCATTAATAGTGGATTTTCCCATTAAAATGGTAATTTTCAATAGCTATGTTAAATTACCAGAGGGTAATTTACTATGATCAAATGGATGCACATGCTTCGACTGACACAAAATCCCAGCAAGATGCTGGAGTTCTTCGCCACTACCAACGAAGCCAGAACTAACCACCACCACAGAATGGACGGGCCAGGGCCCAAGTCAACAACCCTCTGGTAATGACTCACATAGCTATTGAAAATGGACATTTATAGTGGATGTACCAATTAAAAAAAAAGGTGATTTTCCATAGTTATGTTAGTTTACCAGAGGGTAATCATTCAAAGAATATGAATATGGAACGAATTGGACAAATAGAGGCCCTAATTCGAATATCCAACACGAACCGTCAGCTTTGGGGTCAAAGTTCTTTTTCCCTTCAAGGCGGGTCGTTCAAATGGCCAGCGCCGGTCACACCACCAGGAGCGAAGTGGACGCCTGCACTTGTGACGCGGTGTGACATGGGTGGAACTAGGGGAGGCGAGTGGCAAATTGACAAGGTAGACTGCACACTGCCAGCATGCTCTCTGCTAATTCATGCTAATTCAACATAGCTATATTGAAAATGGTCAATTCACAGCTGATTTACGGATAAAAGCATGTGATTTTCCACAGCTATGTTAAATTGCCTAAGGCCTAAGGGTAGATACAGTACCAAGAAGAGGGGGCTCCTTGTGAGGGATCTTAAAGACCTTTTGGTCAACCTGGGGTCTTGTCGTGGACGATATCGCAGTTCTCCAAATTTGAATTTCTTATTAAAATTCCCAGGGCGAAGCAGCTCCTGAAGCAGTATCCAGAGATGGAAAAATCATGCCATGCATCAACACTCTGCTCTAGCAAACCTACAACATCTACTGTCTAACATTCAAAAAAGTCACAAACATCCTGTCCATGCGCCCAAGCAGCCTTGTAGCAAACGCATTGCCCCTGCAAAGTGACGCCGACACATTCTCCCTGAATCAATTGCTTTCGGCAGTCCTGAAGGTCCATTAAGCAGCAAAAACAAATTCAGGAAAGGTGTGACCATCAAAGAATTGTCATGCCATTGAACAACTGGCATTTTGTCACGGGCAGCCCGTCTCCTCGCTGCCCAAAGGTCGTACTTTCAGATTTGGAAGGATCTTACTGAACTCATCCCAATACCTCAGCATTCCAGTGATTTCGGGATCTCCAAACAGCAGTCCATAGCAATTCAGATCCCTCTTTGTAAATCATTCTTAACTAGTAACTAATTTGTAACTCCAATCCCACTTAGTTGACTTAGTTCCAGTTGCCAGTTTTGAATAATTACCCTCTGGTAATTTGTTACATAACTATGGAAAGATCCACCCATTTTTCATGGGAAAATCCACTATTTCAATGGCCATCCCATGGTCCCATGGTGATCAGTTCCACTGTATCCTTCCCCCTCCACCGCGCCAAGAGACCGTGCCATGGTGGTATTTGTTGGGCTCCTTGGACCAGTCCAAGGAGCTACCAAGGATCAAATCAATCAATTTACCATCCCCCCTAAGAGTAAACACCTCCCAGAAATATCCAGAAATTCTGTTTTAATACGGAATTTACATGAATTTACACAGATTGGGAGCCATTTGGGTGGTGTATAATTTTGGGTGGATTAGATTACCCACCTCTGATGCCGAGATCTAAAGCGTGCTCTTTCAATTCTCTTTTTTAATGTCCACTTCTCATATCTTTTCCCTTTAATTTATGGGACTCTGTGGCTTTTAATCCAAAAACAATCGTATCAATCCAGCATGATATATACCGTAACCATACTAGATTTCACCAGGGCGGTTGCAATTTTTTGGGCTTCACCGGTCAACCCCTTGACCAACTTCACCAGCCGCGCACCGCTGCGCACCGCTGCGCTGAACAAATTCCTGGCGAGTGGCCCTGCCTTCCGGGTCTCCGCTACCTGGAGCGAGGTGCTTCATCGGCACCATGGAGGACATGTTCATATTATTTCGAATTTATGGCTATATCTTAGACTATTGAAGATGTATAACACCACGATACAGATGTCATATTATGTACATATATATATGGATATTATATATATATGCATATTTATATATATATAGTTCATCATGGCTTGGGTATTGCGATGAGCTGGTGATTTTTTACTGGTGTGTCTTTACTTAAATTATACGAGCCAGTGCTTGTGGAGATCACCCATGGCAACGGCATCCAGAGTTCCTGATGTTTTTCTTCAAGGCAGTGATTGTATCATGGAGATGAATGATCATAATGTACAATAATTAATTTATGAATCATAACCATCATAATTGTGATATATATATATATATATATACATATAGATGTATACATACAAAATCATACAAATATCATCAAATATACAAATAGTATCAAATAGTTAAATATATACCATCATAATGTATCAATGGATCATTGATGTATCATGCTGATTGATCATCATTGAGCCGTGGTCAAAAGGTCTTGTCTTTCTGAAGGCGCACTCAGGGGGGCGCTTCCGCCGTGGGTTTTGAACGTGGCGCAATTGAGTTTTTCCAATATATAAACAATTGTGATCAATGAGTTACGATTCGCCACATTCGATATGATTCAATCATATTCACTATGATTCATATATGAATACCATACATTTGTTTCAATTTTGTTTCCACACATAAATATATATACACATATATATATATATATACACGGTTATCATATGTTACCATACATTATCATATGTTACCATATATATATATATGATTCCCATACATTAAAGTTCGCCCGAAAACACCTGTCCGCAGGCCTGCGCCCAAAGCTTCTGGAAGTCGCTGGTGTCGGTCGCCGTGTCCAAGCTCTCCTGGGTTCAGGTTAGAACCACAAGATCTGCCATCAACAGCAAAGTATGTGACACCGTAACAGCAACTCATCGTCATTGGATCTAATATATACATATATATATATATACTCTAATTGCATACAGTCATACAGTATGTTACATAATGTTACATATACGTTTTTTAATCTTTTGTTCGCTTTCAGTTCTCTGAAGCAAATATATGGGCAGTTTCCTGTTGCTGCTGCATCTTCGACGTACTTTCCACATACCTTACCTGGTTCCAGGGTCAAGATTCTGCGGCAGTGGTGTCTGCTAAGACCAGGGGGTCCAGGATGCGCTGGTTGCAATGAAAGGACCTGTCGGGCTGGATATGGCTCCCCAGCACCGTGATACCATGCAAAAGAACTCTTGGGCACTGGTATAATTCCCTATTTCCCGTGAGAACATCAGGGAAGAAAAAAAACACGGCAGTTCCCCTGGCCAGGTGAGAGTCTCCAGATATGAGACTCTGCACCTCCTCTCCACACTCTGCGCTCACAGCAAACACTATGCCGGATGGAATATGAGATAAAAAATATTGGGTAGAAATGGGTAGAATGTCAGAATGTCCGATAGAACCTTTGAATAGAGATAACAAATGGTGGTTGCTAGATCAACTGATGGGAGTTTAACGAACCCATCAAACCATGACCCCCAGCCTTGCGGAAGTCCTTAGCACCGGATGAATCCACGGAGACTTGCCGATGAGCTGTTGTAGGAAGTTTCAGAATTACTAAGTACTATCCATTGCTATCTGCTGTCTTAGTAACTTAGGCCGGTTTGATTCGGTTTGCACTGCTTTGAATACATCTGCAGCAGGTTTACCTGTAGTAACTGCATCCTAACTGAAGGACCACCACTCGGTATTCGCAACCAATCTGCAGACCAAACATGTGTTGGGAAATCTGTAAAAATTCTGTAAATGTGTTCGTCAGTTCGTCCCTCAACACGGTCCCCCACAGGGGATTCGAGGCAACATACGGAAAACCCCATGGAAACCGAAATCTTGAGCATGGTTTCATACCCATGTATTCTACCCCTATAGTTGTCGGCCTTGTCCGCTATATTTGTTCCTTGGGGGATCCACTTCAGCCAAGGCACATCAAGTCGAAATTGAAGGCTGGTGCGCTGGCAGAAGGTCGAGCAGCCTTTGGTTGGTTATTGGGCCCCAGCGTCCACACCAACACCCGGCCACTTTTCCTGGCAGGGAGCAGCGGGCCTGCGGTGGACCTGCATCTGATGAACATAAAGAGAATCTCAGGGTCTGTTGGTCGCCTTTAACAAGAACATTGCCATTTTTTGAAACATATCTGCAACAAGTTGTGAAACATTCAGGCATTCGACAAGCTTCCGCCATTCCACAAACGTACTGCGAACAAATCTCAGGGTCCATTGGAAGCACTAGTCCGAAGGGAAACTGTAGAAAAAAAACAACGAATTGGACACAAAGAGCCATATCTCCAAGCTCATCATTCAAATCTGAGGATTGCAGAAACCCACCCCACCTGGCCCACAATTGCAAGCGCTCACCCAAATCAGTACCGAAGAGCGTGGGAAATTCGCCAATGAGAAATCTCACCTCAGTGCTGCCCCTCCTCATTAACCATAACCATTGCAGTACCAATTTATATAAGCCACCCATCAGTGGTAGCCGGAGATCCGTGGCAAGTACAACAAACCTTGAAATGTTGTCAGGAATATGTTGGACAACTCAATGGCATGCTTCAAAATCCAGGAAACCAAACATAGCAATTCATACCAGTTCCAAAAGAAAACTTCCCGACCATCGTGAAATTTATGACATACTTACGCATAAGACCAAATTTGGCCACAAAAACGCAATGCTGACATCTGCAAGGGATCCGGAAGGACCCTTTTGCATCTGGGTATAGCAAATGTTTGATATCTCAGCAACGCATAGAGGGCTTCTCTCGTCACCAACAGATTTTTCGGTGGAACTGCAAACAGATTCATCATGGTCATCCCCAGGACTCCATCAGTCGATCAAGGTCACGGAAGCAGGAAGCTCCAGTCGGCCTACAAGGTTGAGTTCAGGTGACAGCAAACAGGGAAGCTATTCACCCACTGAGAAAATGGGGGCAGAAACCAACCAGACCTTCTGAAGCCAAGGGTGCTCGCGACCGCCATAAGAAACCATTTGCTATAATTGTCCCATCTTTCTCCATGTTTTGTGTTTGTTTGCAACTTCCCAGGTCTTCCCAGCAATATCTTTCTGGAAGAATTTCTGGATTGGCCTAGCACGGCAGCTTCGAAATAGTTCAGGAAATTCAGGCCCGGCAAAGGGTGTGACCCCCAAGCACCCTCCATCCTGCGCTGGGAATGGAAGCCTGGGGATGAGAGGTCATCGTCTCAAGCACCAAAAAATAATAAAACATAGTGTGAGTGTGTGATCAGTTGTCATCATGGCAGTGCTCAGATTTCACTATATTAATATACTATAATATACTATATGTACACCTAGACTTCATAGAGATGCCTATGTTCATCTGGATCTCTCATGGAATTTCTACGCTAAAACTCAACGGTACATCAGTGCAACGCTCAGATTCCAACATCTAAGGATCTCTCGTGGATCAAAACCAGTGACATTGGCAACTTTTCTGCAGCTGAGTCCTCATAAAGATGCTTCGGAGCGAGGAGGCGTTACCCCAGAAGTCCTGAAGACAAAACACGCTGCCGACTTTCATCACTCCTTTTTTGCCTCGAAATAAGTCAATTTCAGCAAATGGTAATGGTTACACATGTTTACAGTAAATTACTGAAGATGACTGAAGCTTAGTCTCTTGTGACTGGGATATTGCAGAGAAATTTCTGCTTACATCCGCTTACAAAGTGCTCTAGACTCTAGTAAGTTGAAGGACATCTAAGTACGGTTCCAGGGACCCAAAGAAACATCAATCAACACAACCAGAACTTGCTGGTACTTTCCCATCATCACAAGAATGGCAAACTGTGGCTACGTGAGTTTTTTGTGGGGCATTGCTCATGCGGAAAATCGAGTTAGCCCTGGCAGTTTTGGGGGAAAGAACGCCCTTCTGCCCCTTTCCTTTACGTCCCTTATGTCCTACGTGGAAGTAATCCTACAAGCCCAGTTCCAATCACTTTTTGCAGGGTTCCGTGTGAACGCCTCTTTTTTTTGGAAAAACTGTAGCAAAAATCATTCTCAGCTGGGTGTAGCAGCTCCTCATTGATGAGGAACAAATGGTTGTGGTGTTTCATGGTGCCCAGCACCTTTCCATGAGAGTAAGCCTCGTGCGGTTGGAGCTGGACAGTTGGAGCATGCAAGGATGATGGATGGCTCAAAGAACAGCACCCCCAAGTGAAACACAAACAAAAAAACTAACGACAACTGATCCAATCATCAAATCCTTTCGGATTCGATTTGAATTTTGGAGGATCCCGCCGCATTGCCTAGTGGGTTGTGGTCCTGTTGCTGAGCTAAGAAAACATCAACACACCGCCGGAACTTGTCCGGTCGCGGGGGGAAAAAAGATCTTGGGATTGTCATGGATGTTCTGAATTGCAAATGGTGCAAGGCCAATTTTGCTTGGATCTACCCGGTGCGACGTGGCACATGCGATTCTGCAGTGCCAGTGCAGTGCCAGTGCTCAGTGTCCACTTGTCCTTTTGTGTGCACCGTATGTTCCAGACCATCAAGCCAAAAAACAAATCATGCAGCGGGAAAGAAATGGATCAGCACTTGAGCATTTCTCAACAACATCATGCTTCATCTTGAATATCCTTCAGTACTTTAACATGGCTGTGGAAATGGATGAAAATGGATGAACATGGATGAACGTGGTTCGTTTGTAGATGTTTATAGATGATTGACCCAGTGAAGATGGTGTCCATGGCCCACACCTATCCCATCTTATCCTGCTGAACAAAGTTGACGGCAAGAGACACTGCAGTTGAAAGGCGGAGCCCATGGGAAGTCATGATGTTCCACACCTCAAATCTCCATAGTTTCTTTCAAATCCAAGTGGGTTGAAATATATACATGGAATATCATGGTATTTTATACAAAAAATCTACCAATCGTCCATCAAGCTGCAAGCTCATAGATATTTCATTGACGATATCTATGAGTCTATCAGGTTCCCAGCAGCTTGATGGATGATTCCGCAGCAACCAAGTTCCTGAAGAACAGGCAGCTTGGAGACAAATCTTTGGTCACAAACAAATTGTCGAATTGTCAGATTTGTGGGTATTATACATGTGAAAATCCTGATTGCCGTCCACAGGGACGGCTCCACTCCCAGTGCCCAGCGGCAGGTGGTCTCAACGAAACCCGTGTCCATTGGGGATAACAGAGCGCCTCCGGCCTTAGTTTGGCATAAGTCATTCAACGAAGCGCCCAAATAGAACAAGAAACCTACTATATATCTCTGGTGACTAACATAGCTACATAGCTACGGAAAACAAGCATTTATAATTTACAATTTGTAATAGGTAAATCAACTATAAATGGGCAATGTTCAATAGCCATGTTAAATTACCAGAGGGTATCCCCATCGATCCAAGACAAATTAAGTACCTTCTTATAGGAAGTATGACAGGGCATTTTTGGCCATTTGGGGGGTGAAGTATCATCTCAGAAAGTATTTGGATCTATCCCCCAAGCTGACCTCAATTGACCACTGAGCTTCAATGAATTTCGAGGAAAAGACCGCTGAAACATCGCCATAGATGGGGCTCCCCTGGTCGATGAGGTTGTTGTTCACCTGAGTGCCATGGGGCCATTTTTTTCGATTTTTTGGCGTTTTCTTACAAAGTGGTGCCCCCCAAGTCATAAGTTGGTTTATAATCCCATTAACTATAGATATATCTACCATAAACCATAGTTATTAGAGTTATGAACAAATTTAGCTATCTTGGGGGCACCAGCTTGTAGCCCACTGCTTTTATCCAAATTGCGATGATTTTTCAGTCCTTTACCCATGTTCTATCCAAATGCTACCCAAACCTCTCGCTCAGAACCTCTGATCCCATGGCCCAAGCAAATGAAATCCTCAAAAGAGTGGGTTTGGAAAGGGAACCTTTCACGCCAAAAATAGCTAACATATATTCTTGACACAAACCCGACTTTCACAATCTCATAGAATTTCTAGTCCTTACCAAACCTCTTCGGATTTCAGGTGTCACATGGTGTCACACAAACCAACATCTGCATCTTCTCCCCTTCGGCCCATGGATTTCACTGCAGCCCCTTGCAAGCGGCAAGGGAATAGACAGGTCGTTCATCCGCTTCCTCCATGAACTTTGGAGCGCCTACATCCTGGAAAGGTTTCAAGGCATACCTCGGCCGAAGGGAGGGAAGCTGTGAACACTCATGACATGTGATGATTGAAGTGACAAGTGCTGATATCTTATAGAGTCAGCATGGAGCTTTCCTGTTCCCTGTGGGTTTAGTGCTGTCAACTGGCTGGCTATAACTACCAACAGGGTTGATTTGGATTATAACTCCAGGAGGCCCTAGCTACAGGATGGTAGCAAGTGGGGCAGGAGGGCAAGAAAATCTGCAATCCGCAAGCACATCCGATGAAAGTGGCAGGCAATGGCAGGCCACTTTCTTCTGTCCAAATCTGTCCAAGTCACTCATACGTTTCCTGAGGCCGCGCAGCGAGTGGCTAAGTTTTCTTGATAGGCAGTTGTAGCGGTGCATTACATAAGGCATACCGGCATACCATACCCCTCCAGTCACACACACACACGTAAACACATTTCATGTTCAAATGCCAGAGTAATACTACAACATAGTGTATATAAGAATATATATTATAGCAAATTATTACTATTTATCTAAAATTTATAAAGTCTATCTATCAATTATATTAATTTATCATGTCCATCTATCACTTTAATGTCCACCTATATATCCCGTACATCTCATCCATCTATATATGATTCTGTCTACCTATACCATAAAATGTAGACATAGCATTGCGCTATCGGCAGCCATGGCTCGGCGTGATCCTGCATCCTCCAAGAGTCCGTGTTGTTCTGCACCGCCTGGGTGGGGACCCGCTGGGATTCCGGACGGTGCCGACCCCCCAAGTTGTCCCCAGAAAGGCGACCACATGAACCACTAAATGGATGGAAAATGGATGGAACATGGATGGAAATGGATTGGACATGGATGGAAATTGCAGAATCGAATCCGAATGAATCCAACCAAATTTCCCAAGGAATCTGACATAGAAAGCAGTGCCAAGGTTGTTTTTTTTCATCACATCCTCAACCACACCTGGAGGTGGCCAAGCATCACCCTGCAGCAACGTAAACCAATATTTCAAAAACACTCCCGAATTCGAGTGGTTCAATGGTATATATGCTAACATTGGGGGTATATTGATGGTAAATGTTACTATATATACCATACATGGATCCTATGGGAATGCTGAGCTGATCAAAATTTCTCAACCCATTTTTAAATGTCCCAGATTTCATCAGGTCTCCGACTTCTTCCCATTTTTTTTTCAGGGGTCAACCGGGTCCTTCCAACCCTACGGCAAGATGCACTGCCATGGCATTTGCCATCTGAAACGCTTGTCACTTCACTCAACGGCGGCCCGTGAGGGCAGGGGACGCGCCTTGGTTGGATCAGATGATCAGCTTCTGCCAGGGCAAATCCCAAGAAGTTAAGGATATTCTAGGGAATTGGGGATACCCAATCAAAAAAAAAACTATAGCAAGAGTGGGTAGTATAAACATGTATAACTATATAACCCATCCCCAACCTTAAATGGACATTTACCTTTACCAAATCGATGTAGGTACTCCAAGAGTCTGCCACCTGGCTATGGACCACCCGAACCCTGATCTGCGGACATAACATGCTTTGATTGAAACGCACACTCAACATGAATGTGCTTGCTTCCACAGGGACCCAACATGTGCTAAAATCAGTTTCAAACTGGTTCCCCCCTGCCACTCACAAATGTACAGTACTATAACAAAAGAAACTTAACACAAACCAACAAAATTGTTTACATCATATAGCTAATGTAACATACTAAAAACATTTAAACCACAAATTAAAAACAAAACATGTTTGCCTGTCAGCCATGGCGCCCTGACAAGCTCTTCCTTAAGCGGCTGGTGTGACTTCTCCTCAGTGCAGGCCGTGTTTCATTAGCAAAGGGCACCCAACGGCGGAAATGAAATCAACTCAACTATTTTTTCGGAGATAGATAGATAGATAAGATAAGATAAGATAGGATAAGATAAAATAAAATAAAATAATATTAGATTAGATTAGATAGATTAAAAAAAATATATAGATATGGTTAGATAAGATAAGATAAGATAGGATAAGATAAAATAAGATAAAATAATATTAGATTAGATTAGATAGATATGTTTGGAATGATTCCCCTGACTGGCGGTTGGCGTGAGGTCGTTGCAATTTACTTGGAACTTGAAAAGTGATCATATTTGAGCCATAGCCTGAAATGGGCACTTGACTCATGGCCAAGTTTCCAGCTTTCGCCAGTCTCATTTTGGTTCAACAGCCAAATGGTCTCAGTGAGTTTGCCTGTCCCAGAATTCAATGGCAGGTCGGGTGCTGATTAGGCGGATTAGCAGTGATCCCTAAGTAATAGGCTGTCGGGCTGCGCAAAACCATTTTGGTGACAACACTACCAAGATCTAGTATTTTCATGTATTTTCATGTCGGGGAGGTGCGGCAAATCAAGTGGATGCACAGACCATCGCAAACCGGCCCATGGTCCTTTGTTCATTCATTCGCGATTCGGCAGCAACAACTTCCCACAAATCCGCTATGATCCGTATCCTAGTGAATAGCGTTCTGAGCTACAAACCAGCCATGTGGGCGGATGTGCAGGAGAGTTTTTGTTGCGTCATGCATTGTCAATATCTATCCTTTGTGTTCCCTGGTTGGTAAGCCCTCAGTTCACATGGGTTATCCTATCCGTATTCTGAACCTGTTTTTTTGTATGAAAAACACATTTGAGATCAGGAAACGTTTTGTCATACTTTTTCACTTTTTCTAATCAACATTCTTGTTGGCACAGGATCCAAGCCTTCGGAGCAATTGTAGGACTGCACCACGTTTTCCGCCTGGCTGTAGCCTGGCTGCGAGGTTCCAACCTAGGGGAAACCGACCAGTTTCCCCAGGAAAATGATATATAAATCTCTATAATTTGCATCGATGGTGGGGTTCCACATCGATCATCTAACAGTTGGTTTGCAGGAGGGTAGCGCCATTTATCAAATAACATGTGTCTTATGACATCTTATGACCACCTTGTGACACTTTAGAATCCCCACAAAAATCGACATCTATGCCCTGGAAGACTGTCGACGCCGCACAGCTTGAAACGAAAGTGGGCAGTCGAATGCCTGCTGGCTTCTTCTGGCGGCTGCAGTGTATTTAGGTCATTATCTCTGTGGGCAAACGTTACAGTATCAAATATGCTTGATGTCCGTTCGGCAAGCATTTTGCCAACGGGACAATTCTCTGAGCTGCAGCTCTACTCTGGCAACGTTCGGGTTCTTTACGTCAGACAGCACACCTTTTAGCAGCAATTTCGCGCTTCACATCTGGGCGACCACTCTATCCGCCATCATTTTCTTCGAAACTGCTTGTTTAAGCTGCATCAATCAGTGGGCAGCACAAGCAAAATGCCGGGAACACCTCAATTTCAGCCACTGCGGCCCTAAACCATCAACATCGCTGAATCATGGCAGGAGCACATGTGCCCAAACTGTAGTTCTGGGCATACCGCGGGCCTTTGCAACCTAAATCCCAACACCCCACTGCAGGCACTGCAAAATGGTCATGGATCAAGAATGCCCATCAAATCTCATCAATGATGGTTTGTCCTTGATATAACCTTGATACACCTTGATATGATACAGCTGTGGTTGGAACACAGCAACGGAATTTATTGAACCGTCTATTTTTGCCAAGCGTCGCCCCTTTCAACAAAGAAACAAAGCATTGATGGAACATTTCATCAGGTGGAATAATCATGGCTACTCTAGTCATAGCAGACCCAGTGGCCCAGCCACATAACCTGGCTTTGTATGCATGAACACATATATGTATAATTCCAACCAAAAACAACAACACGTATTTATATGTATAGATTGTATAGTATATTGATTGCTATGTAGTCGGAGAACTCATCTCTAACCCATATTTCACCATGTAGAAAATCCTCTAATATCAATGCTTTACATCATTGGATTGGCTTCGTAAGGGACAGTCTCAAACGACCATTTTTCATGATCATTCCTGCTGAGGACAGGACCATGTGGGAATATTCCTACGGAGACCATCTGCCTGGCGAAACGACGAACGATTTCAACCAGTTTCAGGTAAGTTGTTTGGGTACACTATACCAGCTACATGCTACTCATATGATATATATATAATATTATTATACATGCATATATAATGGTATAATGTACACACATATATATGTATATATATATATAATGATATGTGTATAATGACATGTATATATATATACAGAGAGAGAGAATGATGGAGATATATTATGGCATGATTTAATGTGCATATAAATGATAATATGATAATCCCATTTAATTATCCCTTATAATAATGGCATATAACATGCACATATCCCATGGCATAATTAATACCATTTAAATTCTGGAACCTAGATGCCCATATTCAGAAAATCTTCGCATACCATGTTTTCATCGTGCTACAGACCTGGGCTTAGATATATTACTTTCATAGGCGTTTCAGCTCAATTTGAATGCAAGGGTTGGGTCATGGAGAACCCAATGTCCCATGAGTGTGAATTTTTACGTGAGGTGAAAACGAAAACAAAAAGACACTGGTGTTGGGCTGGCTTTGGGATTGGAACTTTTGGTGGTGGCCCTAAAGGACATATCCCCTTATTTGGTCTTTATACCAGCCGCACATACTCAGAAATCATCGCGCTCCACTAAATCATCGTATACTAGGTAATGGAACGTATTTCATTTTTTTTCCGGAAATTAGCCAAAAAAACATGTTTTAGCTTTTTGGCTAAAATGGCCTGGAATCACGTCTTTCTGGAATATGGGGAAGATGGAGTTCCCACCTGAGACATTAGCAGTTTCACATACTATCGCGTTCCATGCCGTTTTTGCTCTCCAGCAGAGTCTGCGGGGCCGAGTGGGAAACTTTTCTGGTATGTGAAAAAAAATTGAATGGTGTAGCAATGTAAGGCTATTGGGAAGGTCGAAGGGGTCCACACATACTTATTTTTTTTGCATACCAGACAATTATCGCACTCCAGGGTGTCATCGTACTCCACGGTTTGACAGTCTGCCTTTTGGGAAACAATGACTGTGCGCTCACAAGTGGTTTTTGGGTTCAAAATGACACTAATTTTGGAATTTCCTAAAAGACATGGTTTTTTTTGGGAAGGAACAGGTACAGTTGACAATGCACCTGCCAGAAGAAAAGGTGCGCTTGGCAAGCATCATGAAACCCAAATTTCACCCCAATGGAGTCTTTGCAATTTTCTAGATTTTCCTAGCCATTTTTGGCATGAAGTATGATAGGCCATGGAATATGGGTCAGAAATTGCTAGATAAATTGTACTAATGACGACGACCCCTTTCGGGGGAGGGACTTTTACGGGTGGACATGTTCCAGAGCCTTCGGACCAAAGGACACGTGATTTTGATATATTTTTTTTGAACTGTTAAAAAACATGTGTCCCTGCAACAATGGGGTTATAAGCAAAAAAACATGGGATTACAACCAACAAAAAGTGTAGCACAGTGCAATTTTGTTGAGCTTCTATTGTCACCAACACAAGTCCATAAACTTAAAACATATTTTCCTTTAATAATTTGGGGTTTGAGCCAGTGGGCGACTGTATACCATAATTATAGCCTAATGATGCTAATACCATTCTGGTTACTCTTTTGAAACCCCGTTTTGCTCTGTTTTCCCTCTGGGAGACAAGGGCTGGCCCGTTTTGAGGAAAGGGATCAAAATAAACCACTTAGAGCAGCAGCTTTAAAAAACTGATACATTTATGAATATATGATGAACAAATAATCGTTAGATTTTTTCACATGTTCATAAAATAGTCATAAAATGATGTGCAAGAACCCTTACGGAGGGGTGCCCAAAGCTTTTTTCTTTATTTACAAAAAAAACGTTTGGGGCACCCATGGGCACCCCTGTTATGGGAGCACTATGGGCTTCCATTTTGGGAACGCTACGCGCTTCCATTTTGGGAGCACTACGCGCTACCATAATGGTCATGTGGATTTCAAATTATAGCCACGTCTATCCGTTTTCGAAGAGAATCAACAGCCTCCTATATGTGGCCTGTGAGCCTACAGGTCAGAGTTCCTTCGGATGTAATTGGCTCTCTGTATAAAATGGGTTTGCGTAAAAGTTAGTGTGGGTAAAACCATGGTAAGAGCTGGTTGGTGCAAGAGATGTTTGCTATAAAAGCTGGCCAGGGGGAAAGCTGGATGATGTGAAAGCTGCCATAGTTAGTGTAGAAAGGTGGTTGGTCAGAAGACTGATTTGTGTGAAAACTAGCTGGTGGAGTGGGTTGCTCGAAGCTGTTTGATGTGCAAATATGTGCAACCTCGTTGGTGTAAACATGCTGTAGTTGTTGAAGAACAAAATTGTCTGAACAAAAAGCAAGTTAGAGGAGCACACAGTTAGCGCGTAACAACAGCATGTAGAAAACATCAGAACATTCCATATTCTATGGGAGAGAAGAAGAGAGGGAGGAGACAAAGAGTCACGGCACTGACAACATACGAAATTTGGAGGGGATTTGTTTCGAGCCACACAAGCATCTGCAAATGGGGACACCTAGTCAAACGCCACACAGCCTTGAACATCCACAGGATTTGTCGGCAAATTGATGGCATGAATGTTAAAACGATAAAGGCAACCATCGAAACTAGGAATCCCAAAAAGATCACTGAAGAACCTATGGAATAGCTTAACCAAAAATACAAAAGGGCTTGAGATGGATAGAACATGCTTGGCTGCCTCAACAGGCTACTCCACTATATTTGTAGCCATTGGTTTGGTCTGATTGCGAGGATAGGGACAACAATGAAAATGCGAAATCCAAGATCAGGGCGAGCCCCACTGGAAATGTAACACCCTCACAAAAGCGTATCAAAATCACAACAAGATGGCTAAAACACTCCCTCACAACCTAGTTGCGACGACATCTATTTGCAAGAATCACACGGCAGTACAAAAAATGAAACCGCCCAACCCAACCTCTACACAAATGGTTGGTGCATGATTGCTTGCCTGCTGAGACCCCTGGTGCCCCATTGTGGGCAACACATGAAACGTGGATAGCTTCGATAGATGATCGTCCCAGAATTCATGTATATACCATTACATACCTACAAAAAATTGAACCTGAATGCCGTTTTGTAGGCCTGCTTCGCCATTTGGGGGATCATCAAAGTTTTCTTGGTGAAAAATACCGGTATAGACATGTTTGGTTTTGACGAGCGCTTGACTTGTTTGGTCCTGGACCAATATCCTGGATTTTCAGGCCGTTTTGCAAATTTGTTTTTCAGTTTTGAAGATTGCTTTGAAGCTGCCATTCGCAAAAAGTATACAAAATAAATCAAAATAAAACATCTCTGGAACGGGGACAAGAAGGGAACACGCAACCATATGGATATCATGAGCACCCAAGCTTGAATATTGCTTTGGGTTTGGGGATGAAGTTTATGAGGCTTGCCTGTGCCCAGGAGAGAAGTTAAAAATACCGAGTGTTTGTCACAGTCAATGTGCTAAAACGGATGCCGAAGTGCGATTTACAGTAGGTTTCGTAACTTCCAATTTGACCCGAATAACAAATAACAGGTTTTGATAAGCAAGTATATTAGTTACTAGTAGGCAGGTATAAGTAAGCAAATGTCCTCTGCCATTTGCTAATGAAGTACAGTACAGTTGGTTATCAAAGTCGCATTGAAATGTATTGAAATGCCTCCGGATTTGGGCTACCTTTTTCTCCTTGCCCCTTTCCCCCTCCCTAGGCATGTTGTGACATCTTAAGCCAAACAGCCCTTCAGTAGTTGCAATGTTGCTGTGCGGGTGGGCACATCGTTGGGTGGATGCTGTCGCGGATTTTTTCCCATAAATCAAAATTTGACCACAGTGATGGCCCTTTACCAGTTTATAAGTCAGTTGTAACCCCATTTATGGAATTATAACCCCATTTATGACCATTATTAATCATTTAATATCATTTAACTGGTAAATGGACCATGCAGGAATTACTTAATGGCCAATGAGTCAAAAAAAATCGTCTAAGAATCCATGAGGTTTTTTGTCTGTGAATCCAAGAGGTTCGTCAATAGCCCGAAGAGTTCCTCAATGTCCCGAAGAGTTTGTCAATGTTCGTCAATTTTCCCAAAAGTTCGTCAATATTTTTTCAACTTCGTCACTTCGTCAATATTTTCTTACTACGTTCGTCAATTTTCCTAAAAGTTCGTCAATTTTTTTTGCGTTCGTCAATTTTCCCAAAAGTTCGTCAATATTTCTTCAAGTTCGTCAATTTTTCCAAAAGTTCGTCAATAAGTTTTTATGTTCGTTAATTTTCCCAAAGTTCGTCAATATTTTTTCAAGTTCGTCTATTTTCCCAAAAGTTCGTCAATTTCCCCAAAAGTTCGTCAATATTTTTTTAAGTTCGTCTATTTTCCCAAAAGTTCGTCAATTTGCCAAAAGTTCGTCAATTTGCCAAAAGTTCGTCTATTTTCCCGAAAGTTCGTCAATTTTCCCAAAAGTTCGTCAATTTTCCCAAAAGTTCGTCAATGTTCGTCAATTTCCCAAAAAGTTCGTCAATATTGACGAACTTTTCCCTGGGTTTTCTGCATTTATTGACGAACTTTTTGGTGAAATTGACGAACATTGACGAACTTACAAATTATTGACGAACTTTTGGGAAAATTGACGAACTTTTGGGGAAATTGACGAACTTGAAAACATATTGACGAACTTTTGGGAAAATTGACGAACTTTTGAGAAAATTGACGAACTTGAAAAAATATTGACGAACTTTTTGGGAAATTAACGAACATAAAAACATATTGACGAACTTTTGCGAAAATTGACGAGCTTGAAAAAAATATTGACGTACTTTTGTGAACATTGACAAACATGAAAAAGTGGACATTTTTTGGAAAATTGATGAACTTTAAAAAATATTATTTAACAATTATTAACTAACTTTTCGGAAAATTGGCGAACTTTGTTGGAAAGTGACGAACATTGACGAACTTTTTGCGATGAAACTGTCGATTCATTGACGATCCTTGTGAGTTCAAAGACACGCCCGCGGAGTCGTTGAATTGACAAAGGTTAACTTGTGAGATCTGTTCAGACTGGGTAGTTGATTGTTGTGACCATGTACCTGCATGATGATTGGTTTTAGCTTCTCCCATGTCTCCTCTGCGCTTTCTTGACGGTTTAAACACTACTGACAAATTACATGCGAAGTTTGGTCTACATGTACTGGATATAGGGTCTACCCACATTACGTGGGAGGATCTAGTTTAGTGGAATTCGCTTCAAAGTTTCAGCTCACTGCATCGAAACAGAGAGAGAGAGAGAGAAATAAATAAATTTAAGACATAGACTTATAGACAAACCAACGAACTAATAGATCAGTGTTACGTTGCGATATCAATGCAGTATGGCAAATAATCCAAGACATGTGGTAATTGTTAGAAGCTTGTGGTTTCCATGAGAATTTTGGGGACCAAAAATCCGCAAAATGCATTGCGCGTACCTTTACACCATGCAAACCCAATGAACAGTGACACTTGTGGGAACATGGTCAGAGGCATTTTGTGTACGTTTTGCCATGCCAATATGTGTGCAAACCCAATGAAAATCTTATTTAAATTTTCAGGAAATCACAAATAAGAACCATATTCATTTTTCGCAAGGTGGGGGAATGCAAAAACATTTCAGATCACCTGAAGAAAGTGGCAGCCCAGTAGCCAACTTTCTTCCGGGCATCTCCCAGGGGAGGCTCAAGGAATTGAAGGAGTAGACATGAATAATCCCAAATTGGTTTTTACAGCGTTTTTTTTTTGTTGTTTCTTTCCAGACATCCACAAACTGAACTCAAACCCTATACAAGTTTTGGCTGAGCATCAATGTTTATCGGATGACATCTCCCAAGTAAACTCCAAGTGTATGCCTATAATTCCGGATTCGCTGAAGCAAGAGAACCGTACTTGGCGTTCCTTAGTGTTTTTGCTTAATGAGACATCAGTTTAACAATGGCCAAAATAATCCTCTTCTGTGCGCGTAGGGTTCCACGCAGGCATGAACGAGGTTCTTTATTTGTAGGAATGGTCACGTAAGCTATCACAGCAGTACTAGCGTTCGCATAAATCGCTTCCCAGACATGGGTAATGCTCGCTTCGACAGGTCTGTTTCAAAACCCCTTCCAACTTGTATTTCTAGTGATAAATAACATGACATTGGCAGTTTGTAAATGTGTTTTTAGAAAGGCTGGCTGACTTTCCGCGACAATTTAGTTTTTTCCCTGAAAACTGTTGCTTACGTGAGCAAGAAAGTCAGATCATCATCACCCCCATAAAAAATTCACTAGATAAGCAGATTCAGGGTCACCGACTATCGAGATCATGCATTGATGAACTTCAAATCACCGAAAACTATTCAGAGCGTATATAATCGTATATATAGGTTGCGAAATGCTCAGGAGTTGCAGAGCAAACCTGATCGTCCGTTTGCAAGTTTACTCCACAAGGGTAATTGTTTTCAAAACTTCGAGGTCCATTGACAAACTTTTGGTGACGAACTTGCATGCCCTGTCAAAAATATGACAGCAACATGATACTTATGAATGTTCAAAGCAAGAAGTACGCGACGCAGGCTCCAGCATGAACAAGCATAGATTGTTTGCTTCTGCCTGGGAACTACAATTTGTTACCTGTCCTCACCAATAATTTTCTTATGAACCAGTTGTTACTCGAGAAACGGAGGTGTTGGGGCAAAAAGTGAATAGAACGTAGGCATTCAAAAAAAGACGCTGTTGGCAAAGGATTGGCGTTTTTTTTTCGGGATCAATATGATGTATAGTAGAATGTGCAGCAACAGATGTAAGGGCAACCAAATGCACACTACCAACATGACCACACATGTGCCTATCTACAAAGTGCGTGCCTGTGTACATGATTCTGACCATATGATAAGTGCGTGTAGAACCAATTCACCCCCTTTGTATATAATTATTGTGTTTGGTACTCTCACACAGAAAAAACACATACACAACTACACAGACACCCAGGTTATACCTATCACCCACCGAGTTAATGCAAAATTGCGACTTCTCATATGCCACCAAGCCTATGGTCCAGGTTGATCCAATCGGATTTTACGTTGTGTTTTTTTAATGTTTTTTTGCAGGGCATCTTGCCTCCCAAAAAGGAGAACTGATCCGATTTGTACTGTATTTGAACTGACACATTTTTTAGTACCATTTAGAAGAAGACGCTTTCTTCAAAGGCCATGTAAAATACTATTGGATAAACTATGGTCAATCTAGGCCATTGCAATCTCATATTATCACTTGGGAAGGGAACTGTACTGCTACTGCTGCTACTGCTACTGCTGCTACTGCTACTGCTACTATTGCTAACACTGCCAATACTCTTCGTCAGCAATCTAGGCACCAAAAAAATCCAACTTGTTAGGCTTATCTAGTTCTATATTTTTCACAAAAAAAATACCAAGATCAAACAATTTTGAAAGCATACTCAAACGATAATTATGCCTGCATGTTTTCTCTATCCAGCTTTAACGACTACAACTATATACATATTTTTATGCAACAGCATTTTTCAACTGATTTGCTCACTTGCTCTCCTGGTTGCTGTTCAAGTATGTTTGCCTGCTTGTCTCTGTTACGGTCCTTTCCCAATACATGACTAAATTGCGAGTCCCAATTTTCAGTTGACACAAACACAAACGCGAAATTGAAAACTGACAAAATCTAATACATATATACGTAAATATATATATATATGTTTTATTTGTAGCATACATATGTATATATGTATGTATATATATATATATGTTTCAAAAGCGATGTAGGAATCGCTAGCCAATGTCACGACTGGTAAGCCCTATCCATTTCGTCTGAAATCACTTGAAATCAATGGCATTCTTTTTGTTTTCCTAGATGTTCAAGAATGAATCCTAGAAACACCAAAATCAACACCAACTTAGATTTGTACCATCAACCCCTTCCCCCGAAAGGGGTCGTTGTCATTAGTAATAAATTGCTAGATTTCTCCCTTTCTCTCTCCCTTTCTCTCTCTCTCTCTCTCTCTCCATCGCCTTCAGACTGATGTCTGCCCAAACTGGCTGAAAGTGCCCAAAGATATCTCTGCTTTGATGATGAGCTATTTGTCTACCAGTAGCAGTACAAAGCTATAACACATCTAACCGGATAGTTCCACGCAAAAGAAGGACATTACATCATCACCATCAAACTAGTAAGGATGATATAAGTTTCTATCTTTCAAGGGCCATGAATTCTCTGGCAAAATGACAATTTCAGCAAACACCCTCAACAACAACAAATGTACAGTAAATAGCAGGAAACAAAACGAATTGATAGAATATAAGACATTTTTTCGTGGGTATCATGCATCCTACCACAAGACTCTTGAGTTCAGAAATCGAATGCCGTGCACCCAGCCATGTAAGGGCGCCTCTCCATGTCACAAATCGCATCAGTGAACTGAAGGGTGACGTTGTGCCAAACCTTTGAGGGGTCTGTGCTGTGGAGAAGAACCTCAGGATGCACCGGCAGTGTGGATGAGTTGTCTTGGAAGAGATATAATCATCTTGAAGACATGATGACATCTCCTCCACGGAACTACGGTAAAATGTGCGTTTCTCCAACTTAAGTAGCGTCATTGCGATTTCAACCAATTTGGACTCTGAAAATCGGGCTACTGCCCTCCCCGAAAGGGCAGTAGCCGGCCTCGGGGCCCCCGAAAGGGCCACAGGCTGTTGAGCCAAGAATCGGCTTGCCAGTCGTTCCTGCGATGGTTTCGAAGGTACAGCTGACGCTAGTGATGAGGATAGGGATCACTTCAGGGTGTTCTGGAAAATGCCAGTCCTTCTTTTAGCGTTTGATGATACTGCTGGCTAATGCATGCACCCTTAACATCCAAACAAATCAGCAAATCCATGCGAATCCATCAGGCTTATATAATACTTGTACAGATACATTAATATACAGGTACCTAAGAGGGAGGTACAGGCGCATGTAAGGCCCAAAGCCGCCTAAGGCCCATGTATATGGCCTTGCATGGTATAGTACATGCGTGTCAGGTACCCGGTGGTACCCCTTTAAAAGTCTTTTCAAATGTGCTGCTTTTCCATAGCCCAAGTGGCAGGAAAAGTGAGCCGTTGAGGCCATAGTCCACTGACATGCCCGCACTGTCTGGATACATTTGCGCTGGGTCCTGGGGAAAAGTGGTAAGGATCAACAACTATGCCATGCCCCAAAAAACGTCACGCGCGGAGATACATTTTTCGTAGGCATAGTTTGTGGAGGCAGGTGCAATTAAGAACCGGATGTATGAACTTATGCATCTGCAAACGTCTGCAAACACAGAATGACAAAACAAAAGAACAAACATGTGAACATTCTATCACATTCTAATGTATAGTAAGTATTAAAAGGCTGGATTCTAAATCTTCGTAGGATATAGTATGATCTTGCTTCCCTCCTTTTTTTGGGCGTTGCGTTTTGGTGTGTCGTTCACCAAGGAACAATCACCGCAGGGAAGCCAGACGCGATTTCGGCGGCCTGTCCGGGTTATGGGTCGAAACCCTGGTATCTTAGGTACCCTAAAATAGCTGGTATAGCTGGATGCTGATTTTGACCCACATATGATTTATATTATCACTACAACTGTTTCAATCAATGACCTCTATCTCTGGAACAAATAACACTCCTGGAACATAATTCAATAACTGCAAAGATTTTTTCGTCAAAATCATCGAGGATGAAAGCTACAGTATCTCAACATTTTACGGCCATTTCACTTGGGGGACTCCTTTGAGACTCGTGGTTGCGAGACGCTCCATGCCTTCCCCGGCAAGTTTGGTCATTAAAACTGAGAGATAAATAAACAAACCAATGCAATAAACACTTCTGTACCTCTGTACGTCTATCTATCTATCTATCTATCAATCTATCAATCTATCTATCTATCTATTTATCTTTCTCGTCTATCTATCTTTCTCATCTATCTATAAGGCATGTGTCTGTCTTCTCTGCCTCCATGTGTCGGTTGAGCCGTTCCAGCAATTCTGATGCTGGCAACTGCGCCACGGAGGGGCAGCACTCTTGGAGGTAGTCGCCTAAGGCTTGGCATCATTTCTGGTTATGTTGTCTGCATATAGTATATTATATATATTATATACCTATATAACTATATCTATTCATATGTGTGTATATAAATATATACATGTATCTCTATAATTATAAATGAACGATTGACCACAAGGAAACTGAAACCAGTTTCAATAAATCATGCATAAATTATACTACGATAATTCCGATGTATACGGTTGAAAACAAAAAGAGTAAAGTAGCACTATGATATACTAGGATCAATGGGGCAGCAGCATTTCTGCATCTCTGTCAGGTCACCCTGGACAACTAAGATCCGCGCGAAAGGATGGAGAATCAAACTTTGCAAGAAGCTTTGGCAACGCTGCCTGCAACATCCAAGCTGAACACATTGAACACCTCCCCATAAAATGGGGAGCATGTTCAGCTACTAAATCCCATATGAACCAGGTAGGTTTATAACCTAGCCATACCTAGCCTATAATTGCCTATCATGCCAATCAAGTCGCTAGTGTCAACCCACAAGATCTAAATCTTTTGGCTCAATGCGACCTCCTGAGGAATCACAGCCGCCATGGATATACCAAGGAAACCGAGGGAAATCGCAGCTACACTGGAGATGGAAAACACACAATAAAAACATGTCCTTATCCTCTGGCAAATTGTTACTATTGTACAGATGGTCCATGTATGGATGATCTACATTGATCTACCTATAACAAAATCGTGATTTGTCCAAAGCTTTGTTGGAGAAAACGGTATTATCTGTGTTGGCCATGTCGTTCGCGTGAAACTCCTCCAGCATCTTTCCTGATGACAGCAGCCTGATGACCCCTCGGAGGACTGACTGATCAGCTTTTCGTGAGTCCCCGAGTCGTTTCTGCTTATCGCCTTGATATCATTTCATATCATGGACTGATGCCAACTTTCAAGCATGTTTCTGGTGCCCCTGAGGCCTGGTCACTAAAAACTCAACCTCTGGGATCATCTGGGTAAAAACACATCGATCGCCTGAGACAACTCTGCAGCTGTTGCTTCAACCTTCAAGATGACCTCCTGGCACCGGAGCTGTGGAAGGGCTTGCTACAAGGTGCCCCAGTGATGGTTGATCAAACCCATAAAATTTATAGATATCTATACCATTACCTACCATAGAATCATAAAAATCATAAACCATAGATATCACCTAAACCATAGAATACCTCCAATGATAGATATCACCTACCATAAACATCCATGGTCCATAAACCAACTTCGCCAACCAAAGCACCACATTGTATAGAAGTAACAAAGTCACCATTCCCGACTCCTTCTGCCAGTCAGTCCTTGGCGGAGGATTCATGCCCCATTTGGGTCATCGACCACAATTCAGGAAGAAAAAAGCAGGTGTACACAATTCTGGGAAGTTCATCCTCCTTAAAAATAGAGGATTCCTCCTCTACAAAAAGGGTCATTCAAAGAATGTACCCCTCTACAAAATGCTATGTACCTTATTCCCCTCTACAAAGTGACCAGATCATACACCCAAAATTGAGCTGAAAAAACAATAAAAAACAAGATTCTTTCATAGTTGGAACAGGTGGTTTCTCTACAAAATGATGCCAAAACTGAATTAGGTCCCCCGTTTGTATTCCCCAAATTGGTTTCTTGGAACATATTTTGTAGAGGCACAACTTGGTACAACAGCCCTTTTCCATACTGTCCGTTGCGCTGATGCCATAATATCATCTCACTTTGATTCACTTTGCCTTTTCAACAGGCATGCGATAGACCCTGATGAAGCAAATCAAGCAGCTTCATCATTTGTCGATATTTATCGTACATGTTGTTTATCATTTTTTTGTTGAATCCCATGTCATCCTTATTCATCCTTTTTCATCCTTTTTCATCCCCCTTCGAATTAGGGGGGTGGGGTTGGAGCCACCCATTTAGTAGTGGCCCCGGTATTTTTCTCTACAAAATGACTTGACTCAATCTACAAAATGGGCTGCCTGGAAATTTCTCTACAAAGTGCCTGGCCTTGGATAGGCTTTCTCACTACAAAATGAGTGCTGAACATTGGTTAAAACAGGGTTGATTTTTTTTCATCAAAATGGTTTTCAAAGGCTGTTTTCAACCATTTTTTAAGACCCAATTTGTAGACTAAAAACAGGCTCCGAGGGCCCCTGAGCAGTTTGAAAAATCCAAAACCGGTTTGCGTGATCAATTTCAATATACCCATTTTGTAGTAAACCCAAAACGCACCAAGAACCCAACTTGAGGACACCGTCTGGCACAAAAATGTTCGCTCATTTTTCTTGCAGCTACACCGATTGTCTCGCTGTGCCATGGCCTCTCACCCGCTTGCGCAGGCAACCAGGGATTGGAATGCAGCACATTGATATACATGTTCAATAGTCAGACGTGTCTCAATAGTCAGCCCGTGGCAACCGGAGCATATTTTGGCTTGAAATCTTGGCGTCAAGATGGCACCGCCAGGGTGTCCTCACTTCTGCGCGGTTCGCTTGTGTGACGGGGGCGTTGAAACCAGCATGGGATACTGCGCGGGGATGTTGGCGCATCTTGACCCAAGGTTAGGGATGGTTAGTGAATATGACACAATAGAAACCATGAGCAAAGACTATGTTTTGATATTTTTGAAAAATACCGGGGCCACTACTAAATGGGTGGCTCCAACCCCACCCTCTACTAAATGGGTGGCTCCAACCCCACCCCATTTAATTTCGGAATGTTATTATATTTTCATTTAATTTAGATATTATTCATCAGTATATGTCTATATATTTCTTATTTCTTGCCATGTGCTGGAGAGAGTTGGGAGGAATGGACTGGCAGATTCAGGCAACCCATTTTGTAGCGCTTTCATGAGCTGAAATCGTTTTGTACACCCAATGGCAACCCATTTTGTAGTGTTGTCATGGAGTCAAGCCATTTTGTACACCCAATAGAGGTACCACTCATTCCTGCGGCGCTGCTCTGAGCCACACGGTGCAACAAGATCATGACCGGCCTCAAGGTGAAGAAAAGCCATCATCGCTGTTACTAGTGCAAGTGTCTCGGCACATTGGCCCGGCCAGGTTGAGCCTGTTCTGTTGCCTTGGATCTTCATGGATCTTCATCATACCGGGATACCGGTGTGGCACACTACATTCACCAGTAACAGCGATGATGGCTTTTCTTCACCTTGAGGCCGGTCATGATCTTGTTGCACCGTGTGGCTCAGAGCAGCGCCGCAGGAATGAGTGGTACCTCTATTGGGTGTACAAAATGGCTTGACTCCATGACAACACTACAAAATGGGTTGCCATTGGGTGTACAAAACGATTTCAGCTCATGAAAGCGCTACAAAATGGGTTGCCTGAATCTGCCAGTCCATTCCTCCCAACTCTCTCCAGCACATGGCAAGAAATAAGAAATATATAGACATATACTGATGAATAATATCTAAATTAAATGAAAATATAATAACATTCCGAAATTAAATGGGGTGGGGTTGGAGCCACCCATTTAGTAGAGGGTGGGGTTGGAGCCACCCATTTAGTAGTGGCCCCGGTATTTTTCAAAACATAGTCTTTGCTCATGGTTTCTATTGTGTCATATTCACTAACCATCCCTAACCTTGGGTCAAGATGCGCCAACATCCCCGCGCAGTATCCCATGCTGGTGCTTCAACGCCCCCGTCACACAAGCGAACCGCGCAGAAGTGAGGACACCCTGGAGGTGTCATCTTGACGCCAAGATTTCAAGCCAAAATGCTCCGGTTGCCCGGGCTGACTATTGAGACACGTCTGACTATTGAATACTATTGAGACACAACATGGGTTCCTACTTGTCTATACTTGTCTGGCATTTGTTTGATAAATATTTTTTCTCCGTTTCAATTTTTCCAGAAACACAATGGATTTACTACAAAATGCAGGGGTTCCAGTCTTGAAGAATCCGCCATGGGACTCGGTAATTTCACTGCAAACTGCCTGGCCTTGGAAAGTCCCTTTTTCGACCAAATTTCTATCTTCATCCATGGGCCCCGGCATTTTTTTCTACAAAATGACTTGCCATCCAAAATTGAAGTGAGCTTTGGACCTTTTCACAAGGTGGCCTCACTACAAAATGACCCATAGTGGCCTTAAGGCCACCCATTTTGTATGGGAAATTCGAAGGAGGATCCTTTTTCCATCTTTGTCATTCTTGGTCTATCTTCTTTGCACCATGTTCAAATCCATTGATTTCAAAAAAAATGCTCTCCGTTACAAAAACCCCTGAACAAGGAGTCTGGGCAGCATTTATCTACAAAATGTTCTGCTTGACCCCATTTTGTCACTGATTACAAAATGCCGTGCGCAAGGTTTTGGGAAATGCATAACATCATCAACAAGAAATTATGATATCAGGTTTCCCCTCTACAAAAAGGTGTGTGTGAGGAATGTACCTCATAAAAAAATGGGTTTACTACAAAAAGGGGTCTTTTGTAATGGCCTTGAGGCCTCCCATTTAGTAGGGGATATTTTAAGGGGGATGGAAGTTCTGTGTATCTACTATTTTCTATCATGTTCTATCGACTTGTCATTTTTGCGGGGCTCCCCCACATCAACCGCATAAACCAACCAACCCCAATGGAGCTTCGCGCAAGACCTGTTCGAACAAGACTCACTTCAATCGCAGCCGACCAAGTGCCAGCGGCGGAAAACACAAGCCTCCGGCGATGGTCATGTCCCACTTACCGTTTGGTAATCAAACATGGTAGCTGAAACTCCTCTATGAATGGTGTTTCTAGATGGGAAATTTATCGAACTGGAGTTGGTGTGAAGGAGACTTTACAGGAATCAATGGATTAGTTAAGGGAAAATCTACAGAAAATCATCGAGTAAACCGTCAGATATACTGAGTTGACATGGGTTGATTGTAATTTTTGCCTTCAACCAATCTGGGGAGGAATCTCACATAGTTTTTGACCGCTTAATAACGGAGTTTCCTAATTTTGCACCATCAAGCACTTTCCTTGAGCCTTGGAATATTCTTTTGCTTCCTTTAAGGCTAGACACGTTTCAGCCGAGTTTTCTATCGGATTCTCAGGCAACCATCCACTGTCTATCCGCGCCTGAACCAGCGGCTCATCCTGGATAGCAACTTAGACGTCCCAGCAAGTGGCGCTTGCGAAGCAGCGAAAAATGGCGACAGGGAACTGTTTTGAGAATGAAACTTCACAAATTTTGTGAGTTATGTGAAGGTTTTCATTTTTTCATTCATGTGCATGAGACTCATGTCCATTTCATTCCATTTCGATCTTTGGAGTGTTTTCTTGCTGCAATGTGTTTGTGCATGTTGAGCCAGTGGCTGGATGATCACCATAGCCCACAATGATTCGATGGTAATGTCTGAGAAATGGAGGTCCCACTCCTGACGACCTTAAATTGCCAGAGACCCCAAGTCTTGTGCGGTTTGAAGCATGATCCCTCTACTTCATTGATAGTAAATGATAGTAAAAACATCACCTTCTTCAGCGTTTACTACAGCGCTTACTAACCCTTGTTGAGCCACCACAACATGGTGCTCAACTCCCACCCACGGTCGCTGGAACCCAACCTCTCCGTCCAAAGGTAAGCGTCCAAAGCTGCGCCCATGACAGCGCGCAAGTTCCTTCAAAGGCCGGTGAGAAACAACCAACAGAGATTTTGTGGGGAGAGTTGCTCGGTACAGTACCTTTGTGGTTCATCTTCAACATCATCTTGTGGGAAGGTCTTGGTAAGCCCGACAACGAGTCATATTCATCCGCATCTAGGAGTCATCTTTGGACAAACAAATATCGCTAACCTGAGGTTACCCTTCAATACAGAAATGTGTGTGTCTATATAAATCCTAAAATGCGATTTAGGGTCAAAGTTATCGTTTTTGGGGCTTCACTATATCGTTTTACAGTATATCCTGATTGCATCACCCGCACCCCCTGGCAAACTGCATGTGGCAAGCCTTTCTACACCTCCACTTCAGCGTTTGCAGCATCTTTGACTGCCCTGCGCTTTCCTTTGCAGCGCTCCAACTGTATGGTATGGTATGATGCCTGCCAACGCAACTGCAAATCACAGTTGCACCATCCTTTCTCAAGCTCAGAAACAAGCTTTGAATTCAGTTTGTTGGAAGAAGTCCGGATGAGCTCTCACAGCGACATGCTCCATGCCTTTCATTCACTTGCCAGCGTCTGCGTAGCAAACCATCGACATGGTCCAATGCTTTTGCCTTGGCTATCTTCATCTAGGATAAAGGTCGCCAAACCGGACCTGCAGGTGCAGTTGTGCCCGAGATGAACCAGGATTGACTAAAGCATAGGAGCGCTGCAAAAGAATATGCATAGCAGCGATAAGATCGCAACAAGCAAGTGATAATATTCAACAGCAAAGAATCATCGCAAGAATCTTTTCGCATCTGGGCCATCCATCAGCGAAGGACATTTTGTCAAGAAATGCTTATCGTTTCGTTATCGTTTTCACTATCGTTCAAAGAGGGAAACATTTTTGGGAAAATGGCATGAACCAAGGAAAGTTGGAAAGGAGACCTGTTGTCATCGTCTCCGGAAGGCTTGAACAGTGGCGAGACAAAAAGAGCATCCAAATCTAGCTAGTTCCCACATACTGCAACAATGCGTGATTGGATACAAAACCGTTTGCAATAATCAGAAATAAAGAAATTGGCCAGGATCAACAGTGTCAGCATACTTTTGCACATCTTCCGTTGTCTGAGCTGGGCAGGACGTATACCCCACAACTGATAGCCTAGATGATCTAGATGCTTCTAGAACAGGTATCCACCATCATGTCATGTACACCACCCCTTCACATCCCAGCATGCTTTCACACATGAACTGATTCCCATGTTATCGTTTTTGGGACTTCACTATATGGTTTTACATATCAGGATGATTCAGGATGCATGTTTTTGCATGATAAATCGCTCGAATACATACCTCCTACACGGAGAGTTTAGCCTCATATATCTATAAAAAAATTCTGTATATATAATCTCTAGCTTTAGTTGGGCGTTGCGTCCTCAAACTTGTGGCAACACAATCAACCCATTAAGCCACCATTCACTAGTCACTTTACATACCCAGGTGTTTGGTGGTTTCAGTTCATTCTATCGAATTCGAGGCTTATTTGAAAATTTTGAAACCATCCGCCATTTATTTGAGACTCACCGACTTTATATTCACAACCAGAATATGTTGTTGCCTCTATTTTTTTTCTTTAAACATCTGTTTTTGTGGGGGAGAGCTAAGTATCAACTTATTACTTGAAATTATATGAAATTATCATGTATTCCTTCGCAACTTTGGGGATCAACCAACTCCCTGTCGCTGAGCTCCCCGGCGGGGCTTCGCCATTGCCGCTGGGAGAGAGGAAGGAGCGCCCAGGGCTCTGCATCCTGACTGCAGCAGCCACGAGCAAATGGAGAGATCGCCCGGAAAGTGCAGAGCTGCAGAGCTATATCAATGGAAGACATGACATCAAGAATGATGTCAAAATTTGTGAGATATTGAGAGATCCAACTCTTATGTCGAAGGCTTCTTCCAAAGCATCTTCACTTCAAAGATATCTTCAAAGTTGATGTAAGTACCCGTTGATGTAAGTACCCGTTCGTAACCATGATGTCACAACTGTTTGCACAGCAAAAAACAACCAATCCCCATGGCGGAGCAGCAAATCATCAGGTTCTTCGGAGCCCAAAGGGCTGCGGAAGCGTTGAAATTGCAGGGGCCTCACAGGGAAGATGGCAGAATGACCTGCAAACGGTGCAGAATGACCACCCCACAGCACGGTGCACTCTTTCGAACTGCGCGTTTCGCCGCAAGCCATGCTACTGGATCACCGAGCTGGCATAATCCGTGGCGAGGAAACAATACTGTAGTAGTGCTGGAACATTGTACTAAAGAGAGCACACAAGCCATTGTAAGTGCTGCTTATTGTGAATCTATAACATTCTATAACGATTTAATTTTTACAGCCAGTTTTTTTTTGGTTGGGGTCAGGTGAGGTTGACAGGTCTTCGCAACGGGTACTTTGTGGTACTTTCAGCTGTCAGCCAAGCTATATGCAATAATTATAAAACATCTAAATTGGCAATTTGGCCCAAATGAAGCAGGCAATAATAATACGGTGCTGCAAGTGCACCAGAATTTCGACTATGCCTTCTCACCATTTCTCACCCTTACGGAAATGCCCGGACGAGAACTAAAACGAAACGCAAGCAATCGCAAGCACAAATCATCACAAATCTCTAGCTGCATTGTAAGTGATACTTGTACCTACACTTTTATAGGTACATCATCGAACTAAGTGGATAATGGGTCATTTTGCATAGCTATGTTAAATAACCATTAAATTTTGATGTCCCTTGATGTCCATGAATCCCACCGATCAAAAAACCATGGTTGAACTCGGTTGAATCGCCGAGTTCGGCAGCGCTCGGTGCCCGTGACGGGACGACCGGACGTGGAATCCTGGGCACTCAGTGACTCTCCAAGCTGATGTGGCCTCTTTACTCCAGGTGAACATAGGTGAACATGATGATGAATCCTACGAGAATATGACAGAATATGTACATATATACATACCTGGACTCAATTGGCACGTTTTCTGCTCATAGCAGTTTTTGCTTGGATTTATGCTCATTAGGACATTTTACGCTCACTTGAACAAAAAGCGCGCATTTGTGTCTTGACGGACGGCTATTTACGCTTATTTCATGTTTGGCTTCAAAACGCATAAAGTGGAACAATGCCCAGGGCGGAGCCATTACGCTCATTGAGGGGAAAAAACTGCTCAAAAATCATAAATCTCTCAAATGAGTAATATCATTACTAGTGCTTTTTCGAGGATGCAGGTGTATATAAAATATTATATGACGATATATGACGTCTCTTTCTGGCAACATACTTGAGATGTAACAAACACCATCATCATCATCATCACCACCATCATCATCATCATCACCATCATCACCGGAACAGTCGTCCACTCTGCATTCTTCACAGTCCTCATCGAAAGGGACGGGTGGGCGTGGCCGCCCCTTGCGACCGTCCTGGCGCAAGCTCGATGTAAAAACATGGTGTGCTTGGGATCCCCATAGACGAATGTACTAGAACAGCTCTTTCCCAAGGATTAAATCAGATGAAATCCGAAATCCATATTACAAAGCAAGTTGGATCATGTTAGATCATGTTAGATCTACAGGGAATGGACATTTTGACGTATTTCGCCATGATCTTGGTATTTTCCCTTCACTTAGCATATCATCTACCTGGAAGCCACACCATCATTGTGCGCGGCTTGGCCACGGTCCAGCAACGGATAGAGCTTGGAGCCCCGTCTTGGGAGGTTTCATGCAAAAAAAACATCCAAACACAGTAATGTGATGTAATGCTAACATATATTGTCATACACTGTATCATCTAATTATGTCAACAATATGATGAGTTCTATATTTGCAAAAACACAAGCATGTAATTCTAACAGACCTTTGTAAATATTCACTCAAACATCACAATCGAAAGGCGTTCCCGATGTGATTTTTTTCAAGTCTGTGGATGGGCGCGTCGGCAACGCCCTATTTCATCGTGCTTTCAATGTCAATGTTGTTCCAATTACGGTACAATGAATTGATTCAATGACTTGAACGTCTCGAATCAAAATATCAGTTCTAGATATTCAATTTGATTGGTGGATATTGGTGGTGTTATCCCATATCGTCCTAGGATTGCCGGGATGGACCTTCAGGAATATCTAGAATCTAAACCATCATCGCGCAAAGTGGCATCACTGTGTGCGTCAACATCTCTGCAGGCCACATTTTGATAAGAATCTGCTGCCAAGCTCGGCATATCTTTCAGCATTGAAACATCCAAAATGCTGAACCAAATCCACCCATCTTTCATCTTTCGAAATTCAGGGGCCGAACTTAGACTCAGCCATTTGATCGGGCTTCCCCAGCCTTCCAGCTACCAATTTAACAAACAACACTAGGCCAATAGCTTCCCAAACAACGTTTGGATGTCTTAATGCATCCTCGGAAGTGATGGAAAAGTTATCCGCGGATTGAAATCGTTCCAGTTGAATTGGATTAAACATCGTAAAGCTTTGAGAGTCAATATGCTTTAAAGCAGCACGCATCAACATGTGTCAATTGAAAAGCAATAAGCATCACCAATTTCACCAATTTCAAGACAATTTAATGATTTATCTTAGCAACTGGAGAAAATCCATCATTGTTTACCCTCCAGTAAACTAACATGGTCATGGAAAATCCACCATCTGTAGTTACGATCAGATCCTACAGTTTTGCAAACTATATGTACTTTCAGAGTTTTTTCTATGTTTACCAGGGGGAATATGTTTGATTTTTCCCATTCTCCAGGTTCCGCTCCTGCCCTCAAACTGCGAACTTCTGCATCCGCCCAGCTGGCAGGATCCTGCAGTCGAATGGATCTATTCATTGAAGCCCCAAACAAACAGGGGGGGTGGTTAATAAACAGTTTGATCAGGGAATTTGGGATTAACAAAAAATGAATAAACACATATGTAAGAACATATATTCATATCAAGATATATCAAGAACTGATAAACACTGCAGTTTCATTGGGCATTGGCAGGGCTCCTGCCACCGAGGTACGCGCACGTCTCGGCTGAAGCTACAAGCCATGGCGGCCGCCAGCGACGCAGCTGGTGGTTGCAGGGCTTCCAACTCCAACCTGATCCTGCGCCAGTTTGGCCAAATCTTTTTTGGAGATCTAATCCACTTGGGTTTGTTTGCAACATTGGATATATCATGGTATATCTAGAATCTATCTATATTATATATATATAAGGATCCTAAATCTCCAATCCAACTATTGGTTATCATCATGTTCATTCATTTCCGCTATCATTTGATGGCTATTAAAAATGACGGTTGTTCAATCATTTTCGTCGACACACCCATGTGGCCAAACTCCACGGTTCTCGGCGTTTGGCACAGCCGCCGTGGCGCTCCTGTGGTTCTCTTGCCTTTGGGTCTCCAGCAGCGATGTGAGTTCTAAAACCTGCAGCCAACTCCGTTTTGGGACTGATTTTTTTCGAAGGGAATCAAGGCTAAGCCAGTTACATATGGAATCATATAGCCTTATATAGTTCTATACGGGCTTTATAAACCACTAACCGCTTGTTGGCTTAGTACTACTCCTCCATGAATACTACAATTATTTCCCCCATATAACCCCAGCTAAGTATAGCTAAGTTATAAACCAACTTAGCTATTGTTTGGAAAACAGCAGATCTTGGGGGCGTAGTTCCAGTTACAAGTGGAAAATGTAAGCCATAATTTGGCCATAATTACCAAAAGAACCCCAAACCTATACAACGTAGGACATCAAAAAAAAAACAAGTTTTTTTGGGAAAACCCGGGGTTTTGATTTTGGAACATTTTGGTGATAGCATGTGTGTATGTGTAACTGAAATTCATCCAACCAGCTTCCAAGATATCAGCAATGTTTGTAGATAATGTGCCTCAAAGACACACAAAATCATACAAAATCAACATATCACTCAAGAACCAGTGTATATCGGACACATATATTATACATAACCATACCACATCTTTATAAGAACAAATGCATCATGTCATGGCATAAGTAGGAGCCTCTGACGTAACAGTAACACGGCTCATGGGAGGGATGTTTGTTTGAGCAAAGGCGCCCTATACCTCCTTTCGGCCACCTTTCACATCTCATGATGAATATACATACAATGTTGTAAGATGCGTCATGCACAAGAAAGATTTCAACAAACCCAGAAACCCAGCTTTTTCTTATGCAAATTGACATTGACCTACAAAAAGCAAGCATCGACCAACTTTTTTCCCGTTGACAGCCATGATAATCTGGTTTCACGGCACCGTTGCAAGAATTGAAGTGAAAAATGCACTGTTTGGCCCATTGGAATTGCCTTCAAACACAAACCTAAAAACCGATCTTTTTTCCCCGGGTTGGTTTTCTACGGGTTAGAAAACCCGAGGACCTTGGAAACCCGGGGTTTTATGGATTAGGACGGGTTTTCTACGGTTTACAACGGCTTTTCTACGGGCTCTAAATTCCATCCTTAAAAAAACACATGGAACACAAATTTAGCATTGGGACCACTAAATCCCGAAAACAATGTGGATTTCCTTTGTAAGTTCACGTTTAAAGTTAAAGCGTGGAAGGGTGAATAATTTGGAATGAATAAGTCCCCCTTAGAGGCCTTGAAAGGATGTTTTTCCACACAATCACCATTTCCTAATGGGCTGTGAGTCAGAAGGATTTGAAGGCAAACAATGGAAGTACAACAACCCACTCAATTGGTTTCCCACGCCTATTTTTATATTTGCATCGGAAAGTCGTGCCATCATTGACTATGCTTCCTGAATTTCGTTGGTAAACAATGCGCTGGAGCTCTCACAGCTTATGTATAGGATCGCACCCGTCCATGCGACCCATGTCCAAAGGCATCCAAAGGCTATAAAAACTGATGATTTCTTTTATCGATCATTCCGCCCGATGAAGCTTCCATTGTCTTGATCTTTTGAGCCCCCACTTGACGTTTTGCTGATTTGGGATGGCGCAATTCCAACTAAGAGGCTTTTCCGGCCCTTCTGGAAAGTGTTTCTTGAAAAAACCCGGGTTTTGATGTATTCATCAAGCAGGTGGGAAAAGCCGGGGTTTCAGTTCATGTCCTACAAATTCGTAGGATCAAGGTTCCCTAGGTATAGAGCCTATATCATATCTGAACTCACCATGCTTCTTAAATGTTCTTAATATAACCCAAACTGAACCACCTAGTAAGGAGATCCCGTGGTCAACAATTAAGTGCCGCCCGCCTTGTCGTCGGCGCTCAGCAGTCTCTGACCATACCTTGCCACACCTTGCAATGCATGGGGACGATGAGCCACGAACCACCGTGGTATACTGTAAACGGAATAATAAATGAGTCGGACATTATTAAGGGAATGTAATGGAATATGATGGACGATACATTTTTATACAACTATCATGTGAAGATGGGGAATGCGAAGAATAGTCATTGATAGTGGGCGCATCAGTGGGTAACCCATGCATAAGGTCAATTACCATTATCTAGTATATTCGTTTCACAATGCCTTTGACGCAGTGTTGAGGAGCACTACCAATGCCAGGGAATTCCTCTGTACATGTACAAGCATGTGCAAGTCAATGATCTGGATATATAAATTGTAATCACTTCTGTAATCTGCAAGCAATTTAACTTTCGATATACTCAGAAACACAATCATTGCAGCGATGGCCATATGGAGATTTCCTAAAATGGAGGATCCCCAAGTCAACATGGCTTTCAACACTAAATCATGGTCATCCATGACTGAATGATGATGATGATGATGATTTGGGGTACCCCCATGACCCCATGACTTAGGAAACATCCATATGGTCCAGGGATGCCATCCATGACGAGAAACCCACTTCCGAGCTGGGAGATGACATCCCAATGCCGCGCTGGTCGTTCGGAACGTCCACACGACCTTGTGCCGACGACTTGGTGATGGAACGCTACCCTCCAGTATGCGAAAAGCCATGAAAATCCACGGGTTTTCGTAGGAAATTATCTACAAATGGCGGATTCTCCACAGCTATGTGCAATTACCAGAGGGTAACACCCAACATCCACGAGGATCTAAGTGGATCTACTGGAATCACCAAAGGTCAACAACCATGTTCGTCATTTTTTCCCTGTGAAACGCATCTTTTTAGAGATCAATCCCGGATTCATTACTGGTCCTCAGTACAGGGTACAGTACCCGGGGTAATCATGTGGGATGCTGATGCCAAGCCACTCTCAGGCAAGTATCGGGGCAAGTGTTTGAGTTCCGCCTCTCGAGATCCAGTCATCGAAGCTGAAAATCCACACTGCTAAAAATTAAACATAAAATGATGTTTCGACATAATCCCGACCTGCAAATAACAAGAAAAGTCACCTGTAAACATGAGTTCGTATTGAATCTGTTCATCTTCGGGTCTCATTTTGCAGGGTTCTATCATTAGGAGATGGGATTAAGCTGGGGATGGAACGTCCCCAACTGATGGTTTGGCTATTGAACATGAGAGGTTAGCATTGCTGGGTTCTATTTGGGGTTGAAAAACAAACCCTGGTTTACCAACAACAATTGTACAACCAACAGGTTGAATATGCCATCAACATTAAGCTATGCTCACCAAATGAGGGTCGTCTCATGCGCAACATTGAACCGTGGAACCGCTCAAACTGGGGATTGCACAAATACGACTAGATTTTCATCCACAGGATACATGATTGTCAAATCAAACCATGATCTCTGGTTGAATCCTATGTTTGTGCGTTTAAAAACCTACTGTACGTATGTGTATATTATGTGTATATATATATGGATAAAATATAGAATATATATAATATAGAACATATATATATATACATATATAAATAGAATATATATATATATACATTGTGTGTATATGTATATATTATATATATATATATGTGTGTGTGTGTTGGTTTAAACCCCATGTTTGGTGATTACAGCACCATTTGTCATGGCCACTGGCAACCACCAGGACAGGCGCCTCTTCATTTCGCCTGGCTGGGCTGGAACTCCAACTGCCTCCTGAGATGAACAGGGGCCAAAGACGTTCACCCTCTGGTTATGGTTTATGGATGTTTATGGTAGATATACCTATAGTTAATGGGGTTTATAAACCGAGATAGCCTCTGGTTATTTAACATAGCTGGAAGGATGAACATGACCCATTCATAGATGATAAACATGATGATTTACCTAGCGAAAATGATGATTTGACATAGCTTAGCTATCAACGCCAAAGCGTGATGCGTTTTTTCCCCTGACCTTCCAGGACCACCAGTGGATCTAGGTCCTGGAAGGACAGAAATCTATGGGATTCTATGGATAGCAACTATGGCACACATGTTTCAGGTAAGTCTCCGATCATGGTACCTGTTTTGATCATGGATTGGCTTCTGAACATTGATGAACCGTGGTCACAGGGTCGAATCCTCTGCATGGGTCGGATGATCATCCGCTTGGATGTTTCTTGGTTTTTCTCCATGGTTGGTCAATGGGGTGAAAACCAGTTCTTGAAACCATGGTTACATATACACATACCAGTTTTTATACCAGTTAATGGGGTAACCAACCAGTTGGTCAATGCACTCAATGCACTAACCAGTTCTTGAAACTCAGCCAGTCAATCCCTTGCCTCAAATATGATCTGGATCGAATCCACCAATGCTTTCTAATCATAAACACATCCAACGCTGAAACCAGATAAACCTGGGAGAGTGTTGCCTATGAACTTTGGGAGAAGGTACTTGTATATGCCTGTAACTTAATCGCATACCGAAACATAGGTTTCAACATGTTTCTAGTAGTTTTTTTTTGCAGTACCAACAATCTCGGGGCCATACTTCCAGAGAATCAGCCAGTTAACAGTCCTAGTTTTTGTTTGTAAAAATTGTACTATGCTGTAAATATGCGCATGTATTGCCACTTATGCGCGCACACACACACATATATATATACATACATATATATATATATATACATGGGTGACCAGCAGTTAAATAGCAATCTGGAGACTTCAATTACCTAAATAAGGCAGCTCTGGGATCGTTACCCTAATCCAAACCATCAGTTCAAACGTGACGCCGTGGCGCCATCGTCAAGAATTTCCCATAATGATATCTGAGTATAACAACAATAATTGTAACACTAACAACAAGCTTAACGACAACAACAAGAACAACACCAACAGCAACAACAACAGCAGGAATAACAATACAGTAATAACAATAACAAGACAGAAGTAACAATAACAATAATAACAACAAGAACAATAACAACAACACCGACAACCACAATCACAAGCACAACTGCAATCACAAACATGTGTATATATATAATGAATATATATATATATATAATATGCTTTAGCTCTGCCACAAAAATAGTACAGTTTATACATAAATTGGATCTAACATATGTATGTATGTATATAACATGAACCATTTACATTGAAACAGCACAAAATATAGAAACACCTTGATCAATACAATCAGAGCTGAATAACATTAAATAACTAAATAGTTTTTTTTTAAAAAAAAAAATAAACGAAAAAAACTAAAATAAGTACATAAATAAATATCACATATATATATAATATTGCAAATTATATATATATATTATATCTATACATATGAAACAATTACATATATGTATATATATATAAATCCACCAGGGACCCCAGTCCTGACATGTTGACCATGTTTGCCTTGGACGACGCCTGTAGCGCTTTCTCGGCAGCTGCCAGCCGCACCGCCTGGCTAAGAAGGGATTACTTGAACATCATGTGGATCATCTTGTTTTAAGCTATGATTATATATATATATAAATGATTGTATAAATATTTACTGTAGATATGATTAAATATATATGCTTAAATAAAAATGATTATATACATGATTAAATAAATGATTAAACGTGATTATATACATGATTAAATAAATGATGAAACATGATTACATATATATGATTATATATATATGATTATATATATGATTAATCATATAAATGATTATATCTGTGATTATGTATATAAATACATATGTGATTAACCGATTTTATATGATTAAACTATTATATGATTATAAGTGATTATAAGTGAGTATAAATGATTATATATGATTATACATGATTATTTATGATTACAAATTGTTATGTAAGTTAGATATGAGTATATTATGATTATATATGATTATAAATGATTACATATGACTATATATGATTATATGTGATTACATGTGATTACGAATGATTGTATATGATTATAAATCATTATATGTGATTATAACATATGATTGTATATAATTATGTATGATTATAAATGATTATGATTACAATTTACAAATGATTACACATATGATTACATATGATTATTTATGATTATATATGATTATATACATATGCATATAGATATACATTGTACTTGGCCTCTTTGGGGAGAGTTTCATCTTCAAGGTGGTTGATACACAGGCTGAGAAAACACATCTGCCGATATCAGCGAGGCCATTTCCACGGTGCAAGCCAATCCCATTATAAAATCAGGCAATGAAAAATCCAATGTTCGTCCGCTTTTATGAACCATTATCGAAACAAAACCTGGAAATTCACCTTCAAACATCATATAACTAAGAAGTGTTCTCATTTACACAAGAACGTACTATTTTCATCTATTTTCCAAGGTAAGAAGTTTGCGAGTTGCCTATCAAGCACACAAAATTTCGTGCTATTTTCCAAGTAAGAAGTGTGTGATTTGCCAAGCATTGCGGATCTTCCCATTAAACAAGGGGCTGAGCTTCCGACTTGCCGTTCCAAGCGCTCCTGAAGCTCACGTTCCCGCTGGTCTCGGCTATCCAGCTCAGCCTCGTTGAATTGGAGAAGTCTACAGCCGCTATAAAGGAAGATGCTTGAAGATGGCTATATTCTTTATAAATGATGGTTTCATCCTTTAGAAGTGTTAAATGGCGGTTGCCTCCAGCCGCTATCTTTCATGGTCAAATTCTGTTGTAACCACCATTTATAAAGGATGATAAACGTGGTACCATCTCCACAACATGGACCCACATAGTGGTCCATGTTAGACTGTCATCTAAAAATTGGTAATTCTCAGGGTTCATGTCAAATTTGGGCTGCAATCAGTCATGGGAACAACATGGAGCATAGCCATCCTTTTACTTTGAAATTCTCAACCATATGGCCATCTAAAAGCTAAAGAAAACGCATGAGATCACCAAACATCACCCATTTCAATCATTTGGGGGCTTCCTGTTACAAAAATCGGGGTACCCCTAAATCATTCATTTTATTCTCGGAGTTTCATGGATTTTCCATGAAACATGGCCCGCACCTGAAGCGAAATGATGGTTTCATCTCGCTCATGGAGCCGCTGCGTCAGCGTAATCATGATGTCCTGAACATCGAAAAAAGACGCACCGGTCAAAAATGTCAAAATCTTATTATTTATGGGATACTAGATGATATTAGTGGATATCAATGGGACATATTAGGGGATATCCTGATATACTGTAACCACCAATAATGGGGATGATTTTTCATGGGATGTAGAGGTGTGTATGAAAATGCTGGATGAACCTCCAATTATGGTTATTTAAGACAAGGATCATGATGATATATGATGATTAACATTGATTAACCAGTGGATGGTTACCCGATTTTCAAACACACCAGGTTGAACTCTGGGAAAATGGGGTCCTATAGAACCTTCGATAAAGAAGTTTGAGCTAGGCTCATGATATGATTAGCCAACAGGCCTCATTTCACATGGACAGCGACCCCAACATCTCCAACCTGAGACCTGGAACATGTTCAAGTCATGGCTCCAATTCCCTGATCACCTGGTAAGTGGACATTCATAAAAACACAAATCATAAACCAACAGATTCAACATATCCTTAAATCATCTAACTATGGTACTTGGTTATGGTTATCATAGGATTTCACGCATCCCAGTATCTGAAGCCTCGAGCCCCTCTCAGACTTTAGCGGTCGTCCGCACGGCCGAGCTGCTCGCTGTTTCAGAAGGAGCTGTTTGTAGCGGCCCGCGGGGGCCTCGAGTCGTGGACCATGTCATTGGGCTGATGGAAATGATACTTTTCTGACGGAAGATCTACCAGAAAACCATGTTTTCCCCATGAAATCTCACAATATATATTGGTTTCCTGAATTTGTTCTCGAAAACTATAGTCCAATGCCCATGAGGATTGTTTTCTGAACATCTAAGACTGCTAGTCACACCTTGAAAGCTATGAAAGTTTTGAATCCCGTGTTCTGATTTAGATGGCGATGCTACTCTGTACACCAAGATGAAACACAGAAATGCGCGCCTTGCAGGATATGTATGGAAACAAACCATAGGCGCAAACACACACACACACATCAAGAATACTTCGCACAAAATGGCAACAAAGGCCACGTTTTCCACACACATATTTATATATATATATATATTAATTATACAATTATTTATATTATATATATATTATATAATTATATATATATATATATTATGAATTTTCAAAGTAGGTGTGAATTTGGATGCTTGGAACGGGGTACGATTGGAGGGTACGGTTTTGAGGTCATGGTGCGGTACGATGGTACGGTTTTGGGGTCATGGTACAGTGCAGTGGTACGGTTCAGTGGTACGGTTTTGGGGTCATGGCACCATATAATGATAAGATATGATTATGATAAGCTTTTTAATACATAGTGCGATATGAGGGTACTGCATTGGGGTGGTTCAGTGTTATCTGGTACAGTACGGTGGCATGGTGCGATTGAATGTTGGTATGGTAAATTGGTGCGATACAGTGGTGCAGTGAGTCGTTTGTGTTGCGGGATGAGATGCTGGTGCGGTACGGTGTTTTTGCGATGTGTTGGTAAGGCACGCGGGTGAGATAAGATGCTGGTACGCTATGGTGATGTAGCATGATGTGGCATGTTGGTGCGACAAGATGTTGGTAGGGAATTCTGCGGTGCACTGTAATGGCGTGGTGAGATGTTGATACCTTGTGGAAGATAAACATCCCAAAGCAAAAACCGGTCAAAACTGGTGCCCAAAACAATGTAAAGGAGAGAGTGAGTTGGGGTAAAGTAATATTGATGTCTTATGGTGTCTTAAATAAGGAGTTGCCATTGAGGGGGATTTAAGATTTATAATGGTTTGTCTTTAAGTCTATGTCAATGTAGGTTTTAAAGATCGGAAATTGTTTTGCGCACATTGGATTGCGGGCACACAGTAAAACGCATAGTCTTTTTGAAAGAGCATGTCTCAGAATAAGAGGGCGTCACACTTGCCCGCATATTGGTGTGCAACTCCAACAAACAGTTCAGTGTCCTGTATCCTCTTAAGAAAGTGCAGTATTTGACCTTTGAGAGAAGTAAGATTATTGTATAATTCTTGGTTTTGATAAGGGAGTTCAACTGATCATTCCTTTTTGACTATTCAAATTTACATGTCAATAGATATGCCCAAATAAGATAGGCATACTCAGTACTCAGTATTCCAGAAACAGCGCTCAGTGATCATTTCTCTCAAAGAAGAACTTCCTTCAAGAAAATAATAGTTCCGTTTCCACATGCGCAATGTTCTTTCAAAAGGGTACGCAATTGTTTATAAACAAGGCCGGTTCTTTTCAAAGGCAAATACCTGAGGAAATATGTAGATTTCTGTGCAATAATGCAAGTTTATATAAAAGATGTCCATTCAAAACATGCATCTTTCTTCAATGGGTGCAATATTCCTCCAGGGCAGTGCTTTATGTACAAAACACATCGGCCAAATATGAAACATGGATTGAACCAATGCAATGTTAAATTCAAAAATGCAGGCAACATTCAGCAGATTTTCTGTTTGTATTTGAAGTATTCCTTTTAAAGATACAGCTGTCAGTTAAAGATGTGCAGTGTCCGAGACACACAGTTTTCATTTGAGAGATGCGGTGTTTTTCAAAGAAATAGTACTTGTTCAAAATATCAAGTATTCCCTGCAAAAACATGGAATTCCTTTTAACATATAATATGCTATTCTGTCGACAACTGCAATGCTTAAAAAAAATATTTGACAAATCCTTTTGAAAGGGTAGCGCTCTTCAAGTTCGGTGTTCTTTTCAAGCAGTGAAATTGCGCTACAAACCATTACAGTATTCCTGTCAGAAAGTGGTGTGTTTCTGACAATGCAAACTCGTAAACAACCAGCATTCCTTTCAAAAAAGTACAAATAGTTATTGCAGTTGAAAAGTGTTTTTTGCTTTTAAGACTAGTTTTCCGGAAGTCTTGGCTCCCCTGCAGAAGACAAAGAATATCAAACAAATAATACGAAAGGTTTTGCAGGGGTCTTGATTGAGTCTTGGTTTCAACAAGACATTAAATATACCAGAAACATCCAGAAACACGCTGTTCCAGAAATCCTGAGATTGGGGTTCTAGGAGATCAAGACAAAAAACAACGTTCCCAAAAGTCTCGAGGTTTGCTGGAAAAAGTCAAAACGAAAGCGCGTTCCAAGAAGTCTTGCTATTGGGAGGGGTAGGGGGTGGCCAGCAGAGAGTCTCAGAATATTGTTTTTTGTTTCAAAGTGTTTCTCCTATTTCGATCGTTGTGGGTGGCCAGAAGAGTTGTCTCAGAATATTGCTTTTCTTCAATGTGGTTTTGGACACACACATTCATGAACAAATGTAGTTTGAATGGGTTTTAAGCTGTGATTTAATAAGATTCATAAATACAGCCTTTGATGTTTTTTTACGCATGTTGCACGTGAAAATTCAAAATCCAATGTGTGGCCTTTCTAGAGATTTGCAACCGCAATTCCATAAATCATAATCGCATATATTCGCTCTATAACTGACCTGGATCTGTACCCAAAAATTGTACCACCGAAACTGCGCTAGGTCGGACACAAGTCACTTGAGTGCATCAGACAAATTCACGTGATGTGTAGTTTCAATACTTTCAATCCATCTCAGCACAATATTCGCAAAGTTTGGATCGGAGTTGAACAACTCCAAACTATACCACTGTACGCCTGTACGTACAGTACCCCAAAACCGTACCAACGTACCTTACCACTCTACCGTACCGCGCCCCAAAACCATACCCCAAAATAGTCTCACTTGCTGTATGTATATACCAGAAAAAGGAGGTATTTTTTCGTAGGGTCGGGAGCGCACCAATACTAAGCACCCTACCGTACCACTGTACCGTACCGTACCCTAAAACCGTACCCCCAAAACCGTACCCCGAAAACCGTACCCCAAAACCGTACCCCAGAACCGTACCCCGTACCCGTACCCAAATAAGGACATATATCGATATACCTTTTTGAGTGTACCAATACTAAGTTAGTATTGGTACACTCAAAAAGGTATATCGATATATGTCCTTATTTGGGTACGGTTTTCGGGGTACGGTTCTGGGGTACGGTTTTGGGGTACGGTTTTCGGGGTACGGTTTTGGGGTACACTCGCACAGTCCCGACCCTACGAAAAGATACCAACTTATAAGTTTTGAGGTACGGCTTTGGGATACGGTGTGGTACAGTGGTAAGGTTTTGTAGTATGGTGTGGTACGGTTGTATGGTTTTGGGGTGCGGTTTGGTACAATGGTAGGGTACGGTGGTACGGTTTTGGGGTATAGTCGGGTCGAATTGTTGGGGACAGATATAGCGCAGTTAGCATGGAGCGGCATTGATTCTTAGGATGTTTTTTGAGCATTCAACACCTTTACTATGGTTGTGAACTCTGGGAATATGCAGGTACCATCAGGTACCCAAACGCAAAATAACACAAAGCCTCGTATGTATTAACATGTTTCAGACGCAAGGCAAATGCCTGGCGCAGAAATTCACCCAATAAAGCAATAAGGACACGAACACACACACACATACAACTATACATACATACATACATATATATATATATGGAATAGCAACACATGAAACGCAAGTGAAGCACATCAAATGCAAAGCGGGGGGCAAATTGAGCAATCTAGGGATTGTGTGAGAACACACATGGATAACAGCTCAGCCAAATGAAGTGTGCAGATGTGTGCAGCACAAAAGGGTAGACTGTTAATATTGAGACACACTCTAGATGCAAGGCACTGTATGTTATTTTTTGTTGGACACATATATTAAATACATGATATTAGTATATATTAGCGCATTTCTTCATGCAGGGACGCATGTATGTGATACTGGTGCTATATAGGCATCTAGACTGTACACAAAAAGCATTCAGACTTCAAGTTCATGAGGGGAGATTGCGTCGACAAGCGGACTGAACCGTCTAAGGCTGTGTGTGTGAGGGGTTTTGACACTGTAGTATGTGATGGTAGTGGTAGTGGCCCTGGTGGTTCACCACTTGAAATAAAATATTTTCGATAGGTCACGGGGTCATGATCAAAGATGACTTCTGGATTGGTAAATGTTGGGCCCCATGCCGTTTCGTGTAACTTATGCGGTTGTGCACACTACTACTTTTTCTAGTATACAGTATGCCCAAGGTGGAAATCAATAGCCCTAAACAAATGCCTCTGATCCCTCAAACAAAATGAGTTTATCATGTTTATCTTTGTGTTTTCTTTTGGTTTTCAGAGCTAAAGCAGATTGGATCCGCGACCACAAACGCAAAGGGGCCACATCAGTTGTTTTTGTTTGTTTGTGTTTGTTTGTGATTTGTTTTGCATTTCTACTTGAGTTTGCTTGCGCGTTTGTATGTTTTTCTACTTTTGTGTAGTTGTGAATATTACTAACATACAAGATACAAAACTTGTCACAAACCACGACCTGGTTTGTATGGCCCACGGGTGAGCTGCGTCCATGTACGTCTGGCTACAGTAACAAATCCATGTCCTGTATGGCCCCCTCTATGGTCCTTGCTTGCGTGTGAGTGCATTTGCTGCATTTTTCTTGCCGAATCGTGGGTCTGCTTGTGAGTTCGTTGATGTGGTCACTTGTGTGTCATTTAACCAGAAATTGCAATTCCAAACTCCGAATATAATATGTGAAACTAAATACTCGAGAATTTCCAATATGCAAGAGCTACACAACAAATTGCTAATCGCACAGACTGTTTAGAATCCTGGTGCCATGCATGCCGTCCCATGCATGCCACTTACTGTGCTTTTGATGGCGTGCGTCCGTTTTTGTAATGTTCAATTCGTTTCATTTCATTTGATTTCGTTTAGTGTTCTTTTATTTCCTTTCATGTCATTTATTTGTTTCGCATACTTCCCAACAATGAATGGAAGAAATCCTGCACCAGCTTGGATGGTGGAAACCCTGTAAATAATGGGATAAAACAGCTATCAACTGGTGCAGGATGTTTTTTCCATCCACTGCAATCAACTTGATCAAACTTGTAGAGTATTATATTTGGTTTTCAGTGTCATCCATGTTCTCCATTTTCCTGTTGTTGTTCTGGTGTTTTGTTGTTGCCTTGGTAGTTTTATGTTCGATTGGTGCTTGGGGTTAGTTTTTATTGGGTTAGTTTTTTGTTTGTGTACGTTGGTGTTGGGTTTGCTTTTTGGTTGTGTTGTTTGTCTAAAGCATGCGGTTTTCTTGTCATTGTTTGTGTGAGTTTCTACACAGGCCTCAAAGGCCATCAGGGTAGCCCATTAAGCAAAACCAATGAATCTAAATAAGATAAGATACATGATATTCTGGCGAGATGTGCTGTCGTATCCTGAAATCTTCACAACATAAAAATGATTTACAGCGCTTATTTTGTGAGTCTACTATAGTTTCCTCCGCCGGACACAGATTCGGTTTTTAGGGTTTAGAGCAAGAACTACTATTTCAGTAATGACAATAAGGTGTCTATGGTTGATGATCATGTTCAGTTAAAAGTCTACAATCATCAAATTCTGCCGTGGTATACACCACCTTTTACATCTCAATGAGTACCACCTTACCATCATTTAACCGTACCACTTCCATCGTACCACCGTACCGCACCAACATACCATCGCACCAACACACTGCACCACCGTACCGTACCACCGCACCACCGTACCGTACCACCGTACCGTACCACCGTACCGTACCACATATCATCGTACCAACACACCGCACCACCGTACCGTACCACCGTACCGTACCATCATATCATCGTACCAACACACTGCACCACCGTACCGTACCACCTCACCACCGTACCGTACCACCGTACCGTACCATATATCATCGTACCAACACACCGTACGTACCCAACATTGCCTATACAGCCTGAAAGTCGTTTACACCTACTTTGGCAATTCATAATATATATATATATAAACGAACACAAGAACCTGAACTCTTTGATGAACATGTGAACAGGACGCAAGACGCTCGCATGGCATCGTTGAATCCACTACAGTAAGTCAGGTCATGTCAGGCCTCTTCCACGGGAATTTTGGAACTTCCAGCTCTTCCACCTGGGATGCTCTACCCTGGCTGCAAAACAACTAGCATCTGGGGATTTGCAACACTCCATTTATGGCAATATTGGGGATTGTTTATTAAGTTCATATTTAAGGTTTGATCTAGCCCTGTTTTGGGGCAGAGCTAATCCCTGATGGCATGTTTTGTGGTGAAGGGGCTCCCATTTCAGCTGCATGGGCCGGCAAGATCCAAGCCAGATCCATTGAGCATGCAGTATGACTTGTCTCAGAGTGGTAGATTGTTCACACACCACTTTTGAACCAAAAGGATCTGTTCATGGAGAGCTTTGAAGGTCTCCAGGAGAAACACATGTTTGATATGTTTAATCATGATGTTCGGCCATTCCCCATCATTGTCCTTCGTTTTTCCATGAACTTCATCATATTAGCACCTGGTTTTCAGTCCCTCCGTGTCCCACCTGAAAAGTCACTCAGGCTGCGGGAATAAAGTGCCTCACCATCGATCTTTGGCCCCGCCTCAGGTAGGCCCATCCGCACAGGGTGAGCAACTCAAAGCCAATGGCCCATGCCTTGTCCCCTGATGGTGCAGCCAAGCTACGTCTGGTGTCCTGACAACGGGGATTATGAAAGGATCCCTTCGAGGGTGAACATGGTTCAACACCAAACCACCATGTGATGAAACTCCATTGCTGGATATTGCTGGATATTGCTGGAATATTGGACGTTGGTCATCTACTGCTCTTAAAGTGTTTGAGATGTGTGTGTTTCGTGCTTCCTCTGACCACACTTCGTGTGATTGCTGTGGCAAGAATTCTCTGGTCATTTCTGGTTGTATTCATTCCTTTAGTGTCCTCTCTAGCATTCCCTCTTGGAATGTTGGTTGGGGTTGGATCTCGAAATAGATCAAAATAGTCTGTTTCCAGCATCACCAATAATTAGGGACAAACCAAGCAATTCGATGAGCTCTACTGGAAAGTCAGTGCAATTCGAGGGGCCGCCAAGCCCCATCATATAACAAACACTTGTGGCCTCTTGTCCGGGTGTGTCCCATCTGCGTCTGTTAACCAATCAACCAACCAACCAACCAACTAGGTGGAGCCGTGACAAGACAATGAGATCGTTGCTGATCTTTTGCTCCAAAATGATTCACTTGCCTTTGCATGCAAAATCTCAAAGTCTGCAAGTTAATCCTCAAATGTCTGTTGCATAAATACGATTTTTGCTCTAGTAAAAATAGTTAAATGTCACTCCCTTCTTGCACAAAGTCTCCATTTTCGTGGGTTAAGTCCTGTTATATAGATCATATTTATATAAAATATTTAGTGTTTCATGGCCAACACCCTGCCAACACCCAAAATTTGTTTGTAAGCCCCATCTTTTGGCTATTTAGATCCACATGTTTTCCCGGCTCATCTTAAATACACACCTTTTCGATGGATCCACAACCTGACCCCCACATCCCCATTTTGTGGTTGTGAAACTCACAGCGAACTTAGTAGCTCCAGGTAATCATCCATTTTTCGGATTCTTCATTATAAACCATCCAGCTATGGGGTACCCCCATGACTATGTAAAACCCCAATCAGCTACTATTCTTGGTGGCTCATCCCACTTACTAACAAGGTGATATCGCCAGTTAGTGAGATAAGTCGGGTATTTATTCACTTATAACTGGGGTTGTAACTCTTTTTATAACCTACTTACTTAGATTAATAATGCTTAATCCACTAACAAAACTGGGGTTATAAGTTATGACCTACTTACTAAGTAGGATGATCCACCAAGTAAGCTATCTTCAATGGATTGGTTGAGGGGAAAATCTACAGGAAACCATAGATTTTCCCATTAAATATTGGGTTTTCCTGTAATTTTTCCCTTAAACCAATCCAATGATGTCTTAGACACCACCGTTTTCCACCGTTTAAATCTGCCCGCCTGGCGCCGTTCCGCGCCGAAGCCTGCTCCGCCAACTCGCTACGCAGGCGACGAATCTCCGCCTCGTACCTTCGGGCCACCCCAAACGGGGATATACTGGGATACCATAAGATATAACATATGGGTATATATGATAATATATATGATTATATATATATGTGATTATATGTTAATATATGACAATATATATATATGATGAATATATATATATATGATAACATATGAGAATATATGACAATATATATGATGATCATATGATGATTATATGATGATTTTATGATTATGATATGATTATTATATGAATATAATTGCATATAAGGGATATAATGGGATATAATGGGAGAATGTGATGGGAATAGAATGGGAATCTAATGAGTTGGGGGTTAGAAGACTACTGCTCCTGAAAGTGGACGATTTTTCAGGGTCTAGTCTATGTCTATGTGAATTTGCTGGCGGGGAACTAACATATAATATACTTTCATTATGAATTATAAACCGCCATGACTTCTTTTCAGAACACCTTGGGTTGATCATTTTTCATTAGGTTAGCTGAGCTTACCGAAGGGGGCCCTGTGGCAAACAAACATCCAAAAAAACGAGAGGCACTTTCCCACCAACATGATAAACATATATAAACATGAGGATTTTACCTACCAAAATTGACATCTTCGAACAGAAAGTACCTTCGAACGTAGACAAACGTTGCCCGGGATCCCGGGACCTTGGATTGCTGGAAGAGAAGTGACTTGGGGGATCCCCCTTTTTCTGAACGGGGATGGAAAGAAACTTGTTTGAAACAATCAGCAAGAGCTGAAGGAGCTGGGTTGACACGTGATGTTTGCCTTCTTTACTAGTAACTTTTGAAAAACGATGACCTCAAACAACTGATGTAAAATCTAAATTGCACCCCCAACACCCAGGGCGCCCGGGATCTATCATATTGAGAGACAAGCAGCTCAGAAATGAACATTCGATCATTTCTGAGATGGTCTAAAAGTAAAACATCTACCCTCCAGCGATAGTTATGGAATGTTTTCATACGTATGTTTTCTGGAGCATGGAACAGCTACAGTTGGTTGCTTTACCGGAGGGAAAACCGGAAAACCTCTGGGATTTCCATGGCTTCATCACCAGGCCTGTTCGCCATCATCCGGGGATCTACATCCTCATTGACCTGCCATGTTCACAAGGAATCTTAGCCCAGTTATGTCTTGGATATCCTCAATAGATATCTCTACATGATAGATCATGATAGTATATAACATCGTACTATAAACACATTATAATGATTATAATTTCATTATATATGTATGTTTTGCTCCAGCAGTGCACATTCAACAGAGGCATCCGAACAAACTAAAGTCCGATAATGTGCTAAACCCAATGTGATAATCCCTTCCTAAAATCACCATCAATGGGTGCTATCAACCAACCCAAATGGAAGGTTTATTATTGAGTTTCCCACATTACACATCATTCATCATCTAATGCTTTCAGCAGGTTCCCCATTGCCATCACATCTTCCATCATAGATTTGGCAAAGCCCAAAACCCACATTCCCTGCCCATCTGCCCCCTCTTGGATGATCCACTTAGATGGCTTCACCCACAGGAAACAAACTAGGATACCATGGATTAAACCAATACCTCTGGTAAACTAACATAACTATGGAACATCACCATTTTTAATGGGAAAATCAACTATAAATGGCCATTTTCAATAGCTATGTTAGTTTACCAGAGGGTAAACCAATAAACCATGATTTTTCTCAGTGGTGATTCTTGTTCGAACAAAACAGCTTCACTGGCTCTTATGCCATGGGCCATATCCATCGTCACTAGTTTCATAATCATCCTTACAATGATTGGTAAATCTCAATAATAAGAATCATCCCCGGTAATCATACAATAAAACTTAATGTACCATAATAAATGACAATACAAGGAAAAAACATGAGATCCCAGAAGACGATATAATTAGGTTATTAGATGTTATTAGTCCCCATCATTATTTATCATCCTAAACAAATGCATTTCAATATAAACATATAGTGAAAACACATTCAATCCGTCATGACCATCAGTCCCAACAACTGAACATATGCGGGGAAAACACACATTGTAGCAACTTTTGCACCAGCAACAACACCAACAATCACCATCAGCAATAGATCAAACAACCCTTGTTGGTCTCAACTCTGAACAACTTGAACTGACCAGCCAATGGTTGATGTTGGTTGTATTACCCTCTGGTTATTTAACATAGCCATGGTATAGATGGCCCATTTATAGATGGTTTACCTATTAATAATGGTGATTTTCCATGGCTATGTTAAATAACCAGAGGGTATATACCCATGATATCTCCAATTAAGATGCTGTAATCCCTATGTTTCATCACTGCTGTAATCGGCTCATAGACAATAAACCTAGCATCCCCTAAAATTGGGACTAAGTAAGGAACACACCTAATAGCATCGAAATTCCCGTCGTTGTCAATTTAATATCCAGTTATGCTGACATTCTTGTTGCTAGCATTCTTGTTGCTCCAGTCACCATTTTCCACTATTAAAACACCTTTATCAATCAAGGTTATAATCAGGGATCTCAGAAGCGAAACCGGTTCGCCTTTTTGAACATAGGGATAGATCATGATAGATCATGATATTGATGCACCTACTACTCTACTGGTAGTTACATAAACACCATTGACCACCATTGACCACCATTAAACACCATTATATAAACGTCATTAAACGTCATGTTTCCATCATGTTTCCATCATCTTTCACCGCTGTTTACGCCATGGGAACTCCGGCTCCATCTCCACCTGTGGGGTGACGACGACGCCCTTGGCGCGTTGCGCGAATTTCAAGGTGCTCAGCGACTCAGCGAAGGCCTCTGCAGCCGGGCTCACCATGGCCTCAGCGGCGTTGCCGCGACCCAAATGGAGGGGGGGAACAGCTGTGTTTCACATGGTTATTTAACATAGCCATGGTATAGATGGCCCATAGAAATAGATGGTTTTACCTATTGATAATGGAAAACCACATGAAAAACATGGAAACTAAAAGGTGAGCAAATAGGAAAAAACATCTGACAAATATGGCAAACACTGGGCAAATATGGGCAAAATAAGGTAACAACATGGAATGGGTTGCTTTTCTGCTTCAAAAAAAAAGACTCCGGATGACCTGGTCCAGGTCCCTGCGGCTAAAGTTCCATCATGGTCGTGCGGCAGTTTCCTCCCAGGGAGTCTTCCAGCAGTCGGGTCAACTTGGAATCCCGATAGGGTACGTGAGATCTTGCTCTTCGTTCGGTCAAGGCAGAAATCACATTACCTTGGTTCTCAGGCAAGGTAACTGCTAGGGATATAGTGGGAGTAGCCTCCAATAAACTAACATAGCTATCCAAGCCATGGCCCATTTGTAGATAATTTCCCCAAAATAGTGGTGATTTTCCATATAGCCATAGTAAATCACCCAAAGGATCCAAAGGGGTATCACCCAGTAATGGGGTCAGCGGTCTCCGACGTCCAAGGTGCCCAGAGCCGACAGACTCTGATTGATCTTCTTGGTTTCCTCCAAGCGTTGCCCGGTCGCACCTTGAGACGAGATGCTACGACGGTACCACTTTTTTTACCAGCCAAGTGGTGCAGTTGAGAATGAACTGAACTGAACACCCAATAAAAGAATCATTGATTGATTCATCCAGTTCAGAATGCTTGAACATGGATTGAGGATGAAAATATTTTTGGACATACAGCTATAGGCATCAATGCGTGTCCCTGGTATCATACATCAATCCAACAATTCCATCAAAAACCGTGCAAATATAGGCAAGACATGTCCAAACATCATCGAAATCTCTGATCCTCCAATCATCCACATCTATGTTACACATTACCCTCTGGTTATTTAACAGTTCGCCATGGAAAATCCACCCATTTTTAAGTTCGGTAAACCATCTATTTCGATTAGGGCCATCTATACCATGGCTATGTTAGTCATAACCAGGTTGGGTTCCCAGGCAAACTAACATAGCTATTGAAAATGGCCCAGTCGAAATAGTAGATTTACATGGATTTACCCATTAATAATTAGCATGGTGATTTTCCCATCCGTTTCTTGTATGTTTACCAGGCCGGGTAACCAGCCGAAGCACCAAAATCACCCGTGGTCAACTCCTCTGAACTCCCGCGGCGTCCTGGCGATGCCAAATGCACAGCTCGTCGCTCCAGAGTCCCGCCGCCAGATGTTGCTCCCTATGGTTTTCCTATGGTTTTCCCATGGCTATCTTTGGTGCCTTCCAAACCATCCCATCCCATCCCAGGCGTCCGCTCGGCGCCTGTAAGCCTTGGCCGCTCGGAGCCGGCAAGGTCCACCAGGTTCAGGCGCCCTGTGAGACTCTGCCGCCCCTGACTGCCGGAGTGGCGCTCCACGACCTGAAAAACGGCACGGCCCGCACAACGGGAGAACATGGCAGAAACATGGCATAAAAATGGCATAAAAATTGGAAAAAATGGGAAAATGGGAAAAAAATTGGAAAAAATGGGAAAATGGGATAAACGTGGGATGAAGATGAATCTAAAAATGATTCCAGTGGCTCATGGAACAATTAGCTGGCTCATGGAACATCCAAGGTTGCAGCAAACATTGGGTTGAACCTTGAATTGAGTTAAACATGGGGACTGCACACACCAAAAAAAGAGGGGGTGTAGTAAGTACAGTGATGTATCCCCAGTTGGGTGGTTTGACCTTCGATTTGAACATAACCTTTCAGTTTGTATGTTTGCATTGGTTGTATAAGTTATACAATATTATATGGTATATACTTAGCTACTTTGGCATGTTAAGCCACACATAAAAACACAGAAATTAATGCTCTTCAATAAATGTCTACATCTCCCCAGTTTAGAACAAAACCATCTGGGACAATAGCTCTAGACTTTGGCCCACTCATTGGTGATTCCAGCAGGGCTTGGCTTCCCTACATTTCCAGTGAACATCAACATGACACAACATGACCTTTTCCAGAAAAAACTCACGAACAAGTACACAAAAAACCAACGTTTGACCCCTGAAATAGGAAATTCATGGAAATTCCAAGAAACCCTGTTCAAAGTTGGCAATGCTTTGTTGCTCTGGTGAGCTCTTTCAGCTAAGATGCAATGATAAACACTGCATGAGATCGACTTGAGGTATCCTGAAGGCAAAGCAAAAGCACTCGAGACTGGGAAAGGTAACACCGGGTTTACCAGAAATTGGTTTAAGGATGCCCTATCGATACTTTGAAGAAATGGTAAGTGTCGCTGTAAAACATATCTTTCTACAGATTCACTAGCTCCTCCCTTCATAAACCAACCCAGTACAGCAGAAAGATGATGATTTCCATCCCGCAGGGCTGTGCATGGAGACATCCTTTCCGTCCCCTTCCTTCTCTAAGAACACAGGGCACTTTAAAAGAACCATGATTTTCACCCTGGTCTGGAACTTTACAGTACCGTCGAATCGATTCCGCAATTCACACGCCACAGTTGGTAAATCCATGAGTCCTGTTATTATGTCAAAATCTTATGGCATGGCTCATAGATATTCATAGATAACATAGGCATAGACAACATATCAATACATTCCGAAAGTTCATTCAAATTCAAGATGAATCCCAAACATGGCCATTTCCCAATCAAGTCATACAGCTCTCGAGGTTGATCATGGTTTTATGTGCGCATGGTGAGTTTGTTTCTGCTTTCATGTTCAAAGAACAACGCAAACCTAAACTGAGTCATCCAGAGTTGGATATACATGAAAGGCCATACAGTCTAAAAAACAATGAAGCACATTACGTATATATATATTTATAATAATTACAACTGTGAATCACTATTTCGGATAATTAATATCAAACTATTTTCGATTCGAGTTCACCAAATTCATCAATATGTATTTCTCTGGGTTGCTTTACACCCAATGGCACCCACACGGGTTTCACTGAAAATAGGGTCACCCCAAAAATTCGATGGTTTATCATCAGTCTTGCCATTGAATGGCTATGTTTATACGGCATTTATACATATTTACACGGTATATATCTATGTTCAAACACACCCAAGACTCCAACATACTTGGCTACCCTCTGGTAAACTAACATAACTATGGAAAATCCCCATTTTTCATGGGAAAATCCACTATAAATGGCCATTTTCAATAGCTATTTTGACATAACCAGAGGGTATATCACGTTATATCTCCGATATCGCCACTGCGCAACCAAGCGTCGTTGTGGCCCGTCTGCGCGGTGGCACGGGCCGTGGAACCATGTTCCATCAAGGTCTGCACCTGCACCAGGTGATGGGCCATGGGATTGGGGAAGTTATGATGATCCATGGGAATTTCAGGATCCTAAAATGAAGGTACGTTAGTACCATATAAGGCCATATTTTGTGGGGATATCCCCTGAAATTAAGGCCTAAAAAATAGGCCTTATATGGTACAGTACCTCCATTTTAGGATCCTGAAATTCCCATTGAGATGATCCATGGAGAATCGATCATAACTGTGGCTAGTATACGTTAGTAAAACTAGTTCTATTAGCCACTGGATATAAATCAACATAAATCAACGAAAACTGTGGTTAGTATAAGATACCACTGGCTAGTATAAACCACTGGCATCCACTGGCTATAAAGCGGTTAGTATAACTAGTTCATACTAGTTCTGTAAATAAAACTGACCATAAATAGTTATAATTAACATGTTATAAGTATAGTAACTGGGTGACAATCCATCATTTAGCAACTTATAACTCCCTAACGACACTTGACTCCCAAGGGACCATCTAAGCAACTCGCAACTCCCAAAGGTTGATGGTTGCTTCTTTTTTGCTACTAATGTTACTAGTGTTGTAAAATATTTAGCAGTTAAAAACTCATATGCTTTTTCTTAACTCATACAATGGTGTTCCGATTGGTTCCTATGTCAAATTCCATCGTGATTACTCAATCTTTGGCTGCTGCGAGCGAGTGTGCATGTTCAAATTAGATGTGCGCTTAGTACATGAGACATGAGCCTGGAAGGCACGAAAACAGAGGGGAAAAAATATCTCGGCTTTAAATGATGTATCCCATGGTTGTTCATGGTCTGGGTTCGCTTTTGCGTACAACCTGGATGAACTAGTCCTTCAGCGATGGCTCACCAATCGCAACTCTGTTTTTGGGTGTTTGGTGGGGTGGGGCGGTCATCAAAGCTCACTCCATAGTCATATAGTTATGGTCCATGATGTATGATCTGTGTTGTGCTGATGATACAAATAATACATACATACATATATATAGCCCATGAAACACCATGTTGCATTCTGGCCAAAAAAGGCGCCTCGTCAGCGCTTCGGCACAACCATTCTGAGAGGCCCTCCACAAAGACTCCACGGCGTTTGTCTTCACCTGGGCCCCAAATATGTCTGTCATGATGCGGCTACCCCATGGACCAACAGAATTGGTACCCTGGGGGAACTTCGTGGAAAATGTGTGGTTTCTGTGGAAAACATACAAAAACATGTGGAACATGTTTGGTTTCCCGCCCGGCAAAAATGCATTCATGCTAGGTTTAGCCACATCTGAACGTTGACAGATTGAACCATCCGCTTTTCCGCAGATGAGAAGAGGAATGGCTTGGAAGATGATGGACCCATGTATGGCAACTGGGGGTTGGCCATAGGATGCACAAATGGCCAAAATAAGATGCCAGAGGAGGTACCGCCATCTGAACTAGGGAATGTGTCAGCCATGCTGCTTGGAACGATTATTGATTGCACCCATCCATGTATCCTCCGGTAATCAAACACGGCAATGGAAAATCCATCATTTGTAGATCATATTCCATAATAATATTCCCATTAGAACCTCCATTTATAGGGGGGTTCCAAAAACCAACATGTTTGATGACACCTGCCCAGCGGCGGATCATTAGGTGCGATCGGTCCGGCTTCAGCAAATCCGAAATCACCTCGTTGTAGATCTGGAGATATGACGCGCGAACCTGCTGGCTTCCGCATGAATCAGCCCACCTAAAGCCCAGCAAAGAAAATGCAAAATCAATGGTAAACGATGGTGGATTGTCGGCCAAGAGCGCATCAAGCTTCAAGGACCTGTCTTTCATCATGAAATGCTTGCTGACAATATACATCCACCAAACATTTTGGAATCTAAACACCTGAACTTCGCAAGCAGCTAGGCAGGTCTTGTTTCTTTCTGTACTGCTTTGGCCACCCCAAAAAATGGTGTTCGCCGTTCGCGCATAGTTTGATGTATTGATCTATATTGGATCTTGTATGACTCTATAATGATATCCGCAAAGCAGTCAAGTAGATCAAGCAGCTGAAGCTCCAGAGCGCTCCAAAATACACACTAGATATCTATCACTATATATATGTAGATACTATAATGTATCTATAAATAAAAATAAATATAAATGTGTTTATATATATATATATATATACATACATATATATATATCTATATGTATATATATATATGTACTGTATAATGATATAGATATAGATACCTCCATTTATCCCTCTAAAGGTTGCCGGTAGGAACCGCAACAACAAAATGTCGCCTGGAAGGTCGCCGCTTCATTCCGAGCGCCTCGAATGTGCTCAAAGATCTCCTCGGGCGACTCGATCTGGAGATAGGACATCCATAGGAAAATCCATAAGAAACCCATGGATTTATCCATGGAACATCTAATTTCAACCATAAAAATGGGATTTTAAGCATCAAGAACGGTGTGATTTAACCATTATATCCATATATATATATATCCATGATTTTAATCAATTTTCAACATTCAAAACCCAAAAGCCACAGAAAGCCTCGAAGTTCAGACATGTTCAGACCATTGGAAGTCAAACCGAGCACCCAAAATGGGACGTGAGGATGGGATTGAATCCTAACAGGCCTCAATATGGACCACTCCAACATTAAACATCATTAAACCATCAGAAACCATAAGAGGTAGCAACCATCAGATGTAAAATAAACATTAATTAATGGCATTCATATGGTTTCTGAAACCAGCAGCATCCAATGGCAATGATGGAAAATTCCGGCTGAAACCAGCAGCATCAAAAAAGGGTCCTCCATGGAGCGTGGAATGATGCCGCGAGAATCCTCACAACTGCGATGACACTCGGAACACTTGCAGAATGGTGAGCAGAATTGATGATCATAAAATATCATAAAGAACTGATATCCATAAGAATGTACGTAAACATTGCTCCTTATCTCCCAGCCTAGGAATACTTATATTAACAGTACTCACATGTTGCTCTTTTTTCATTGTGATTTTCCAAGAACTGCTTCAAGGGAACATCTGAGTATACCATGGTATACCCCTATGTTGGCACTAAAAAACCACACGTTTCTCTAGTGGATTTTCCCCATCTGAGATGTCCCGCCTCCATCATGGCCTTGAGACCGCCTTCCATGGTGTACGTCTTACCTGTACTCGTAGGGCCGTAGGCCACGATGGTGGCATTGTAGCCCTCCAGGGCCGACATCACCTCACACCCGGGGACACGGCGTTGATCCAAGATATGGACACATATGGAAACTCGCAACTCTTATGGAATGTGGTAAACTCATGTAAACAACTGGTAAAATGAACAATTTCTACCATTTTTTGGGGTTGCGAAAACAGTTAAAAAAGGCATGGACTCTTGATCCCACCATGATTGCAAGAATCATTGGTTAAAGAAGCCTTTGGTATTTGATCCCTTCGCTGTTTGATCATTAAAAAAAACAGAGTTGAGTCAAGAATTGCGCACCAAGAACGAAAATCCAAAGAAGTGCTTTTGAGGAAATCATAGGAAATCCATGGAAATCCCTCATTATTTGTAGCTCCACCTGGCTTCCCTTGGAATATTGAATCTAGTGAATCTAGTGAATCTAGTGGAATATGGATACTGTACAACATGATAACCATGGTTCAGATCACGGCTCCCTCACCGGAGCTCACAGGCTGAGGTGCGGATGTGCGTGCAGTGCTCTCGTAGACGGTTGGCTGCGAGGCGTTTTGATCATACCTCGACTCGACGGTGCGATCTCAGGATCGAGGTCCTGGGGGGGCGAAAACAGCAACATGTTCAAAAACGATCCTGATATATCGTGAGAGTATGTGAGCGTCCAACATATCTCTTCTCAAAAGTTTCCAGTATCCATCAATAAACCAGTAACTTTGCAGATCCCACATGATCCCACAAGTGACAAAAACTGGCCCTTGTCCCACTCTAACAGTAACCCTGATGGAAGAAAGTTATTGCTTTCGTGGCTGGTGGGAACTTCCCCCTGACTCCTTACATAAACTCTTACGGTAAACACAAGCAACGGACTAACAGCTCAAATGACAAATGCCTGGATGTCCTCCCATTGTAGTTAACCAGATCCTCCCATTGTGGTGAAAGTATACGTGAAAGTGATTCAGAACTGTTTGAAGCTCAATGTTGCACCCCTTTCAAAACAACCCATCATAACCCATCACGACTTGGGATTCACCAGCCGAAAAAACGGTCACTCCAAGATGCACGTGGTCGAACGAGAAACTGTGCGTGTTGACCACTGTGTTCCTCGTGCCGCTGGCGCGATCCGCGGCGTTCATCTCCGGCACCGTCTCGTACAAACAAATCCTAAGGGGATCCATGGGAGAAATGGGACGAGGCCATGGAGGTGGCCTCCGGAAAAGCCCTGAAAATACACAGCCTGCTTCATAAAAAGGGGAAGCATGGAGTACAGCCTTGGTATTTGCGTTTGACATTGTTTGACATTCTTCCACATGTTTTCTCTTTCAAAGGCTTCCGCTTCTCTGGAAAACAGGATGCCAGTTTTGTATCCCATGATAGACTTGTGTTGATAAAATAAGTACTTGTACTTCGGGGATACTTGGCCAATCTTGCATACCCTGATTAAAAACACTAGCCGGTCACTGTATATCCCCTTCATTCCCCATCTACAGCGTAGCGAAAAAGTAAAGCACCTTTTAGTACTAAATGTAGCCACCCCAGGTTACCCCAAGGATATACCCTCCCGCAATTTCATATCAATATATAGATCTGGCTAAAAAATTGATGTTCAAAGTGGACAACCCACCCATTTGGAGATCATTTTCTAAGGGAAACCCATGGTTTTTCCACGTTGGAATCTAACCTTCGATGGGAAAGGCGGGCCCGTCCAAACCACAACGCCAAGTCTCTGTGTAGATCCGGGCACGGACCTCTGGTCAAAACAGATTGCAACATGGCTGGCACGGGCATTTTATATGGGAAGTAATGAGGATTTAACCAAGCAAAACCGGGATTTAACCAGCACATATTTGGATATATTTGGATACAATGAGATATACCAAGAAACTCCAAGCAATTACCCACAAAAATGTGTAAACGGATCATAGACATGGTGGGTCAAATACCAATTCCATTGGTCAACGGAGTGTCTATAGGTATTTGCATATCAGGAAAAAATGCATTTGTGAATCAGACATGCGGTGGACCATCAAGCCAGTTCACATAGAACACGATTAAGCACTGTAAAAAGGAGGTGCACACTCTAGTAAACTAATATAACTTTGGGAAATGGTACTTGTATAGATGATTATGATGATTTACCTGTTGAAAATGGAGATCTTGCATGGCCATGTTAGCTTACCAGAGGGTAAGTGGGAACTCGTCTCGAAACCAGAGTTTGGTGGAGACAACCTTGAGGATTGATTCATGGCCAATTTATCCGAAAAATACCTCGCAACAAAAACGAGGTTTGTAGCTGGTCAGTATTTATATATATACATATTATTCCCATGATTACCAACAAAAAGAGGAGTTAACCCTCTGGTAATCAAATGTGGCCACGGGAAATCCTCTATTTTTATGGGGGTTTTAATATCTTTTAATCGGGAAATCATCTACAAACTCCCCGATTGACCAAGGCACACCACATGCTGCCACACAGGCGATGCCAACTCGCGATCCAAGGGTGGACGCACCCGAATCACCACGCGAAAATACCTCAAAAAAAACGGGAGAATACACACGTAAAACACACATTTTACTAGAGTTATAAATCGTATAACATGATATGTTTCACCCTCACCTGTTGAAAATGGCACATGGTTATAGCTACTACTGGTTGGTGGTTTCAACCCCTCTGAAAAATATTAGTCAGATTGGATCATCATCCAGTTCCTATTGGGGAAAATAAAAAATCCATAAAAATCCATGGTTCCAGTCACCACCAACCAGACCCTCTGGTTGTGACTAACATCATTGGATTGATTTAAGGGAAAATTTACAGGAAACCATGGTTTTTACCACCAAATATAGGGCTTTCCTGTAAATTTTCCCATCATCCAATTCTATGATAACAGTTTGCCATGGAAAATCTCCATTTTTCATAGGTATAGACCGTCTATTTCGATTAGGGCCATGATTTCCATGGCTTCCAAGCTGCTCGTCGGAGTCCAGGACTTCGGCCTGGACAAGGGATTTTTATGAAAATTGCGCTGTGGAAACTCTACCATTCATCCCATGGAATAAAGATATGATATATATATATACATATGATTATATATATATTATATATATAATTATATATAGTCAATTGACACCTATCTGTAATCCCAATTGTTTAACAACCATTGACCTATATTGACCTTATCATTGGGATTCGTTGGGTCTCTTAACAGTGTATCGCCACTGTCAACTGACAAACATCAGTGAATGGGTTCCACATTTTAGCCCATGCCTTTTGATAAAGTAGCAGGGCCATGCAAAGGCACCATTCAGAAACCAGAAACCATGGCCCTAGGCTTATCCCAGTGGTTGGGGTGTACATGGGTGTAGCAAATGGCGCGTTACTGGGATGGTTTATGGGGTTTACCGGTTTACCAAACAGGAATATATTAACCCCCCAACTATGGCACGGCGGTATGCAACGGCACCTGTTGAAAGGCTGGCAGGGCATGGCCTCCTGAGCCTTGGCAGCAGTTCATGCCCTGGAAACCATGGATTTAGTGTTCTTGCAATCCCTTCCGAATAGACAGCCCAAAAACTTGATGTGGATCTGCTCGTTTTGGGTTCCCATATTGGGGGGTTTGACTATTCTCCATCTCGTTTGGAACTCCAAGAGCCCAGAAGAGCTGACACAAAATTCTGGCCTTTGAATTCGGTTAAAACATCGCAAATACTACACAATAACATGCAATCACAATTAGCCAGGAACCAAGTTGCAAAACTAGATTAGGGGATTTGCTTCAGTTCCTGCCTTGTTGTGCTAAACATTTCCACAAGTTCCAAAATAATTCCAGCCAGAAGCGATCGAATTTTTCAGCCCGCAGTGGGAATTGACCAAGAGACGCGGCAAACTGGATGTTGAGCGAACCTGAGTGGCACGCTGATATAAAAAGAATAGTATCATGATGATGATCATGATCATCATCAACACCACCATCATCATCATCTTCTAAGAAGCACGAGCCAAATACCGCCAACCAAATGAATGTGGCAAACCCAATGCCATCAATCTCCCATTCAGAATAAGCTTTACCACCTGTGGTAAAGAAAAGAAATGGTTTGCCATTGCGTTTGCCAAAATATAGTTCAAGACCTTCTTATATCTGGTTGAATTGTGAGTAACTCACTGGCCTGACAATACGTATCTAGAAATAGGCTATTTGAGTCGGAAAAAATTGAAAATCCTGATCCCAACCACAAATCATCGTCATTTAATGCGGCGGCCGTCTTCTTAATGGGACTCGCGTGGTCTTATAAAATCTCACATGCTTGTAATATTCCTTGTTGAAGAAATCTTCATCACTCACGAGATTTGAAATTGATTGTAAAAAAAAGGGAGGGGAGTGACGCTTTCACCTGCAATTAGCCAATGGCAACAATCTTTGCAAATGCTGCTTTCGTCTCTGCAGCCTGGCATTGCTTTTTCTACTCGAGAGCATTCTTTGTTTTGTTTTCCAAAGTCTCTCGTGGCAAAAATGGCCGGGGGAAACGGTCTTCAGCCTTTGCCTTCTGATTCTGATTCTGCCTTTATCCCCTTTACCTATATGTTTGCAAAACAAGGAAAGCAATTTGGGCACATGGTCACCTATGACGGCTTTGGATGTCGTTCAGATATGTTCAGATGTCGTTTCGGATGTTGTTCAGATCCGTGGGTTTTCCAAGAAACAAGTCTATACTGTCAAGATGCAGACCTGTAGGGAAAGGCGGCTGAACAACTTTCTTGTTTGGTTATTGCTGTCTCAAATAGCATAAACAGAGAATATTTTGGCAATCCTTGTGGCGGCCGCGGAGTCAGTCCACAACTCAACGCTAGCTCCCAACACCTCTAGTTTCCCTTTTTAATTTTCATACATATGATTTGGATGTCGTTCAGGCTGTCGTTCCCAAACTAAATGGAATACCCTCAAATCAGTTGAAGGCCACATTAGGTGCGGTGGTGCGCCGAATTATGAACCAAGGATCACCCAGTACATAATGTTGACCTACGATTTATCAAACTACCCTGAATAGTGCTAACCAAACTCCCAAACTAAATAATAAAACTACCCTGAATAGTGCTAATTTTTTTTGGCCCTAAACCCAGATTTGCCCAGATGGGGCTGAAAAAAATTGTCCATGCTTTATTTGAGGTGGCTTTCATTTACTAATTCATATTGCCAGCTCATTAGATCTTACCTTGATAACTTCAAATTTTCAAAAATAATGGTTGCTCTTTTCTATTCAAAACCTTTATTCAAAATTATCCAAAATCAATCCCAAATCAACTCATCAAGGGTACCCCCCATGAGGTGCCTTAGCACTAATTAGAGTTTGACCCTGAATAAAGCTACTGAGCTTCCCCCTCCTGCTGATCAAGAAATGAATGCTCAATCAATACAAAACCCATGAAATGAATACTAAATCAAGAAATGAATATTAAATCAATACTAAATCCATGAAATGAATACTAAATCAATACTAAATCCATGACATGAATACTAAATCAATACTAAATCCATGAAATGAATACTAAATCAATACTAAATCCATGACATGAATACTAAATCAATACTAAATCCATGACATGAATACTAGATCAATACTAAATCCATGACATGAATACTAAATCAATACTGAATCCATGACATGAATACTAAATCAATACTAAATCCATGACATGAGTACTAGATCAATACTAAATCCATGACATGAGTACTAGATCAATACTAAAACAATTGTTGGATTCCTTTTTTTTTGAAATTGCATTTTATGTATTCGTTTTAAATTGTGGTAATTGAAAACCTTTACATACAAACAAGTTTGATGGTGGCTTTAAGTCTATTTAGGGGAAAAGAGGAGGGGGGGGGCTATTTATAAATCAGAGGTGGACATTGGCTGAGAATTATATACTTTTTTTCCAGCTCATTTGCGGATGGCTCCCTCACCATTCCGGTGAAGTTACATCCAACGCGAAACCGCACAAATATCTCACCGCAGCCAAAGGTCTCCGTGGCGAAGGTCCATTTTTTCGCTCGTGTTTCATGCGCCAGGCAGTGTTATCACACGGCTGGGGAGGCAATGACCCATCATTGCCGGCCACGGTGCTTTAGAAGATGTTGTGCTATGCTTCACCATGTGTGGAAGGTTTGAAAGTTCTAGGTTTTGAGATGCTTTGTGATATTGTAACTATAGGTGACGGGCGTGATGTCAGTGTGTCATAGAAGAAAGACTTTTCATTTGATTTCTCTGCTGAGATCAGGTTGAACTGAAGCCGTTTCGATCGTTTACTCATTTCGCCACCGGAATTGAAAGCTAATATGGGAAGAAACACTCCGCCGTTTGACTCCCGACTCCCAGCCAGGGCAAAAGTCTGTGAGACTTCATTTGATCATCGCATGAGTATGGGTCAAAGCTGGGCACGCCAAAGTTGGATTGACTTCCAAGAGGGTACACATGATTACAGCTATTTCTCCATGATCTTTTCCTATCTTTTCGCAAACTGCCACGGAGATTCATGCAGTCGCTCAAGAGCACAACAGCCCCACCCCATGCTGTTCAGCTGAGCCAAGGCCGCGCAACTTGTAACCCTTCACGGGAAGCGCCCAGGCCAACACAGGACTCTTAGGCGCCCGGGCCCTTTATCCACCTTTATCTTCCCCACTTCAAACCAGCATGGGTTTGACGAAAATTGGATACCCCAACATTTCATGGGGACATATCATTTTATTGTTATTTTATTGTTATTTGATGGTATGCCTAATATTTCAGACAAACCCATGTGTTGAATGACTTTACAGATGTTGAATGCCTTGCCTTTTGAGGCCCCATGGCCTGGTTTCCAAGCCCACGAGGCGCCGCATGTTTTTTTCTTCCGCCAACGGGCACGGCACGGATCGAAGCAGGCGAGGCATCCAGAGTCATCCAGGCCTTCGTTTTGTGTTTTGTGTTACAAAAAATGATGGGCTGAAGCTGGATGATGGGATGATGAATATGCCATTCAGAAATGGCATTTAACATACTTAGCGACTCTGTTTCTGGAATCATTTGGGTTCCAAACCAAAAAACTCTAGCCCCTGGAAGCCAAATGACCCCTAAGAATGGAGCATCTATAGATCAATTCCCTAGCACCCTGTTCACATCTTAAAATGGTTTGGCACCCTGGGGCAAACCTACAAAAAGATATGGAAAAACCATGGTTTCCCTAGGAACATATAGGACAATGATCTAGAAATGGTGTGTTTTGAACATTGACATCTATGTAAGTTTACAGGACGTAAATGAAATGGATGTTCAACTCTCCGATGTTCAACTCTCCAAATATATATATATATATATATATATTATGGTACTACTAGTACTACATGTCTTGACCGCTCCCCATAAATAGATGTTTGAAGATAAGGCAAACAGTATACCACAAGAGGAGGAAGGGATGCTGACAAGGCAACCTAGAGACCTCAATGAGGTAAAGGCGGGGTGCCAGGGGTAGCCTATTTTCAAACAAAACCCTATGGTTACCCTGAGAATTATCCATAGTCATCCATGCTTTTATCCATACTACACATATCTACACATCATTTGTGATACTACATATCATTTATGGCAACCCCGCAAACAATAGAAACAATTCATCACTAACTCAGTTGCTTATGTTGCTTTTCTATCATTCTCTACCACGATTCATCTTTGCTACACGGGTAGTTGCCCGTGTTCCGACATGGAGGTCTCCAAAGTCATTGGGGTATCCCTAAATCATCCAAATCATTAGACCATACTTGAACCATGCGTTAGTGTTGAAACAACATGAAACAACCATCAAAAACAGCCATGGTGATTTGGAATGTGTTGGGGCCAACAGAAACCCCCATCCCACGTACCCAGCGCACCCCACCTGGCATGTCCAGGTCATATGGACCGTCCCAGGCCGGACAGGGCCGTCCGCAGCCGCTGCTCGTTCTCCTCGCGGCTGTGGCTGTAGGGCAACTTGCGATAGCACAACCTGAGAAGCGCCGAGGACAGCTGGAAGTTTGTAACCAAAACAAATAGGAACCATGGAACCACCAAAAATATAGGAACCAAGTGTCGATGTTCAAGAACTGTGTCAAGTGATCATGTTTAATATAGGAACCAGCAAAAAGCGAGAGACTCTGGCAAAAAAAACCATAGCAGTAGTGAGAAATTGACGCTTTTCGATCTTTGTCAGGGCGTACTGTGAATGGTTATCTGATGTAAATTGTCCTTTTCGTGAGTGGAGCACTTATTGATTGGAGCACTTATATAGTTGTACTTTCTAGTGGTCAAACAAAAACTGATTAGCCGATATTAGCCGTAGTTGCAATGGTGATGTGCATGGATTATATATAATTGTGAGTGGGGTACTTGTAGGTACACTTCTAGTGGACAAAAAAACAATTTGACTGGCCGTAGTTACAACGGCGTGAATAGAGTCAATAGAGTATGATTGTGATTGATCATGAAATCAATGAAGTTGGTACTCGCGGCAAATTGATATGGAAAATCCCCATGATGGTCATCCCTTTCTTTTATTTTCTTTTGGGGAGGGGGCTGACCCAAAATATATTTTGGGAGGGAGCAGGCGCAGGAACAGAATTCAGATGCCCTCCAACGCCGGGGAGGCATTTACAATCATTTACAGGCCTATTTGGGGGCCAACAAGCACATGTTGAAATCGTTGAAAGTCACCAGTGCCGCACCTCACCCTCATTTGGGGCGGGCTTTTCAAACACAGGGTCAGAGCCCTGCAAATGTGGACACATGTCCTGAACGTATACTAAGGATGGCTGGTGAGAACTGGCAAACAGGATTCACAACTGCCAAGTGCGGCTCGAGCAGATTGAATCAATCAAAACAGCCCTTTCCCACTAAAGGGATCTTCCTTCCCAATTCTGCTCGTTGGGAGGTTCCCTTCCATGTTTTCAGTATTCAACAGCCACATTACCAAGTTCCAGAATCATCCCAAACAATACGCCATCAACCCACTACTCGAGGTTGAATCTCCGCTAAAATCATCTTGTTATTTTGGCAGTCAAAACTTGAAGTCTCGCCCGCAGGGTGTTTGATTCATCCTTTGGGTTCCACGTTTCCACTACCAAAACACTCGAAGTAGAGATCCTCGTCGCTTAGCTCGGCTTCGCGATTCCTGACCTCCCGGGCAGCAATTGATGACTCGGGACATCCCAAACAAATGGTCACGTGCATGTGGCTGCGTGTATCTATTATACATATAAATAAACATATATATATAATATATAATATACTTATATGATATGATATGATATAACATAACATAATATAATAATATATATATATACGTATACATATTCTGGCTACAAGGTGGCAAAAGGTAGGTTTTGAGGGGGGCTAGCATATTATACATATACTTTATATGTATAGACTCTATCTGTTTCCCCTGGGTGTGATGACACCTCTGCATCTTCGATGGTCTGCACATTGTCACTCTTCTTTTTGTGCACTGGTAATCCTGGGCTGCAATTGCATCTCAATTGGCCACGATATACTGATAAACTGGCTTTGGCCAACAAAATCTCCTCATATGGGTGTTGACGAGTCAGTTCATAAGTCATGGGTCCTACTAAACGCTGTCTGTTTCCAAGGCACCCAAGCGAAGGCATTCTTGTTCCACCTCCTTTTTTGTCCACATTTTCCAAGGTCGCATATCACCTGAGACAATTCGTCAATTCAACTGGGGACCTAAGGTGTTGGTCAATTTCTTTGGCTTCCCGCGTTGAACGTCGTGAACTAATATGTCTTTTAGAGTCGAACTCCATCGAAATCCGATCTCTATTTGAGGTAAGCATCTAGTTCTATCCCCATCTATGAACCACTGGGCTGAAGCCACAGTTGATACCCTCTGGTAAACGTTTAAATAGCTATGGAAAATCCAGCCATGCTATTTTTCTGGGTTTGTATCCAAAAAGACTATGGTCATTTTCAATAGTTTTTTGTGGCTGTTTACCAGAGGCTATTGTTGACCCCATGATCTCCCCATAGTGCAGCCTACTTCATGGGTTGTGGAATTCATCCCCCGCAGATTGCATACAACAATGATGAACAATTGATAACCCAAAAGAACCTATATGTATATATATATATATCCCCAAAACAATTGATGGTCAAAACATGTCAAAACCCTATGAGATATCCTTAAATGACAAATGACCATGGTCAATCTTTGCCAGTCCACAACAAAATGAATATCGTTTGATATCTTTTGCTGGAATTTGATTGTCCAGTGATCTTCCGGAATTCATGATCAATCAATCGAAAATTATGAATAATTTGAAACTTTTCCAAGCAATGATCAATCAAATTATATAACAATTATCATCAATTATCCATTGATTATGACATTCTCCAATTTTTTCCCATGGTTTTCCGCTGGTTATTCCGTGGTTTTCCCATTGTTTTCCCCTGGGTATCTCCATATGATAGTATCTGGTTGGTGGTTTCAATCCCTCTGAACAATATGAGTTCGTCAGTTGGGATTATGACATTCCCAATATATGGAAAGTCATAAAATCCGTGTTCCAAACCACCAAACAGTCATCTATTGATTATGACATTTTAAACCATTTTCCCATGCCCTAGTGCTCCAAAAACAGAAGGTGTAAACAGAGCCCAAAAAACAACTCCATCCATACAGTCTCAGTCTCGGTGTTTGGAGCATTTTCGGGATAATGATTCACTGATGAACCATTGATATATGTATATATAATATAATATATATATATATATTGTTTATATATATATATGATATATATATATATACACAATATATATATATATATGATCTCGAAAGATTGGTAGCAAGCCAACAACTGTTGTACGGATCCCTGATCCAATATTGATATCCCTGTAAACCAAGTTGTTGGGTCCCTGCCAACAGATGAATCCCAGCCCTGTAGGAATGATACCGCAGCTTTTCCACGAAGATGGCTCAAGCGTAAAACGCCCTCCCACCTATGGCACAACTGAGCCTTCCCTGGCTTCGGAACATGTGCAAGTGGTCATCTCGAACAGGCATAGGTTTGTGATTCCCAATCTTCTCTTTTTGTTCGAGATGCATCAGCTCGCCATTCTGTCAAAGTGATTCGCTTCCCCAGTTGTCTGTCGTAAAGGCAGCTACCAACACAAAATTAACAGGAAATCAGAGTAAGATTCTCACTGAATGGACGGCTTGGCTTTTCCATTATGGGAGAGACTGTTTCCATCCCCTTTGGAATCACTGGACATCATTCGGAGCCATTGCAATCGTGCTCGGGAATCTGAGCGGGCACGCAAGATTTGCGCTTCATCGTGGAGACTGTAGCGGCCTCTTTCCATACATTCTCTCAAAACACTGGCATCCATGCACTTGGTGAGCGCATCTGCTAGTTGAGCTTGTGATGGTACCCATCTGATCATGATTCCATTGTTCAGGTGTTCCTTTATCAATTTTGCTTGAAGTTAGGTTCTAAATTCTTGGCATGACGGTGGTGCATGTCTACTTATAAGGTCAAAAAGTGACTTGCAGTCAGTGGTGATGATATCTTTGTTTTTGAAGTTGATTTGTTTCAGTAGGTCAGGGTTAGGTGTGTTATTGAAGTTGGATTCTTCTTCGGAAGGAGGTATCGCTGCAAACGCCGGTGGCAAACGCATGAGTGTGTCGTCGGCCATTTGCCATTTGCATTTTCCATCTCGCAACCAAGCCCAGTATAAACGAACCCAGGACAAAATGTCCACCGCTCCTGCCAGTGACATCGCTTCTGCAGAGAGTGTGCTGACAACCACCTTTTGAATTTTCTTTGAATGCCAAACAATGGGATTCACGGGACTGTTCTTGTTGTCACCGATGTCTTTGTGACTGGCCATGATGAGCATTCCCTGGTGAGAATCAGGAACCTTTTCTGAGGCAAACGACGCATCTGAGAAGGCCACAAATCTCAAGTGGTCAAGTGGTATCGGTTGTATCTTCACTGTAACTGAGGCAAACATCTTTGCTTCATGGAGAATTTTGTTTGCTTCAATGAGGGTCCCAACCGTGCACTTATTGATCTGAGACTGGAGCCATCCGAGCTTACTGCACAAATCTGGACGAGTATTTACAGCAGCATATTGTAAAGAACCTACCAACGCACGTAGGGACTGTCTCTCACCTTCATTCACTGCATCTTGTGGAACCATTCTTCGCTCTTTGGGGATTGTTATTGGGTGTATATCCTTTACATATTGTTCTTGACTCACCCAAATGGATTGATCCTTTTGTTGAGAGATTCGAAGTCCAGTGAACGTGAATTCTCGGCTCTTCTTGCTTCCAAAGGGATACTTGGCTTCGAGTTGGGCCAGCTTTTGGTGGAATCGTGGTGATCCACAGCATAATCCATCATCTACATGAATACCAATTAAACCTTCGGCTTGCTGTTGCTGATCTCGGAGAATAAACACACAAGGGTCAAAAGGAGTAGATTCAAACCCCAATTGTTCAAGGCTCTGTTTCAACTCTTGGAACCATAAAAATGGCGCGTCAACCCTGCCATATGCCCCTTTCAGCAACCGAACAATTTCCCCCGGTTTCAGCTTCATTTGCGTTCGCATTTCAGCCGGAGGTTCTAATCCAAGAATCCTGCTGCTCTTTTCAGTTCCTCTAAGGAAGGCAGTCTTGATATCAAAGCTGTGTATGTCCCAGCCTCGGCTTGCAGCATGTTGGAGGATGAGGACCCTTGACAATTTCGACATTGTTGGTGAATCCCTTGGGATCTGGTCAACCATCGGGTCTTCAAATCCAAGCACTACAAGTCGCGCTTTGGCCTTTTGGCGCGATAGGTGTGCTGTTTTTGGCACTCCTGAATCATCAGCCTCTTTCCAGGTGAGGATCCAACGGCAACGCAAGATATTCTCGGTAGGCACTTGGTGTCGAAGAATTCGGCATACCGTACTGGTTGAAAGCCAACTGTCCACTTCTTTTGCCTTTGCTTCTTCAAACAGTTTTCGGTCATGAACTCCTAAAGTGGAAATTTTCACCTCACTTCGCTGTCTCTTTGCGGCAGAAACCAAAAATGCCATTTCTTCTGGCCTAGTTTCCTCTCTCCAGTGGTTAATATCCTTCTGCATGACATTGATCTCAAAACGATACATCTGATCCTCCTGGAGGTGAAAACATGGTTCTTCATGGGTATATAAACTTTCACCTTCATCAGAGGTGTCTGGGACGGGAATCTCATGTGCAGGTGTCGCAATGGGTTCAGGATTGTCAATTTGATGGCTTGGTGTGGAGCTGGAAATGGAAGGAACTTCTGGTTCATGGTCTGGTTGGTCATTTTGAGGGCTAGGTAATTGAGCACTCAGAGATTCTTGGTCTTGTCTATTTGTTTCACCCGTTGGCACCTCATCGGAGTGTCCCCTTGTGGGTCCAGGCATCGAATTTGCAGGTATGGCAGGAGCAACAGCTGGGCCCTGATGGCTATCCTGAGAAATCATGTCATGAAACTGGACTCCGCCATGTGCTGGTCGGATACTCATTGGGATTCCCTCAGCTTGGGTCACATGTGGTTGATGCTTGAATTCCTCAAAGGCTGACAAGCTTCTGATGTACTCTGGGGGTACCCTGTAAAGCTTGTGGTGTCTTGTAACCCAAATGACATTTTGTCCCTCCTGGATAATGACTTGCATAGGGCCTAGCCAATTTCCATCAGCTTCACCTTTCTTTTTCCACATCATGACCCAATCTCCTCTATCATAGAAGCCTCTGTGTGGCCTACTGCGATGTACCAGAGCTCGTCTCAGCGTCTGATCGTTGTCAATTTCGGCAAAGGCTTTCCTCGCAGCTTCTCTGGTGGCAAGGTCTTGCCGGAATCGAATTCCCTCAGGCATATTGGAGAGTGCAACTGAATGTGCCGAAACCGTGGGATCTGATGTGATGGAACCAGGTACTCGAACTCCTTTTCCAAATACAAGCATTTCAGGAGGATATCCCTTGTATTTACTCCATTGATTTTTGGTACTTGTCGCATGGCTAAGGGCTACGGCTAGCTGTTCATATGTTCGAATGGGTTGTTCATGGTCCATCTTTTCAACATCAGCTGGAGTATGCCACCATGTCGCTCGGTTCGAGCATTCTGCCAATGTGCTTCGGCTGCACATGTCCTGCACTTCACGCTATGCCTTTGCAAGAAACTGCTGAACTCATCTGAGTTCAGTTCTGTTCCAGAGTCAACGCATAATAGGCCTGGAGGGCCTGCCCAGTTGAACCACCCTGTCAACAATGCTTTGCAGGCATCATCCGTGGATCGACCGGGTGTGGCTACGGCTGTGTGGAACAACGTGCTTTGATCAATGAAATGGTAAAAGTGAAAATGGTCTCCATTTTGATTGGTCCAAGTAATCCCATCCATCGAGACAACATCACCAAAATCACATGTTTCATGAATCGCACTGGGCCGTGATACCACTGGTCCTCTGGTCTCCTGGCAAGTGGAACATCGGAGATCATGAATGGCCTTCAAAAGATGCTCAGGGCATTGGAGTTGTTTACAAAACTCCGCTAGCTTGGTCGCTCCTGGATGTCCAAGGTTCCGATGCAGTTTCAATAGCCAATTTTGTTCATCAACTTTCAGGCTGTTGAACATTGGTCCATGCTTTTGGCTGGCTATGTCTATGACATGTTGTGGGGGTTCTTCATTCTGAGTTTCTGACGTGGCTTCATTTTGGCGTTCGGCTGTGGTTGTGGACTGTGGTGCAAGTGTTCCTGTGGGATCTGACATGTTCTCATTTTCAATTCCTCGGGGACGCTTGGCACGGTGGTCTGCATCACCAGGAGTTTCCAAGGCCTCATGTGAGCGTCTTTGCACCCCAGCATTGGTGACATCGGCAGGAGGCAGCATTCGAGGCAATTGATTGTCGGGAGATTCAGGCTGTCGGGCTGCTGCAAACACGGTGAGACTGACTCGAGCTGGAACTCCCTTTTTCCTGAGGTTTCTCTTTGACAAGGCTTCCCAGGCTTCCCATGGATCTACATGTATGTCCTGTGTTTGCCTACGGATGCATATTTGGCGTCTCAACGGTGCAGTTTGGGGCAACATCGGACGATTAGGACCAACATACCGATCAGTTCCTCGACATAAAACCACATGTTTGATGAGATATTCAGGACATATGTGTTGGATTTGTTGGATAATCTCACCTTGGTCTACAACATGGGTCCCGACTCGTGGTGCCGTTTGATCGGCCAGGCGCATGACTGTCTGCCAATTGATGTCACTCGCATTGCTTCCAAAGCGTGCTTCAATGGCCAGTGGACTCAGCTTGGACCCAAGCCGTCTGCGTTTTGTGGGGTGTTCATCTTCACCAACCATTACTGGCACCTGCAAAGGACAATCATGAAGTATGATTTTTCCAACCTGACGAGCAAACTTTTGGGGATAAAGTTCGGTCCATTTGGAAGTCTTGATTACTTCATTGTTTATTCGAATGCTTCCGGCAATGTGTCTATGGTGATGTTGGCCTTGGCACAGCTTGCCATGCAATGCGACATGCATGTCCTCAGAGGTGGAAATGACTGTCAGTCTCTTGCGAATTGCTTCGCCAGTTTGGGGATCTCGCAAGTCACCCAAGCGGCACAGGTCAAACTCATTCCAGTAAGTCTGCTGGAGCACTTCATCCATGCTGGGTATTTTCCAGTATGCAGAACCCCTGGGTTGTTCAAGGTCAAAGTGCCCCTTGTGTTGGATCTGATAGCGGAACAAAACAATTCCCAATGCAACTTGCCACAGGCTGTCGATTCTTTGATTGAGAATGGTTTCATGTCCTTGAACTGACCTATTCATGTTGAAAGCACTCCATTGACACCATGGTTTGCATTCCGGGCTATACCACAAATGTTTTGGACGACCATGCACCATCAGACTGAACAATCGTTTCCGACCATCACTTGTTTGTAGATCTCCTTGCGCTCTCCCAAATCTTTCGGCTCTTCCACCTAGCTTTCGGACTTGATTGGTGAGTTCACTGTTTGGGGAACACATCACTTCGAGGAGATCTAATCGGGTGCCTGCAGGAGTTCGACTGGCCTCCCTCTGATGGATCACTTGATTGAGTTCTTGAGAAAACTTCTTCACTAGCTTCTGAATCTTGGCTTGATAGTGGAAACTCTGGTTCGGTTTGGAGAACTCAAAATCCATATCGAGGCAGCTTGTCATGACATCTTCAGGCGCTGGACTAGATCCCATGGCTCGGCCTTTACACTCAGTCCTCGAATGTGTTGCAACAGTTCCTGCATTGTCATCTCCATCTGGGTCATGCGGTTGACCAAGTTCTGGTTCTGGAGATGGAGACTGCTCACCTGATCTTCGACTTGGTTCAGTTTGCTGATCCCAGGCAATTCGAACTCTTGGGTCAGGTCCGGCTCCGAGATCTCGTCCCATGACGTCACTTCGGCTGCAGTCATCTCTGATCCCTGGGCGGTCTTGGGAATCAGTTTGGCTCCCTTGGTGTTGGCTTTGTTCTTCTGGATGTCCTCCGTGATCTCTGCGTTCAGACGCTTCTCGACATACTTGATGTAGAGTTGGTGAGCTGGTTTCGGACTCTTCTCGTACGTCTGAACAAACCAATCCGTCCAGGCGGCATCCTGAAAGACTTTCTCGAACGGCTGACCCATCTTTGCCTTTCCAAAGGCAATCTTCTCGGCTGACAGCTCTTCCAAGCTCATCTTCTGGATTTTGATCAGTTCGTACTGATCTGTGGACTTCTGCTGAGACTCTCGGAAGGCCTTCAGCTGCTCTTGGATGCTGCTCATCTCGGAGTTCGTGGGCACGACGATGGACGATCGGATCGAAAACTTGGGCACTTGCAAAACTCACTGCGGACTTTGGCTGATCTGGACATTGATCTTGTTTCCACGGTGACATGGGATTCTTGGGCGTGTTCATGGCATGTGGTATGTCATGTACCTCATGTGACCTCTGACCTTCAACATTCAAAATCTCATGATGTGGTGATTCTGAACCTGGCAGCGTTCTTTGGCTATTCTCGGTCGCACATGTCAATCCGGCTGCATCGGATTTCTGCATCTGCTGCACACTTGATGGATTCTCCCACAGTTGATTGATATCCATAGTGTAAAGGTTCTTCTGGTTGGGTTCAATGAGAAGTTCTTTGTTGAGGGTTTTACTCCATAAGGTTCCCTTGTCAGTGTCAATCACAGCTCTGATCCCTTTCAAAAACGTGCTAGAGATTAGGAAGGGTGTCCTGCCTGGCACGATTGCAATTCGAAACTTCATGGAACCCAAGGGCAGCAACAACGCATGGCGACAACTCAGCGTTTGCTGATTGCCAAATCGGAAAGTCAGGCTGCAGTTCGTGCGAGTAACTTGTTTTCGAATGTGGCTAGGCAAACCTGCAAGCAGTTCTGGAATCTGCTGATCTCCAACAACAGTTTGTGAGGCTCCAAGGTCAACAATGCCTACAGTGCCGGATGTTGCAAACAAAACTTCACTGCACGAACTTTCGGGAACACTACGGGACAGGCTGTCCGCGGCAAGGACCTGTTGTCCTTTGGCACATGCATCTTTGGTAAAGTTCTCAGATGATTTCATGGTCCTGAGGCGTTGGCGCCACAGTGCATTGAATCGGGATGAGAACGCAGCTACCCCTGATTGAATCCCTTTCATTATCTTATCCCCTCTTATCCTATCCCCATTATGCGTTAGCCCAAAACATACTTCCATGTCATGTGGGTCCTGTGCATCATCAACTGTGAGATGGGCAAACTCCATGGGCGACTCTTCGGCGATCACAAACGATGTGGGAATGGAACTCGAGGCAGTGGAGTTACTCTGGCCGCTGGTGCTTTGCAAGTTCTTCTGAGGACACTCGTTCTTCCAGTGTCCCTTCTGCATGCAAATTCGGCAGAAAGAGTTGGCAATTCTGCGGGCCAAACCCCCTGCTCCAGAGAAAGGATTCTTTCCTTTGGATTTGCCTTTTCCCTTCTTTCCAAAACCCTTGTCAAATCGTTTTGAGACCGGCCAGAAACCTCGAACCTTCACACGTTCACTCAAACGTCGGCGAGCATCTTGATAGGTGGAGTAGAATGCTGAAAGTTCACTGTCGGACTGAATTGTATCAGCAATGGAATCTTCAAATTGCATCACAAGAATTGCATCTTCATCATTCTCAGCTGCTAGCGTCTCTAGGATTTCATCTTCAGGCATGTCATCATGGGCTGCAAAAATCTCATGATCGGCGTCCCATTCCTCATCAACCTGAAAGGCAGTATGGTCATAGGTCTTGGAACTCTTGACATCACGGCGGGACCCCGTGTATTCCTGAAAGAATCCTGAACCCAAAAGACGGACGGCTGAGGTCACATTGTCCATTGTCAACTGATTGCCTTGCTCAGCCTTGGACTCCACAATCACTCGTTTCTTGTCCTCATGTCCAAGCTTGCTACCACGAAGAACTATGTATGCCTGAAGTTCCCTCAAATCGACTTTCTTAGACAGCAGTTCAGTCCAGGTCACGTCACACCTCGACAAATAGCTCTCAGAGGATTCATCGGCTTTCTGGGCACTTCGGTACAAGGCCTTCTCGGCGAGCTCAAACTTTTTCTCAAGTGGTATCTGTCCCCATGTACCCCCAACTATCTCAACCAGGCGTTTGATTCCTTTGTCAGTTCCAGTCAAAACTTCGGCACGAAGGAGCTGTAACTTCTGATAGGCTGTTCCTTTACATCCCAAAATCAAACGTGTTGCCAATTCATTGAGTTTGTCAGTGGGCCATGTGTTCAACAAAAGCTCTACTTTACTGGTCCAGATCTCCACATTGTCAACTGAAGGGTCGAAACCCGGAACGAGGCTGGCCAATTCCTTCGGCACAACCCCTGTACGATCACCTCCCCCGGAGGCTTCACTCATGGCTCCTTCAGGTCGAACACGGCAATGAAACAAATCACTTCAGTGGTCCCTGGGAGCTAGATCTCACACGACCAGGTAGCTCCGCTACCAATCTCGAAAGATTGGTAGCAAGCCAACAACTGTTGTACGGATCCCTGATCCAATATTGATATCCCTGTAAACCAAGTTGTTGGGTCCCTGCCAACAGATGAATCCCAGCCCTGTAGGAATGATACCGCAGCTTTTCCACGAAGATGGCTCAAGCGTAAAACGCCCTCCCACCTATGGCACAACTGAGCCTTCCCTGGCTTCGGAACATGTGCAAGTGGTCATCTCGAACAGGCATAGGTTTGTGAATATGATAATATATATATATAGGGATGGTTTTCCCACCCAAAAAGCTCGCCGGGTCACGTTGGCGCTTCTTCGTGAGTCGATCCATGAGCTGGACCCTGGAGCCCGAGACCAGTTCCTGCCACAAAAATGCTGCGTGTCCATGGGAAAAAGATGGGACAATCCTAGGAAAACCCATGGAAAACCATAAGAAATATGGATAAATATGGCAAAATCCATCCTTTTTTTAAATGAACATTTTATGAAAGGAAACGATGGGACAAGCATCTGTGAAGTATGTGAAGAACCCATGAACCAGGATATAGTCAACAGGTTGAAGGGAAAATCTAGAGGAAACCATGGTTTTTAAAATCAAATTGGTTGGGGGTTATGACCATCAGAATGAGTTAATCACCTGGCTGGCTATACTCACAAATATGATTAAGTGTAAATGGATTGATGGTTGGAGTTAAGTCAAATCACTTCATAGTGGATTGATACATGACATACGAACACTGAAGTACCGATTGCGTATGAAGTATGGTCAATTCTGATCGGACACTTTTGCTACTCATACTTGAGCACAAATCACAAGTTCAGGATGCGAATAGATGTGAACACCGATTAACTTCTGTATATATATATATATACTGTATAGATATGTATGTATGTGTATATATATATATATTCATCAAAGTATATAACTTAAACGATACATTATAACTTATTATAACATATTATAACTAACTATAAATGTTGACTATTGAAAAAATATATTCCCGATGTCAAGACCGGAATCTGGTTGTAGCGGCCGCTAGCCTGAGACTGAGATATTCATGAGCATATTCGGGCGTATCTGAAATCCGGGTATGGCCCCAAAAAGCCATCAAAAAATAGGGATGATGATCATGCACCGGTGGATATCTATAAGTTTAAGGACCTTCAATGGTTTTCGCATCATTTTCAAGTACAGTATATACCAAAGTGCAAACAAGGTTTGGTCGTTGTACATAGTTACAGTAGTAACCAGTTGGCCCAGAAAGTGTACTGGGAGTTAGTGTAGTACCCCACAGCCATCTCAGAGACTTCAGCAGAAGCCATTGATGTACCATACTAATAAAACCATATCATATTATATTAATTATCCCATTATTATCCCATTATCATATGGTTCATCATCATCCCATTATCCCATTATATGGTGATTATCCCATGATAATATGATATTATCCCATGATTATCCCATGATTATCCCATCACCAACCCATCACCAGCTATTCTGCAGAGCTTCAGCACAATCCATGAGGCGAGTTCTCAGCTCATCGTCGCTCCAGCGGCTGAAGCGCTCCAGGGACTCTATGTCCTCCTTGTGGCGTCTGGAAAGCCACGGTGTTTACGCTGGGAGTGAAGCAAAATGGAGGGGAAACACATACAAAACACCTGCAAAACTGGGATGAGACCAAGATGATATGTTAAATCATCTGTGTATATGCGTGTGTACGATCTATAGATACAATATACATCTATATGATTATGTGATTACACATGTACATATGTACACAAATGGGATGAAACTAATCAAATGGGTCCGGGATCATAATTTCGGGTGCACCCTGGACCGAGAACTTCAACCATCCATTTTGGTAGGTTGATGATTTTAACCCATGCAAAAATACTGAAAACAGGAACGCCCAAAAAATGTGCAAATGATTTCCAACTCAGAAAAGCCTCGCAATGGCCAGGATCAAACCTCTAGCAGCTTCAAAATCTGTCATGTCTGCCATCTGGGCAAGCTAGTCACATTATGCTACACGAATTCCAAACTCAGAAATGCACCAATTTTTGGAGTTCCTTGGCCGTCATTTTCCATTGATGTCACCGCTACACATTCACACATTCCACACCTAAGGTCAAAGCCATGCGGTTTTAATGTTCCCCTACCCAGCCCGAGGCTGAAGAATGTTGATAGTCATACCTGACCAAATGGATGGAATAGGACAATTAATATTAGCCTATATAGGATATTTATTAAGATTCATTTTCCTATAAATCCTATAGGAATACCTATGGATGGAATATATCTATAGAGTTTATGATCTCCCTGAAGTGGAACGGCATGGAATCATGACCAAACGGACCTGCCGGACCCGCCTGCCGTGGGCGTAGGGCTTGGTGCCAGCGCCCTTCCTTTTCCAAGATGGAGGTCATCTCCTCGTGTTTTCCGACAAAATTTGAGCCACCCCCTGGTGATCCGGCGGATTTCACGGGGAAAACATCTAGGAAAACCAATGGAAAACCACCAAAACATAGGAAAACATATAGGAAAAGCACCAAACATCCAGATTGTGAGAACATGATTTCACATGATTTCACCCAAAACATTGAATGGGCTTCCGCCACTCACTTGGCGATATTGGCAGGTGATAAAAAGGCCTCTAGTACTTCGTCGATCAGCATGGCATGGTTCGTCAGATTCCCTTTATTACATTTTATTACAGTATATATGTATGATATTGATTGATATTGCATAGTTATGTATGTACCTGAATATTAAGAACCAAATATAACCAAATATGCGTTCAGTTCCGCCTTCCCAAAGAGGGATCTGCGGGGTTTTCTGTGTCCTCGGTCTCTGTCAGGGCCGCAGTGCTGCGTTGGCGCCTTTGAAAGGCCACAAGGTTTAGCTAGACTTCACCATGTTTGTCCCTGCCTAAGACCCTGACCCTGCAGCCTGCTTTGCCAATTGACCCTTCTGGAGACAAACATGGTACTGGGAAGTCCCCATGATGGGAAGATAATCTAATCTATGTACCTGGGAAAATGACAATCTCTCCTCTCATTTCTTAAATCATCCCCATATATTCACTGCCATCCGTCATAAGGTCGGACGGTGATGAGGTCGAAATGATTTCCAAATAGATCATATATGATGATAAATCATGATAAATAATGGCAAATGACATGAACCATAAAAACATCTAAAAACAGAAAGTGCTAGACTAGATTTTCCATATTTTTCCATTGTCGTAACATTCACCATTGAAATCAGGCTGCTGATCGGGTCGCAGCACCCGGAGATGCGGCTCAGGGACCAAACCTCGGGGTCAACATGACGCCGGGACATGTCGGACATGACCAACATCGCTTGTGACTTGTGACTTTATGGATGATACCCCTGATGTAGTCAATGGATGTCAATGGGAATTTCAGGATCCTAAAATGGAGAACCGTGCACCATAAGGCAATATTTTGTGGGGATATTCCCTGAAATTTAGGCCTGAAAAATAGGCCTTATATATGGTACGTACCTCGAATTAAGGTTCCTGCAATGGCCATTGATTTAGAAGACACACAATATTATGAACTATACTTAGTTCTTGATGAATATCACTATGTAAAAATATATGCATAATATCAAACAATGAGAACTGAACAACAATGGAAGTAGGTAGAATGGAAGGTAAACTATTGAAATCCATATGCAAAATACTAAAATACAATATATATATATACAATTCAAGTCATCCAAATGATGCGAAATGAGTGAATCTCGTCAGCTAATCTGAGATAAAACCATATTTAGGGTAGATTGAATATGTTTAAAAAATGTGGAACCACCTCTGGCAAGGCCAAAGGGTATGATTACCCTTTAGTCATGTTTTCCTCAGTTGTCTCTGCCGTTCAATGGCTTTGAGGATCTTCCCTGTAGGCTTGGCACATCTTGGTCCAAGGTGATGGCAGCCGGAACACGCTTTGGGCCCTCCGAAAGCTGAATTCACAGCCATTCAACCTGAAAATGCCTTGCAACGAAACCAATGACAATGAAAAAACAATGCAAAACAAGTCTTTGTTGTGCCGATGAGGACTTGCCAAATCTTACAATTCATCATACAAAATCATACAAAATCAACATATTAGTGGGGCCTCATGTGGACTTTCCATGACCTTCCACTACGTTTCTTCACCCGAGGCTACACCAACTGTGGACCTTCCATGATGCCACGCGGGATCGCCATAGGGTCCCTGGCATACCGTGTCGGCTGTCTTGGGCAGAACTGACCCCATGGAGCCTTCGAAACCTGAGCATGGGACCAGTGGTTGAAGCTTCATGTGGCTCAGTCGCACCGTTTAAGTGGTGCGACTATGTGAGTCTTAATGCACACTTGATCTCAAAAAATAGGAACTTTCTTTAGGAACATACTTTTGATATACAAACAACAAGTCGAAAACGCGGCATATCAACAAAAAAACATTTAAAACAAAAAACAAAATAGTGATGAAAAATTGGGGGGTTCAATGGTTTAAGTGGTTTTAAGTGGTTGAGGGATGTTTTTAGGTGCTTGGGTCCCCTAGTCGCCTGGTTTTTTATCCGAGGAGCGAATGTCTGTGGTGACATCCAAGCGACTCCTGGAACCAATGGGATTTAACCATCAGTAGGGATTCATGTAGGATTTAATGACAGAATGTACTTAAAATCTTAAATATTAATGAATTATAATTAATGTTGATTTCAAAAAATAATGACACGTTTGGAACATCTTGAAACGCCAAAATCGCCTCGAAAAGCAATGCCTCGCGCATTGGTTAACCATGGCATAGGGCATACCAACAAATCCTTTCTATACAGGGAAGAGGTTACCACTGATTTTTGTCTCGTATTTCACAGATGTTCAAAGTGCGTATATATATCTATATAATTATGATTAATTATGTTTAATGCATTTGATGATTCACATCTGTGCTGGAACAGCCGGAAAAATCTGTCAGCATTTGGTCCTCAACGCCGGCTGCAGTGAGCCCTGGTGGGACAGGTACGGCCTGTCGCACAGTGCTGGGTCGAATAGCATGTGGCCATTGTTACATTTGGAAAATTGCATAAATAGAGGGTTTACCTATCAAAAATGGTCGTTTTCCATAGCAAACTGTAAATGACCAAAGGTATATAGTATATAGATTATAGTATATGTATATATAATCTTGGTTTTCTTCCACTGACAATATGCTTATACCCTCAAGAACAATGACCTAGGATATGTTTAACCCATTGATTTATAGATGCCTTGCCTATTGAACAATCGTGGTGATTCTCCGGTGCCACAGCTGATCCCAACCCCCAAATGTCATCGAATCAGAATCAAGCAGCATATGTTCAAAACAACACGCATTTCATAACTGATGGCCACTGATGGTTGTTCTTTTTGCAGAAACAAAAAGATTGTTGGATGCCATGATGCAAGTTTCAACCTTGCCTGCTGCAACAAAAATGTATCTTTCTGGGAAAAATAGAGAAGCCGTTTGGTTTTCTATTTGCATCCATCTACCACTATGTAGCTATTGGTTGCATCGGTCAACTGGTGAACACATAATCATCCACGGTTGGAAAAATCAACGTGGCCAAAGCTCAGTCATTATACAGCTAGACTGTCAGTCACCTTCTTCCGGAAACAAGTCATTCTTGGTCGATGCCAATGACTGCTTGGACTCACGCTTAAGGCATATTCAATGATATACACGCCACCGATCGTCATTAAAACATGTCCTGAGGTGGGTTAAAAACTGGGATACCACACAATTTCCATGGATTCATCACGATTTTCCCTATGATCAACTAGGAAATTTGAGAATTTTGAGGTATCCCATGAGTACAGTATCCCCCATGGTATCAAAGCCACTTCAAGTTTCATGGCTCAACAGGCACCATCGGGCACCTATCTGGAGGAGGTGGCAGCAGATCAAAGCGATGGCCACGTTCCTGAAAATTTTTTTGTTGCTCCCACGGGTTTTGATGGGTAAAAAATGGGGGCTATCCTAGATGAGTCACATTTTTGGATGAGTGGCCTATTGAAATCGTGTTGGAAGCCTGTGAAACATTGTGAAACCCTATCCTATAGAGGTGAAGCCTCTATTTTTCAATGCCAAAATCCTGTCAAATCCTGTATCTCGCACATGGTTAGGCCATTTCCCTCCAACCGCGGAATCCAGTCTCCACGGTGGTGCCGCAGTGCCTCAACAGTTAGCAAAGTTGGTTTATAGCTAGGCCAACTATTGGCCAACTATTATGCTTACGGTGATGAAACAGCTATAGCTGGATGGGTCATAAATCAACCAGCCCAAAGATATAAAGTCGGCTTTATAAACACAAAAATAACATGTCATAATTAACCCATAAACTAAACCCAACTTGCCCTACTTCTGCGAACTTTCTGCAGTTTTTCGTCCTCCGGATCTGCATAGCCATCCCGATGCGCAGAGGCTGCGGATGGGAAGGGCATCTCCTTCGCAGGCGCCAAGGGACTCAGATGCTGCGCTCCCGGGCGAAGCCTGGCGTCATCCCACTTAGTATAGGTCGGTAATCGGTAAGCCATTTATATCCATTTAATTCCATTTATACCAGTAGTACCGCACAAGGCGGTGGCGGAAGTTTCAAAAATAGGAAACCTATAGGAGAGGTTGGTTGTTGTGAATCAGGGATGGCAGCGCGAAGCCACTGATGGACTGAAAGGTGCTTGATTTCTCTCACTCTTTCTATCTCTTTCTCTGACTATCTACCTACCTACCTATCTATTTTCTATGTATCTATCTATCTATCGATCTATCTATCTATCTCTCTCTCTTTCATCTAATTACCCAATCTATCGATCTATCTATCGACCTATCTATCTATCTATCTATCTATCTATCTATCTATCTCTCTTTCATCTGTTTATCTGTCTAGCTGTCTACCTGTCTATCTATCTATCTATCTGTCTGTCTGTCTGTCTATCTGTCTACCTGTCTACCTGTGGTCAGTGTATTGTAGTGTAGTGTAGTGTAGTGGAGTGTAGTGGAATGTAGTGTAGTGTAGTGTAATGTAGTGTAGTGTAGTGTAATTTCGTGTAGTGGAGTGTAGTTGTGTAGTCGTAGTTGTAGTTGTAGTGGAGTGTAGTGTAGTGTAATGTAGTGAAGTGTAGTGGAAGGTAGTGTAGTGTAATGTAGTGTAGTGTAGTGGAGTGTAGTGTAGTGTAGTGTAAGGGAGTGTAGTTGTGTAGTTGTAGTTTCGTGTTGTGGAGCGTATAGGTGTAGTGTAATGTAGTGTAGTGTATGTAATGTAGTGTAGCGTGTGGAGGTAGTTAGGTAGTTGTAATGTATGTAGTGAAATTTAACTTAAGTGGAGTGGTAGTGGAGTGTAGTCTAGTTGTGTAGTGTAGTTGTAGTTTGTGGAGTGTAGTGAGTGTAGGTTAGGTAGCGTCGTATAGGGAGTGTGGGGTTTGTAATTGGAACGTAGTGTAGTTGTAGTGAAGAGAAAGCGGCGAAGCGACCATCTGAACCTTCCAAAGTGGTCCGAACCCCTAGTTGTTTGGTACATTTCACTTCGAAAATGGTGCTTGCGGCCACAAAACGGCGTGCACTTTTTCAACATTCCGACCTCAAAAGTGGCGCGAAAACATGTAGTGTTTTTTGTACATTTGACTGGGAAATGTGCTTTCGTGCCACAAGGCGGACAATTTTTTCGACAATCAACTCCAAAAGTTGGTCCGGAGGACCGCCAGTTTTTAACACTTTTTACTTCCAAATGTGCTTCGCGCCACAACGGCGTGCACTTTTTCGACATCTCAACTTCCAAAAGTGGTCCGAACCCCTAGTGTTTTGTACATTTTCACTTCGAAATGTGCTTCGCGCCACAACGCCGTGCACTTTTTCGACATCTCTACAGCCAAAAGTGCTCCGAGACCACCAGTTTTTAACACTTTTTACTTCCAAATGTGCTTCGCGCCACAACGGCGTGCAATTTTTCATCTCTCCTCTGGCCAGCTGGCTCCGCACCCGCCGCTTTAGCGAGCCTACTTTTCGACCCTCCGGAGCCACAAATCATTGGAAAAACACAGTGTTTCGCGACTTCCCTACCTTTTCGCGCATCTGCATCTTCTTTCTTCTTACTCTTTCTCTTCTACTCTTCTTTCTTCTAATCTTTCTCTTCTCTCTGCCTCTTCCCTGCTCTGCTTTTCATCTCTCCATATTGTCGGAAGTTTGACTTCTAAA